CGTTTTTTACTTCAAGGACCTGTGTAATGGTTATTCCGACCAGGCAACTTTTTTTTTGGGACCTGCCTACGCTGCTGGGTTACGTGAAAAATTAGCTCCAGCCCTAGATGACAACCCAATGATAAAATTTAGGGCTGGGTAACTCCAGCTAATTGTAAGTAGGACCTCATTGACTCTGAGCTAGGCAGTAGCCTTATTAAGACGATTACTTTCCCTTTTGTATTTTTAGGCAATAAATCACTCAGTTGCAATATACAAATGCCGTACCAAATCGATCTAAGTATAAATATAATCACACACAGCATGCCCAGATTTCAAATTCAAGACCTCACTCCAAAAATTGTGTTTATAACAATTAACACAATGTTACTATCACTTTATAAACATGTTTAGAAGCTTCAACATACGGGGTGTCCAATTCCTGAATATAAATCTTCAAATGCCAAACACCTTCAATCAATGCTTTATACATGTTTTAAGTATTTAAACACGTTTCCCCCAACATTGTCATCACTTACCTACAATGCACATACCACAGCTAGACCAAGTACGCTCCATGCTGCGACGTTGCTTCGTGCTCTTATATCCAACGAGCCGGGAGTACAGTCTGCTACCTTCCAACACAACGGACACCAATCCGTGGAACTGAAATGCTAGCTGGAGATCAAGCGAGACAACAGGCCAATGCCGAGTTGTACTCAATCGAAACACCAGTTGACTGCCGCGGCTAATAGTTATAGCCTTGGCCATTTATAATCTAAGCTCTAGCGAGGGATAATTTGAGATCAGCCACATGCGCAGTTCACACCTTTGACGTATGGGTCAACTGAATTTAAACATGGAGCTAGGAACTTGTCTCTTGCTTGGACCATATAGGAACCAGCTCGAGCTCGGTGGTACCTGTTTATGCAGCACCGATATGTTGAACGGTGCATGTTGGTGATGTGTTCCTAGCTCCATGGTAAAACAAACAAGCAAACTTGACAGTGATATGGTAAACACACATAAATATTATTCATATGATGGATTTTTTTTTGCGTCGGGGCGATGTAAATCAAATTAGGTTTTGCCCTTCATCGACGTATAAACACTGCAGTGCAACTTTCACTCGGGAGGTATAGTATACAGTGCACTGTATACTATACCTCCCGAGTGAAAGTTGGAAAAAAAATCACTCGGACGGGACTCGAACCCACGACCTCCTGCTTTCTAGTGCAGATGTCTTACCATTCGACCACCGAGCTAAAACCTAATTTACTCCCTAGTTATAGGCAAACCTTTCTTTAATTTAATTACTTATTCGCCTGTAAATTTGAATTCAATCAAAAATGTTTCCCTTAATTGTGATCATAGAGGTTATCAAGAATATCAATAATTTTTTATGCTGACCTTGGAAAACTCCTGTGGATTTTCACCAATTGAACACAAAGAGATAGACACCTTGGGACACCATGGGAACACCATGGGAACACCATGGGAACACCATGGACACTTCGCTTCAATGACGAGTGTTGTAATTGCAAATTTTCGAAAATTTCTGTTGATAAGTGAAGTAAAATGAAGCATACAGTATATTTTTTATGTGGAAAATGTGTCATTCAAAGAACTTTGGATAATATTGGTTCATTTGTTGGAAACATTTATCAGAAAATAAATTGGGTAGACTGTGATAATATGGTACAACTTGGTACTTGGTATGGAAGCAATAATATGTAAACATTGGTCATAGAGTGCACAAGCCACTACTATTTAAGTGGAACAACCCCCACCGGAGTTCCATGTGCTTTTACCTATAGCACAAAACACACAAGGTTAAATGTATTAAGAAACTTGATATTTGAGAGATTATAAGAAACCATTCATAGGGAAAAAAACATATAATATTTCCCATGGGAAAAAGCCAATGGGAAAACTCCTGTGCTACATGGTGAGCAATTCCCATGGGGTCCCATGGGAACTACATGGGAGATTTCTGATTTACATCACCCCCACGCAAAATTTCAACTTATGATAGTCCGAGAAACTAGGACTCTACGAATCGCCTTTTTTTAACATTTGGACGTGGTCGGGCGATAGTAGAGTCCTAGATACAATTAAAGCCTTATTGTGTGATACTAATAACATTTTTATACCATTTTCACTCGTAACCCAATCAAAATCTTCAGATTTCACACCCAAAACAGTCTTCAAACTGCCTTACGCGACCCTGTAGGCTTCAGTGGGAATTGGAAATACAAATAGTGGTGGTTAGGTTTACATATACTTTTTGTAAGAAAAGAAAAATTTCACTTTCAATTCGGGAAACATCCTTGTCACACATGCCTTGTTTGAGGCATGGCATTTTGAATTCAGGAAAAGTAGACTGGTGCATGGCTGGCTAGACTGTTTCCTGGCAAGCATCAGACAGACCCATCACAGGGCACTTTGATTTGTCACCTGACCAATTACGGGGCACTTTGATTGGTCATAATCCAGGTGACCAATCAAAGTGCCCTGTGATTGGTCTGTCTGATGCTTTTCCTGAATTCAAAATGGCAGCCTCAAACAAGGCGTTTGTGACAAGGATGTTTCCCGAATTGAAGGTGAAATTTCTCTTTTCTTCCAAAAGGTATGTAAACCTAGCCACCACCATTTGTATTTTCCAATTCCCACTGACATAGCCTGCTGGGGTTATGGGAGAATTTGTACACTATCCTGTAATACCGTGTTAATAATCGTCGGATTTGAACCGGCGCCCCCATTGAAAGTATTGTACGAGCCCCCCCCCCCCCTCCCCCTTCGCCCCCCCTCAAACATTCCTGGATCTGCTCCCAGTCACACCCAACCCTCCAACCCAGGGGGGAGGGGGAAAGGGGGGCTGGTACCATTTTTCAATAGGGGGCGCTGTTCAAATTCGACGATTATTAACACTACCTTACAGAATGGTGTACCGTATTTTGAACAGGCGGACATTATACCAGTATAATTTTTTTTGGGTGTCACAGCGAGGGGGGGGGGGGGGGGGTTTAAACGTATTTTTTGGGAATTTGTATGATAATTTTTTTTTACAGAGCTGGGGGAAGGGGTTGACTTCCCCCCCCCCCCCCCTTCTGGATCCGCGCCTGCATCTCTTCTTTCAGGTACACTGAAAGTCCAATTTTTAATTTCATTCAGAAACAGTAATTATCTTCTCATGGCAAAGAACAAAATAATTAGTTTGCCAACTCCCAGAACGTGACGAAGCATCAATAGAACTTGAAACATGTATAATAGTTGTTGGGGACCTGTCAGGCCCCAACAAACAAGTTGGCCTAGAAAAGTCAGGTTGGCGGCGTGGTTCTTTCTTCGCCTTCCACATCGATCGATGGCCTGGGTTCGATTCCTGCCCTGTTCCACATTTTGGGTTTTCAGTCCCTACGTGATTCCTTGGGTTTTCCTCTGTATATTGTTCTACTAGGATTTTCCTCCCACGTCTAAAATGTAAATCATTCACTGTCTCTCTCTGTCAAGTTTCTTCACGAAAGCTTGCGAAGTACAGTGCGATATTAATAGGGCACGTTTGAGGAATCCTTGATTTTATTACCAAATATAGAATACAAATAAAATAATAACAATGAAAATTAAATATATACGGTCAAAAAATTCAAAAATAAAGGGAAAAAAATATGTGCTTGGCCCGTTTTAAACAAGTACGTTAAAACCAGCTTGGGGCCTGGACTCTGCGCTGACCGGGCACAAGCCGGTTTTAAACGTACATCTTCTATACTGGCCAACTTGAAACATATTCCCATTCGTAACTACCTTTCGGTCAAAAGTCAAAACAAGTCCAACATTCACGCATTTCCAACGATTATGTTCAACAGCTTTGCTTCATTTAATGTGAAACTAACCTTGCGCCATGTTTATGGTGCCTCGCGCACGAAGTGCTAAGAATCTCCTTATTTGGTAATTGGCGCGTGCACGCGACGCGTACTGCGCGCTGGGGCGTAAAACGCAGAGGTGCTTTACCGGAAGTTTAAATTCACCCACGCGAGGTACTATCGACTGTTTCATGTATTTTTGAATAGTTATCAATGACATAGACGGTTAATACTCCACTATTTTTAATTGATGCATACGGCGAAAATCGGCCAAGTACCTCTTGAAACAGCCGAAAATGTTTGTCTTTAGTTTGTTTGTTGGGGTGTTGGGGTGTTTGTTTGTTTGTTTGTTTTTTGGAGGGGGGAGCATCAGGTTAGTTGTTCAGTATCTTTCATTAGATTTTTAACACTTTTGTTGCTTCAAACGAACAAAATGCACAAATTACAAATGATGGACTATGTCTTTAATGATAAACAATCGGCGGGCAAAAAATCCTAAAAACTGTTGAACTTCGGACAAAACAGTCGTAACACAAACGGTAGCACGTCATTTTAATTAGTCTCATGTAATGTTGCAGATTAATAATGATATGATTTCTATTTGATAATAAACTTGCCCTTGTCACTATCTGAATACAAACATTACACACATAGCAGACATTTTCTACACAATGAAATTTCATAATGATTATGAATCTACACTACCGTTAAAAATACATTTACAATGAAAAATCGAAATTGTAAATCAGTTGATTACTGTGAAGTGGAAAATATTTAAAAATCAGTGTTGTGCAGTTCATTCAGTGCATTTTTTTTTTCAGATACAACTGTGTTCGTATAAAAAAATTACCATCCGACTGGATTAGCTTAAACCTTGTCGTGTTCCTCATCATCTCAGATATTGTGTCTTTCAAAATTTTTACCGTATTTGTCCGATCACGTTTTCACATCAGAAATGTGTACATTTAATCCTTTGGGCAATTCCACGGTTACTCACGTTACATTTTCGTAACGTGAGTAACCGATTTTGTGCGTCTTGTTTATCATACATAACACATTTTTCTGGATGTCATCTTTGGTGCTTATAGGTAGGTCTATGGGTCTACTCTATCTACCATGAGGATAACAGTAATTAAACCTTTTCAGTAAGGTAATTACAGCCCAAGGAAGCTCAAAAGTACATCAGAAATGTAACCGTGGAATTGCCCCTTTGTATTCAGTTATTACAAGACGTACAAAAAATATGTACAGATATATGGCTACCTAAAAATGTGTATAATAAATCAGTTTGCATGCGCTTGATTCATTGTATTTTATTACTTGTAGTAGGCCTACATGTGCTACTTTATACATTAGCACCATGCATTGGGCGATGAGAGTTGTATCCTCATTGTGAATCGCCCGCAGAAACGAACTACATTATTTTCACACTGGATTGTACCTCAAGGGCCAAAGAGTTTGTTGACCTTGATGTACTGACAGTCGTCGTTGGCGGCGCCCTCCGGTTCGAATTCATCCTCAAAACCCTCGGCCCCAGCTCTCAAGCACGAAATGGTCGTATTTCTCGGCGCTCCAACACACCTATGTATTTGCATATACCGAGAAACGAGGAAAGAAATAGTCTGATGCCTGACACAAACGGTACGGTAAGGGAAATATCTGGTACCTAGTCTCAACCATACATTTGGTCCACAGTCGCACCACCAGATTTTTGAGTGGTGCCGCTTTTTGTCTGAAAAAGTTGGGCAAATTCAAAGTTAGAAAAAAGAAATTGACTGGAGCGGGGTTTGAACCTGCAACCTCCGGATTGCTGTTCCGGTGCTCTTCCAACTTTGGACTCAAAATATTTAATGCTTAGTAAAGTAACTAGAACACGAACCCATAATTGAGCCGGAGTCCCCCAAGTCGGGTTCATAAAATTTCAAGCCAAAGCCGGTGACGAAGATTAATAATTCGGGAGGCTAATCATCCTTACTCGCAGCTGAGATGCTGATCGCAGTTACTAAAGACGCGGCTACAACGTGGTCGAGCCGTTGGCATGTAAAGGCGCCTTCGGCAGCCAGCCACATCGACCCATAATGACCACGGAGCACAGCCTGAGATCGAAAGTGTTTGGTTTTTCCGGAGGGAGGAAAACCGGAGGGCCCGGAGAAAAACCCTCATGCACAGGAGAGAACCAACGCACAACTCTACGACCCCTCTCACACCAATACGTGAAGCCATTTCGTGGCCACTTCGAGGTGTCCGTGGCCGCAAACGTTTAAAAATCGAAGTAACCACGAAATGGAATCGGATCTCACGGGTTGCCACGACTTAAAGGACGTGTCGATTCCTTCTCACGGATGCTCCACGGATCACCCAACAAAATATGTTGAAAAACTGAAACGTGTGCACTTCGGAAATTTATTTCCGAATTGAAAACGTGTTCAATACGTCTTATTCGAAGTACTCTCGTAGTGTTCTCGAGGTTGGGCTGAAGTTACATCGGATTTTACGGGATGGCCCCGGATTGATTGTTGGCCTGTTTTACGGCCGTTTTCATTACGCGGTACTCGATGGTACGTCAGAGTGAGCTCCGGAGTCCACGAAGTGTCCACGAGTGGGCCACGAAGTGTTCACGGACTACACGTAGTACTCTTGAGCTGGCGCCGTAGTCACCACTGACACCGCGTAATAGTCTCGATTTGGCGACAAAGTCATCACGGGATGCAATCGGGATGGCCACAAGATGTCGCCGGCGTGCAATCCGTGAATTCCGTGAATTCCAGGAAACGGACATGAGCACGGGTTGGTCCCGTGGTGTTTCCGAGGTGGCCACGGATTACTCACGAAGTAAAAACGGGTAACACTTAATAAAAACGTGCTGGCATCAAAAAACGGACCAAAAAAAAAACGGAGACCACGGATACTGTTGAAAAAAAAATTGCATTTCCGAAGTGACTTCGCACTGGTCTTGGATTGGTGTGAGAGGGGCATACTCACATTATGGTCGGCAGCCGGGAATCGAACCAGGGCCACAGTGGTGTGAATACTAAAATGAAATGGGTCGGAGGTTAAAGTTCAACTGACCTGCAGTAATCGTCCCTACCGTCGCCATCTCGGTCCCTCATGTACCACGTGTCAGTGTGACCCAGGTCAAGCCAGGCCTGGGGATTGGACGAGTTGTAATTGTACTGGTTCTCGCCCTGTGTACCAGCCAGAGCGCACGATAGCACCTTGAATGGCGCGATGGAAACCACCCTGAGAAGTGCAAGATATTAGAAAGAGAGAAAAAAGACAGAGGCGGGATTTTAATGGCCTATGGATCATTATTTTGCATTTATCCAAAAAACAACCTACCGAATTATCATCAAAAAGCTAACTTGTATTAAAGGTCAGTATGGTACTAAACACGTGAAACTTTCCCGTCTGGCTTGCTGTCATTTAAAAGAAATCGAGAAAGATAGGTGATATCCAAGGATCAGCCAATTGACTGATTTTGGGAATAAAGAGTGCTATTAACGAAGTCGACTCTTTCGTTATCAAAATGTTGTGCATTTTTTCAGTGTTGTCCCTAAAAGTGTAATATCGATCTAAAACGTCAACAGGTTAGGTTTTAAATAAAATCTAAAAATGGATATTTAGTAGCTTTATTATTGGAAACGAACAAATGATCCTATATGTCTTTATTAAGTTCTTCATTGCGGGATACGATTTCAGGCATATCAATCGAGTTGCATATAACATAGTTTTGGTGTACCTAAAATGTCCTACAAAAATGTTAGACCCCAACAGCATCCGTGAAATTGAATAACAGGGTTACTTACCGACTTACTTTGTAATATAAGTTATAGTTATTAAACAGTGTGTCCATGGTTTCTCCATTTTGGTTTATTTTGTTTTGTTTGTTGGGTTGTTTGTTTTAAACATCAAATTGGTGTACAAGTCAAGCATGACTTCACCAATTTGTATCAACACGGAGTTTGAAACCACATCATTTGAGGCTCATTGAACAGCTTAGAACTTGAGCAATCAAAACGAAAACCTGGATATCGGTGTATGTCCCTCGAAATGGTGGCAACTACTAAAGGCATCAATGACATCACGTGTAAACCTCAGCACATGTACTGCCATGCACATGGCCATGACTTGCCTGCAGTAGTCGTTAGCAGCACCTTGTCCTTGTACGTCTGCCCAGCCGTAGAATAGATACTCGATACCGAGGTCCGTGATGTCATAACGGCGGAGGTTGATGCAGTCTTTCTTCCTTGGGCCAATATGCTCTGTGCGGGTATATATAATTAGGTATTTACCCTTTTACCGGCATATATCAAAGTTACATATTAACCCAGTTTACTAAATCTGGAAATGGTATCTTTGGGCGAAACAACTTGTGCTGAAAACCAAGTTATGCTTAACAATATAACTTAAACCATCATAGGGAGACATTCAAATGTCTTCCTTATCTACCGTTGCCTCCCTATTGAAGGCAGGGTTCGAAATTAGCGGTAGCCCGCTAGCCAAATGCTAGTCAAAATACGGCGGGCTAGTCAAACTATTCTTTAAGTAGCCCGGCTGGCGAAAGAAACATTATTGGAAACGGCAAAGAAGTGAACGTACAGGAAGAAATAAATCATGAAATTCAGGAAAGAACCCCATCAATTGGTGTTAATTTAATGAACTGTTTTAAAAGGTTAAGTTAGTAGATCTGTTAGTTAAAAATACTGACAAAATTGCCTCAGAATTGAGCCTGAAAATACGCCATTTTGTGTTTGAGATAAGAAAAAATGCGGGCTAGTGAAAATGCCCGCGGGCTAGTTAAGAGTCCGTTTCAGTAGCCCGACTGGCTAGTGAACAAAAAAGTTAAGGTCGAACCCTGCTAAGGTACATTTCTTTAGCAAAACGTCTCTCACCAAATGGGCCATTTGCAAGAATATATACACAGACCTTGTTTTTTACTGATACATATGCATCTTATACAGACCACCATAGAGCTAGGACCCAAGCAGTTCGAACTCCAATACTCCAAAAGTAAAAGGATGGTCGCCGCACTCGAAAACAACAATATAAAGCGCCTGGCGGCCAGCTTGCTCAGTTGCTTACCAACCTAATCTCTACACAGTAGAGATGCGCGTTCACTAATACTATAAGAAAGAGTTTGCCTTGCTTTGTAGAAAGTACCATGGTGAATACGCATGCGCAATCGTCATACATCGCCAAAAATTAATAATTTTGAAGTGTTTGTTCGCAGTTGGATGACACTGTATTTCAATGTGGTGAACATCACCGAAACAATCATTTCATGGCGAACAAAATGCTCTAAACCTTAATTTGTTGTCAAAAGGATTAGCCAACGTGACTGATTCTGGTTCAATACGGTTTTTTTTTGCCTGCTGCCGAAAGGTGTAACATTCTGTAGGCCTCAATGAGACGGCCAAAGAGTCTGTATTTCAATTCACAAGAGTCACTATATCACAGTACACCCTGTCCGGGTCGCGGTACGAAGCCTGTTCGACCGAAGCCGGAGACGAAATTGAGTGTTGGTACAAATAGCAAACGTTAAAGTTCTCCTACCTTTAATTGGACCCTCGCTCGTCAAGTCGGGCGCCATTTTATCACACTGCACTTCCGACGGCCATTCAAAACCGATGTCGGCTGCCGCCTCGGCGCATGAGCTTTTCACCTTGTTACACAATTCCTGTGAGGGCAAGTTCATTTGCTGCATCGGGAAATCTATCTGTAAAAAGGGGAAGAAAAAAAATTGTGTTCGGGTTTGGAGATGCTACTCGGAAAACTGAATGTACGTGAACATAATGGTATGGAGCTTTTTTTTTTTTTGATAAAAGTGCGGCCCTTTTGGATGATAATATGATATTTTGTAGGCCTACGTTCGATGTTACGTGTTTCATGCTGTAGATGACAGTCACAAGGCCTGCATTATTTCAAGAAAATAGAGTCGGGTTTTAGGCAACCTTGCACCCGGCTGACCGGATGCACGTTTGCCTGGTTTCCTGTCAAATCCCATCAGAGTACATGATACGCTTCGCTTCAGATCAACCTTCCCAGGGTCTATTATTGAGATCAAATTAGAACTATAGCCCCTGGGAACAAAACTGAAAATGATAAACTCACAATGACTCCCTGGTGCTCTGCGCACTCTGGGGCGTAGAGGGCGCACACCAGCTCAAGAAGGTCAGGGGAACAATCGGTGGCAAGGAGAGGCAGGAGATTGTAGGAGGCGACCTCGGCTTGGTACTGGGTGGTGTGACCCAGGACATTAGGGGACTGCACGAGGCTGCTTCGTGAGAGGGAGTCACACAAAGTGTGGTTGAACGATGGCATGCATTTCACTTGAAGTGAGAGCAAAAAATTAAATACATTAAGAGCTACACTCTAAAAACTGGTGTTCAGCAATTAAACACGATCTTGTTATCACTTTGTAAACAGGTTTACTTTAGGCTAAACATATGATACGTGTCCCATTCCTAAACGTCAATGTCAAATCTTTGGACACTATCCATCTATACTCTAGGCATGTTTAGGATATATCTTTACAAAGTGATAAAAAAAAAGTGTTACGGTTTTAGTGTTTAAACTCGGTAATCCACCAAGAATCGTTTCCAACTTGGTTTTTATCTTACAGTGGGCTGGCCTTTACTGTATATATGTGTATGCCCTATGAAAACGCCTAACTCCGCATTCACCAAAAGCCTTCGGGGTTTACCAACCTCCCCCACTCCTCCTTCACCATCCTCTGCCGACTGCATGTTGTTAAATAAAAGGCTGACATCGCTCCCTTGTCTCCCCCCCCCCATTTGTTTGTTATTTCCTTGTTTCCCTTCCCCAACACCCCGGCACCTGTCAAAGTGCTGACATCTACGAACGTGCACTACCGAGTATAAGTTGACCTACCCAAGGGCCTGATTTCAGTCGTGCGAAGCACTCTCCCGCCAGCTGCCTTACACGTGTAGGTACCAACATCGTCAATGGAAACCTTCTTGAAGAACAGCATTGTCAATCTGGGTGAAAGCTGGATTACATGTCTTCCAGACGAGTACGCTACAAGTCGATAAAAGAAGGCTCATTCTTACGTAGTACCTTGCAAATTGTGCACTTCAGTCGATTCCTGCTTCCTTATAATTACTATCCACATCATCTCATTCGCCATGAAACATTTGATATCATGATTTGTACAGCGGGTTAGCATGAAATGGATAGCTATGTAGGCCTACTACATTGTACTTGTCAAAAACTAATATACAATGTACAGTGCAATGCGAATATTGTTCTGTAGTACTCTTACAATTCGTGGCTTTTATTTAACCGGGACCGAATTGAATCGTATTTATCAATTACTTCAGGCAGCTAGGATGGGGATCTTTCGGATCTAAATACGGTCAAAGGTGATGCCAATTCTAATTTGAAGATTCCAGAAATTTAATATTGCATACAGCTTCAGTTTGAAATGATCAAAGTTGTGGATGAATGTATATAGGCCATGGCTTGGTAATTCACGTCTGAACAACAATTGGCTCGTACCATTGGTTGACGTCACGGGGATGAGTTTGCCATCTGGGCCGTAGAATTCTGGCGGTGCTTTCGGTCTGTCTTCGGTCACTAAGCAGTACACCTTCACGCTCTCAACCTCGTATTGATAGTTTTCTCTGTGAATGACAGCCTCTACAGAAGAAAAAGAGTAAGTTGGAAAAAGGGTTTCAATTATTAGGAGTTGCTAGTTTCATCAGAGGTTCAGGAGTTCGAATCAAGTTTCTAGGCCGCTTGTTTCATGTACATCAAAAGCAAAACTCAAGTCTCCAACGTAAACGATTCACTTTTGAATATACCTGTTGCATTTCTCAGCAAATTATTGTAAAAAAAAAAGCGGACCGACAATTGTCAAGGAGTTTACACAATAACATACCAGATGGATCCCAGTCGAATTCTCTGGAGCACGTGGCTTCTGAACTGGACAGCACTACGTCGCACGGCAGGGACTCCAGCAACCAGCTGAGATTGCCCCTGTGTGCCGAAGTGTTGCATTGCTTGAGGGCGCTCTCGCAGAACTCCCGACAGGGAAAGGTGACGCCAAATTCGCGCGAAGATGGACACCTGGGCAAGCAAAATAATGCATGCGTGTTATCTTCAAAACCCATAGTGATAGGTAGACGGAGAGTGTCTGCTGCCTCCAAGAGTCTGAAATAGGGTTAGTTTCACTTACGGGGGCGCCAGTAGGCCGCAGAGTAGCTCATGCAGGCGTGGTAAGCACCCAACCCCGGACTCCACCGTCTCCTCTGTGAAGTAGTCTCGCCAGGAGTCGAGGAGCTTATCCGGGGGAGTCCAATACCAGGAGTAGTCTTGGGAGTATCCGGCCGTGGTGTAGCCCAGTTTGTTGCAGTACATGATGTCGACTCGCTCACAGTGATCGGGAATCGATCCTATAAGTTGGCCAATGCAATGTTTGGATGTACATGGGCATGAACATACCACGGAGGAATAAAAACAAATGTTGTAAGCTATATAGTATTTGATGCGTTGTTACGGGAAATAGGGGGTGGTGTATTTGACAACAGGCATTATTATTTGCAACGCCACTACGGTTCTTGGGCTATAATGTTAATTTAATTAGCGTCTTTAATTAAGTGATTGGCAATAAAAGATAGACATATTGTTTGTATTACGTTAAAAGCAAACGCAATAAGTAAAAGGTAATTAACCTATCGCGGTAGAATCGCGTCTTTTTGTTCTATATCTATGACCTTAACCTAAAAACATTCCATAGGGATGTCTGAGGGGCGTGGTTAACTCGCAAACGATTATAGGTCAATTGTGGGCTTATCGTACGCGCACTGTCTTACATGACTTCATCACCGTTTTCACGAAGAGCCACATATGTCCAAAATTTAAAAAAATTCGATTTTTTTTTCAATATCTCGCATCAAAACAATGTACTTACCCATTTTGACATGTTTCTGTAAGCAAAACATCATTAATTTTTTCAGTTAAATTAATGTTGTAAGAGGCAGAAATCTCGATAAATGCATTTTGGGTTTCCCGAAGAGCCACATACATTTTGGGCCTTTGAACGCATACAAAACCCATTACACGGAAATACGTAAAAGTACATGTAGGTCTAATGAGATTTGCGTTTTCACGAAGAGCCACATATCTTTACTAATTAATTTTTACTAATTAACTGCCGTATTAAGTCTTATTATCGGATTCATGTTAAACTTCAGCTCTCGTAGAATCGTGTGATGGTTTTCTTGCTGCAAAAAGTTGTTCCAAGGTGGTATTTCTTGCAGTTTTCAAATATGAGAAACTTCTTTTGCGATTATCTCGAAAACACTTTTCTTTAAAATCAACATAATATATATAGTATGTGGCTGTTCGTGAAAACGGTGACGACTTGTATTAAATGAAACCAGGTTGATTGAAAGAGTTCAAGTTCACATTTTTGCGATACCTCTGTCTTAAATTTTGGGCCGTATCATAAGTCCGACGCCTCATAGGTCCGACGCCTCGTAAGTCCGAAATTTCGGACTTATGAGGCGTCGGACTTATGAGGCACACAATTTATTTATCCCGCCTCGTAGGTCCGACGCCTCATAAGTCCGACGCCTCATAAGTCCGACGTCGGAATAACACGGCGTTGAAATTTGTCGGACCTACGAGGCGTTGGATCTATGATGCGTCGGAGCTATGAGCGTCGAACTTATGAGGCGTCGGGACCTATGAGGCGTCGGACTTACTACGGGCCTTTATTTGGTTAGGGAATGCGATTTTGTCGGACTTATATGAGGCGTCGGACCTATGAGGCGTCGGACTTATGAACGGACCCCTTAAATTTCATTGGACCTGACTTACTGTTATCGTGAGGAGGAATCCAGGCGACTGTCGGTTGACTTCCCCGCCCGTATGCATTCCAGGGCCAAAATATCACGTGATATCCAAGTAGGTCATACAGCTCAAAGTACTCCTGCAATGCAAATTATCACTTAAAGAATTAACAAAATATCGACGGCGGCGACAACAGCAACAACAACAGCAGTAGCAGCAGAAGCAACATTAAAAATGACACTTAAGCAACGAGAAGGACACAAACAAAAGGGACGGCAACGACGACAGAAAAAACAGCAATGACAGCGAAAAACGACGACAACGACAAACAACAACAACGAAAACGATGACAATAAAAAGAGCAACATCAGCTGCGTACAGCATCGTCGACGATTGGAATAGCCTGTCAGAGAGTGCTGTATCTGCATCCACTCTCAGTTTCAAACTCCAACTAAGAACACACATGGGTTTATAATAATAGAGCAAAAATGCCCCCTCTCTAACCCTGCCACACAAGCTGTAAGAAGAGGACAGAAGTGTGGCGCCCCAAGATAATTCAAGGTTATACAGCAGCAACAGCAGCAACTCACAACTTCATTCCTCTTTAATTTTATTTTGTCAAAAACTATATACAGATAGGCTAGGCATTTAATGGTTGATGTGCATGCAAAATGACGACATTAATTACCTGCTGTGTTTCTTTCCCCTCGAAATCGATTACAAAATTGTCGCGTACTCCCCACTTTGAAACTTGGCTGTATGATGTAAGCCTGCTTCTTCCCGTGAACTCCACAAATGCGTAAGTGGTGTTAACACGGCTTGCATTGAGAATGGTGATAGGTTCAAGACGTTTGCCCATCTCTGAAATAAGTAATTATTATATACTACGATCTCACATATATACTATAATAAAAGTTATCAATGGCCCTATTAAAGAGGTTGTGGAATGCTCCAAGACATTTCCGTAATTTTTCGGGTATGTGGCCTAAGGTGTGATGAAATAAAAACGAATATTGTGTCTTTCATGAAATGAATACTATGGGATCTCCTTTATCCCCGGTCCTAGCCGACATCTTCATGGAGGAGTTCGAGTCTTCCTCCCTACTCACAGCGGATCTTCGGCCGAGCCTGTGGCTACGCTACGTTGATGACGCCTTCGTAGTGTGGCTCCATGGCCCGGCCACACTCCAAGACTTCCTCCAGTACCTCAACAAGCAACACACCAGCATCAGCTTCACCATGGAACAAGAACAGCACGGCACCATTCCTTTCCTGGACGTCAAGATCTCCAGGAATCCGGATGGCACCCTGGGACACAGCGTCTACAGGAAACCCACCCACACCGATCGCTATCTCCACCAGCGGTCGTTTCATCACCCCAGCATAAAGTCATCGGTCAACCGCACCCTAGTACAGAGAGCCTTTGAGGTCTGCGACCAAGACAACCTCAAGCATGAACTCAAGCACATCCAGACGTCACTACAACGGAACGGCTACAAACCCAACCGCATCAAGAACAGCAAACCTGACCAACGGGTCTCCTATACCCAAGGTCCTTCCACTGTATCTCCTTCAGTCACTCTTCCTTACATAGGTCCATCTTCTCATCATCTGCAACGCATCCTCCGACAAGCCGGCGTCAAGGTGTACCACTCATCTGGCAACAAGCTCCAAGACAGCCTCCATACTCACAAGGACAAGCAGGACTCCTCTTCCAAGCCGGGAGTCTACCGCATTCCATGCGAATGCAGCAAAGTCTACATCGGCGAAACCGGTCGGAACCTTCCCACTAGGCTCAAGGAACACAGAGCACATGGACGGCGAGGGGATTTTGACAAATCGGCCATTGTCAAACATTCCCACATCAACGACCACAAACTTGATTGGGATGCGGCCGAACTCATCGCACTGATCCAGTTCTGGCATCCAAGACGCATACGGGAAGCCATCGAGAATCGCAAGCACAACACAGTTCCGCAAGACATTGGGTTTCACCTCAACGACATCTGGTTCCCACTTCTCCAGACTGATGGGTCTCCTATACCCTAGGTCCTCAGCTACTACCTTAGACTGATGGGTCTCCTATACCCTAGGTCCTCCCTGTACTGACACTGCAACCCTACTGTTCCACCTCAGTGGGCACCAAGCTTGCTCTAGGATCCTGTCTACTTGGCATCCTCACAGGATGCAACTTCACACTTCATTGATTTCGCCTTTTGCTACTTAAGTTTTCACTTTCTTAGAGTTTAGGCACTCTCCTGAAGACGGTCAGAGCATACTGACCGGAACGTCGAGTTTATACCTCTGGTTCTTTTCAGAACCATTCTCTTAGTTGAGAAATTATTCGCACATGGTGTTTCCGCAAACCTTTCATTATTTAAATGAATACTAAATACTAAAGAGCCATGCAAGGGGCTCTCAAAGGGGTACATCAGTGCCGTCTCTCCGAAAGTACACAGAGCCCATACCTGAGTCGCAGTTCTCTGCAGGGTACAGCCTGCACGTCATCAGCCGGGGTCGTTTCTCAAACAGCTCCCCTGCAGTCCCGCGGCAGCTTTTCCAAATCTCTTGACAGGCGCTCTGGCACGGCAACCGAACGCTGGCGTGATCGGTCGTGCTCGGGGTGACGAAGAAGGCGTAGCAGGCGAAGACCTGCAGCTTGTCCGAGCAGCCCGAGTCGATGAACGGCACCAGGCGGTCCAGCTCGTCCAGGGCTTCCTGCATGTTGGTGTGCCCGAGGAGATTAGGATAGGAGGTTACCCAGAACCCGAAAGAGCGACACTTGCCGTGCATCACATCCACGCAGCCGTCCTCCTTACATGCGGCTGTGAAATCGCTTGTGACCACTGGCGGTGGGGACCAGTACACCAAAGGGTCATATTTTGCCCCTGGAATAACGAGAAATTGAGATACTTTAAAATTAAAGTTCTCGATAGGAGAAGTTACTTTGAGAAATGGTGCTTCTATAATTGACTTCCCTAATACATTTCATAATCACAAAATGAATTTGTGTTCTGGGTCAAAATGACAATTAAGCCAATGTTTCCCGGTCAAAATGACAGAGAAAACAATTCGAAGAAAGTTGACCCCGAAATGTGTCATTTCTGTCAACTTAAAAGTGCGACGCTAGATAGAACTCGGGTTCCAGGTCAATTTGACCAGGGACTTTTTAGATTGTTAGGTGAAGTCAAATCTGTGACTTACCTGGCATGAAACATGTGGGGTAGGAATCACTCTGCTTCGGGTACATGGAACAGTCGCTTAAGGCGGACGGTAGTTCCATCTCGAAGGCAGCCAGGACGCCTATGCAGGAGTCGGTCAGAACCAGTTCACAGAGCGCCTTGCAGGGAGGGATCGGAGCAGCAACCTCCTCCACAATCTGAGGATGTGAAAAAAACATAATCACCAGCACGTGTTTTGTTCATCTTAAAGACAAAAGTATCTTTTTTTTCTCTTTCGGATATCACAGAGAGTCAAAGTAGACAACTTGTGTAATGAGCCAATTTGTTACAGATTGGGGCATAGCGTTATGCCGCCTTACAAAAAAAACCACCATATTGATAACACGAAAAGAAAAGGGCAAACAGATACTCGAATCATACGCTTACAAAACTACTGACCGGACAAACTAACAATTTCAAATGTCCTGCGCTGCGAATTTGTCGACATCTCCCACAATGCACTGGGAAAAAGAACTCTCCATGGCAAACTCTTGATGGTGCACTGCCTTGTGAATCACCCGAAATAATTCAAGTCACAATTATAGCATTCCTTTTTGATTGTTCACTCCTTGTTACTTGCGACTTGTAACTGATGAAATACTAACTGCTTTTGAAGGACTTATAAGGACTCGTGAAGGATTTGTGAGAACTCGTGCTGGACTTGTGAGGACATGTGGTGTACTTCTCATCAACACTGCCCAACAACACGAAGGGACTTTCTTTTCTTTTTTCTTCAAGCCGATTGTATTTCATCATACCTTGCAGGGTGGCAGATAAGCAAGACACAGGTAGGTTCTGAGCAGATCCGAGCAAGGACCCCCGTCCGACATGAACGCGCTGTACCTGTGCAGCTCGACCAGCGCATCACTGTGGTTGTCTTGCCCGAGTATGTTGGGGTAGATGACGGTAGTGTACGGCATAGACTGACAGATGGAGTCATCTGGGAGAGGCTGGCAGTGTTCCGATGGGTCGGGACGAGGGGTCTGTGGTGGGACGATGGTCGAGGGAAGGTTGACTTCTTCATTTTCTTCACCCTCTTCCGAATCGGGTTCAAATGGGTCACCTGTGAATATGTTTCGGCGGTACTTCAGTAGTTGTAATGGTAATGGAGCATTTTGCTTTCTTTGCATTTGTTGTTTCCTTTGAAACAAACAACTGCTCAAAATCTTAACCTTGCGCAGAGTGACCTGTTGCCCTTTGGGCCCCAGGTAACCGATTTTTTTGAAAAAAAAAAGACATTGAGGGCCAATGCCGGTCACCTTCCATCTAATACTCCTTCGACCCTTGCCAAATAAGCTGGTTCAATGAACTTTGCAGCCAGGGCTTCACCCAGGCCGTGTCAACAAACTTCGACCAGGCCTCCTGCCAAGTCTCATTGAAACATCAACAAAGACCTGTTACTTGACACAGCCATCTCCCTTCATAACTGCATACCACAGCCGCCAATCAATTATCTTTCCAGCGCACTGTCTGGCAACTGTCTGGACACTGTCTGGCACGTGGTTTTTTTGTTGTATTGCTATGAATAGGGTCTTGCGAAGTGCGAGAAAGTACCTGCTGCCCAGAGGGCAGCAGTTGACGAGTTTTTGTAAAGTTTTTTGTAAACGCTGCGCAAGGTTAAGAAGGGTGCATGACAACTAACCTGCTCAGTGGATATTACACATATTGAGAAAACATATGCACAAGTTATTGGTGTCTGGTAACTGGATGCCGTTGCTAACGCACGTAATAATCCATACCAGCGGGCGCAGTTTCTATAGACCCCTTCAATGATTGTATTTTTTTTCTGAATAATGCAATTTAAGGTCAAATAATTTCACAGCGTGTTTGATATCTGTCCTATCTTTACTTTGAGCAAGCATATTCTCGTGAAATCGCTAGGTACATTTCCGGGTACTTGCAAAATCCCTCGGTGTTTTCAATAAACATGTCATCGTGGATTTGTTTTGTGTTTTGGTAGGCTAATGCTTTTTATCATGGCATAAATGCCGTTGTGTATTTTGACCACAGGGTTCTCTCAACGGTGGAAGTGCCGAGTGCCTGTACTGAATGACGATTCTTTCTTGAGCCCACGCTTATTTTGTGTTCGTATCTCTTCTCTCACGGTAATTTTCTTGGCATATAATAAGTCGATTGAAAATTGAAATGAGACTCTATAAGAACTGTCGAAATGTTCGTTAGTAGTCCAGGCGCGGATCGGGGGGGGGGGAGGGGGGAACCCCAGTTCTGTCAATTTTGTTTTCAAAAGATTTTCATTAAAAAAATGATGGTAACCCATCCCCCTACTCTGACAATTATATTAAATACGGACAGAACCTGCTTGGCTACTCGGGTATTTTTACACTATCCTGTAATACAGTCATACTCGTCGGATTTGAACAGCGCCCCCATTGAAAGTATGGTACGCCCCCCCCCCCCCCCCCGCCCCTGTAGTCGGTAACAATCTGTCACAGCTCTAAAAAGCCCTGGGTCAGATTTGACCCGGAATCTGGGTTCATCGAGCCTCATACTTTTCCCGGTCAAAAAGGCACTTTTCCAGGTCAAAATGACACTTTCCCGGATCATTTGGACCCTTGAAAAGTGTCATTTTGACCCGGAACAAGTGTCAGGCCCCAAGGAACCCGGATTCCGGGTCAAATATGACCCGGATCTTTTGGGAGTGTACAAGTCTCCAAACCACCTTTAGAAAAAAAAAGCTATTTCCCTGCTTGCCTAAAAACAAATTGCAACGGGTGAACAAATCTGACGTTAATACAGTCTAAGGCGCAGTACCTGGATCACCGAAGCAAAAGTAGTCATCACGGCCGCCGGTCGAGAAATTGTTGCAGTCCAAGCTGTCAGGCCAGGCGCTGCCAGCGCGTCGGAAGGCCCCATCACAGTCGTCTCTGACACGCTCACAGAAATCCCTGCACGGGGAAAGGTGGGTGTCTACCAGATGGTGCCGCCATGTGAAGTACACGAGGCACAGGAACAGCTGCAGGCGCGGCGAGCACTGGACCTGAAGGTACGGGTAGAAATCATTGAATCCCCGGATGGCCTCCTGCATAGTCAGGTGGCCCAGAAAATTGGGGAAGTACGTGACGTTGTTGGTGTAGATCAGGCCCTCGGACAGACAAGGAGCAAAGGTCTGGTTTTCTTGCCGCACAACATATTCTAACAAGACACCAGGAGATAAAAAATAATTGATATTAACCCTAAAAGGGCCGGGTTACTTTGACCATCTCTCAGCCGGGGGGGGGGGGGGGGAATTACCCTAAGATCTCGGTCATCGAGTGACGAAAACATTTAAAACTCAGTAGATGCATAGAGCAACTCATCGTTAACATACCCAAGAAATTTCATGACTATAGGTCAAAGGGTTTTGGAATTATGGCTAATTAATTATTCATATGTACGAATGGTAATTGTGCTCTGTGTACCCGACGTATATGGATAAGTTCAGTTTTCACGGCGCATGGCGCCGGGCCGTGGTGCGATTTTTATGTTTTTGGTATCAAAAGATGCGCAAGGCTCGAGGCTAAAATGTCATATTAGCTCGGGTCGCGAATTTTTTTTTAAGGCTTTCGCGGAAAAAGTTGAGGGGGCGGATTCCGCCCCGGCCCTTTTAGGGTTAAACATTGCTGCGTCAAAACGAGGAATAAATCGCCTTACAATCGATGAGCTTGCCGCTTTAGTTTCAAGATGCATTCCAGGTGCGAACTATTTGCTATTTTTCTTTTCAATATAAAAGTTATTCAATTTTGTTTTTTTTAATGAGACTCCAAACAACGAATGCACGGACATTTAGTTTTTGAATTATTTCTTCTCAAAATTCGAATTATTGGTTGCAATCAGACAATAATTCGGGTCTCGTATAGGGCCGGTTCATTTTGTGTTCACATTGAAAGCCATTTTTAGAGGGTTGCAGACGCCCTCAATCGGAATAAAGTGCCTCTTTCTCGCTAATACCAAACCATACAAATTGAAAAGTCGTTTACTAGCAGAACAAAATAACATTTTTTGAATAGCACGAAAGTTTAAAAGCAATAACCTACGGTGGCAAAGGTCACGTTTTCCTGCTGTAATCAATAGTGGCTAAAAGAGAATCGATCAATATATTTGCTCTTTCAAAAAAAGAATACATTGTCTAAAACTATTACCCTTATAGCTGCTAAAAAGATTTCTTAGTGGATTTATAATGCGAGGGGCAAATCTGAACATGTTTAATACATTCAATTTCAATTATAGTTTAATCACATTTTAACCTTTTTTTTTCAATTTAGGTTTTGCCCTTCACCGACGCAAAATTCCATCTGATAACATTTTTTTTTCAATAAAGAGCATTGTGAGCATTGGTTTGAACGGCATAGGGTACCACCTCCACATGATAGCTCCGCCCCCACCCCTTCTTCCTGTCAACGTAGACTTAATTGTTACGTCACTGGCATACATTTGTAAACAAATCCCGTAAATCGGCAGGATTCTAATTTTGGTTACAATTGCCATACAAAGCGAGAGAAAAAAAATACCACCCCAACCTAATATTATAGTTATTACCATGTACAACACCATACATTTTTGACTTGTTTTGTTTTTGTGTTTCTTTGCTCTTTTTATTTATGTAACCGGTGAAATATTTCAAACATATTTCAATCATATCTTTTTGGCACCCTTTGATTTTTCCCATTTCTACTGAAAGCTTATTAATGTTTTATATCCCAATAGTCAGTGCATGGGTTTCTTTTTCACAAGTTTTGGATTGTTTTTATGCTCATCTATTTTCCAAGTATTGAAATCATTATTATCTTCATTGTTTTATGTACATGTTATATTTTTGTTCATTTAAAGACCACTGTGAGAATGAGTGAGAGAATCGATCCTTTCGCCCTGGGTGGGTCAGCCACAAGTTTCTGGAAAAATAATCAACTCCAGGCAGGAGGACTGAGTGCATATACCTCATTATCATTCATTAGATAGACTCTAGCTTTTCTACACTAGTTACTTTGTTTTATCACCCCCTAATTATTAGCTCTGTTTATTCATGGTCCCTGTGTGGTTCGCCCAAGAACGTGAGGCACTGGCCAACATCCTGTGGTTTAGATTAGCTTGGTTCGTTTTTGTATTAGCCACCAACAAGAGCACACACATGTTGTAAAGTCTCGTGATGTAAAGAAAGTTTTACAGCGCTGGCTGCGCTTTGCTTCCATGCGACCACTGATGAGAAATAAAAACAGTACATTTTCAATATAAACTTGAAGAGCCTGTTCCCCCGGTGAGTTTATATGTCTTTCCCATAAATCAAATGTTAACCGGTATCACTTACCTCGGGTATATATTATGCTTGATGACAAATCCACGCAGTACACGCGGAGGATCATTGCTAATGAGCAAGAATGGAGAAAAGGGCAAGAAAGTGTTAAGAACAAAACCAGACGCCCCCCCCCCCCAACGCACACACACACACACACACACACAGTCGTTTTTTGCTATGCTTCCGAGGATTGGCTTTGTGTTTTCCTTTGTCCCTGTAATATAACACTCTCCCATAGACTAAGCACACAAACCTGCGTTCGAGGACAATAGGCACCTTCCTTCGAGGATCAATGGCCCCTTTGTGCTCCTTTTGTTGTCTGTCCTCAGGCGTAATGCCATGCAGGAACACAATGATCTATTATGGTACACGACTTCTGCCATAATAACACCGACTCTTAAATTTGTATCCTTGTGGAGACATTTCTTTGTTCTCGTGTAGTAAAGTTTTCAATTTTGAAAGTGAAGTTTCAAAATGCTCTTATTTTAACCAGAATTAATTTCCTGGGCTGAAATTCGGACTTAATATCCCTTTTCTAAAACTCTTCCATTTGCGACGGATCAACCCACCTTGGAAATTCCTTGTTTTTGAGTAAAATCCATATATCTATTTCGTGAAAACCTTGTGGAGACCTATTCATCTATAGAAATTGCCCTGTGGAGACCTTTACAATGTTTTGTTCCCTATTGTGTGCGTGTCTCCACAAGGATACAAATTTGAGCACACATCGACCTTAAACGGCCAACGTAATGAAATTTGTTTAATGCAATCCTTCAAAATGCAGCTTTCGCACTTAACCTTATTTTCAACTTTCATTGTGCCATTCGGTAACTTTAAAGTTTGAATGCCAATGCCAATTTTCATAATCATGAGCAAAAGTGTGATGTCTCTCCGTGTAACAGGCATCTCAGCAACAAATATTGCCAGAATTTTGGATATTTTGCTGTCGCGAATTTTCTTTTCTTTGGTGATTTGTTGTTGTTTTGGCAAATGACAGTAAAAGCCAGTAAGCAAATATTCTCACACATGTTTTCAATTAGCAAATTTTGGGTTCACGATAACAGAAAACCCTTACTTCCTGAAATGGCATCACAGCAACAGCTCCCTCATGGAACATTTTAAATGTTAAAAAAACCCGCACGTTTCGATAAATTTACCCAAAGGGGTGTCAAATAGATGTCATACTTTTAAGAGCAATAGAAAGTTGCACAAAGTATGTTCCCAGGTAAGATTCATATCATGGGCCCTATCAAACTCTAAAATGTCCCGGGTCAGAGTTGACCCGGAAAAGGGTCATGTGGGGCCTGACCCTTTCCGGGTCAAAAATGACACTTTTCTGGGTCAAAATTACACTGTGTGACTCATCTTCCGGGTCATTTTGACCCAGAAAATTGTCATTTTTGACCCGGAATAGGGTAATTTTTTGACCCGGAAAAGGATCAGGCCCCACGTGACCCTTTTCCGGGTCAACTCTGACCCGGGACTTTTTAGAGTGTATAGGTTGATAAACTTTGGAAAAGACTCACAACATTTATTTTGTCGAGAGAGCTATATACAGTATATATTCGAATTTAAGGATCTTCAAAATATTATTTATAGGCCTACATGTTTTTGAAGTCCTTTATCACAATGAAATACCACTAGATGGGAAGTTGGAAACACAAATTTAGACGGGATTGTTTCAGATAGCAACAACGGGCACCAAACATTGTCACTGTACAAGAGTATTATTGGAAACGAGTCATAACCCAATCACCCTGCAATTAAGGCCATTGTAAGTAGGACCTCGTTGATTCTGATGAGCACCAGTGGCCCAATTATAAGACGATCATGACGATTACTTCCCCTTTTTTTTTATTTATTAGCCAATAAATCACTTAATTGCAATATAATAATGAGGTACCATGTCCATTAAATCGATCTCTATAAATAGAATCACACCAAGATTGCATATTCAAGACCTCTCTCCAAAACCGCACATTACTCACAAAAGAGATTTATTCACATGGTGCTACCGCAAACTTATCTTGTCTTAGTATTCACCTTGCAAAGCTTAATTCAAATCTCATCCAAAAATTGTGTTTAACAATTAAAACAATCTTGCTATCACTTTTGTAAAAATGTTTAGTACTTAACAACTTCGAAGCTATATATACATCTTCAATTGCTAAAACGCTATAATACGCTAAACGTGTTTATTATTTAACAAGAAAGTGTTTAGAAAAGTGCTTAAAATTGCTAAACTCAGTTTTTGCAGTGTTGTTTTCCCCGTCCTGTATCCACATCGTCATCACTTACCTATGATGCAAATACCACAGCTAGACCAAATACGCTCCATACTGCAACGTTGCTTTGTGGTCTTACATATATCCAACGAGCATAGAGTACCGTCTGCTTGCACTGCATGAAACGAAACTCCTCCAGCAACCTTCAAACACATACAACCGGGCACCAAACGCTAGCTGGAGATCAAACGAAACAATATCTGCAAGGCACGCTATATAAGACTGTTTAAGGCCGATGTTTACGGATCAGCTGATGCATGCACTGTGCCGCTCTCACCTTTGACGTATGGGTCAATATCCGCAGGATAGGACGCAGCCCAACCACTTGGCTTCACGAAGTTGTGTGCGAAACCCCAAATGCTAAGTGTGTCTGTGGGTACTTTCCTTGTGCGTATGTGTCCTTACTGCCCACACGGTATGCAATGTGTGCAGGAAGGCGCGGTAAATGGTTGCACTGATGTTACCAAAAAAAAGGACAAGAAGACACTTTCCAATGTCGAAATTTCACGAAACGGAAATTGTAAGAAAGATGACACAACTACGCATTAAACATGTCTCTCAGTATTTGGGTTATAGAGCATCCCGGGGGTTCTCTAGCTTAATTAGAGCATCCCAGGAGATTTTCTTAGAGCAACACACCAACACTGCACCGATTGCATGGGAGGTCTCTCAGAGCAACCTGGGGGTTCTCTTGGAGCATCCCATGAGGTTTTCTTAGAGCAACCCACCAACACTGCACCGATCGCATATGGGTTCCCTCCCTATGTTCCGACACCCAAGGGCGGATCCAGAACACAATTTTTTGGGGGGCCAAAAAACATTGTGGTCCCCCAAAAAAGTGGGTCTAAAAAATTACGGCGTGGGGTTCGGGGCCTGCGAGGGCCCCGAATTTTTTTTTCGATTTTAGATGCTCTGTGGTGCGATCTGAGGCAATTTCTGACCACTTTAACAAATTTTTTTGAGGAAAAGATGGTGGTGTACTCATTGCCTGCCTTTATTGCGATGTCACATTAAAAAAAAAAAAATGGTTTCGTTTTTTTTGGGGGGGGGGGCATGGCCCCCTTTGGACCCCCCCCCCTGGATCCGCCCTTGCCGACACCCTATATGTTCCGACAACCTGCATTTGAGATTGTGTTACTCCCGGTGAGGTTAAGTATTAGGTTTAGGGTTAGGGTTAGGAATATGAGCAGTCGGACTATATACAGCTATAGGGTGTCGGAACATAGGGGTGTCGGAACAGTGGTTGAGTAGTCGGAACACAAGGGGTGTCGGAACATATGGTGTTGGATCATAGGGGTGTCGGAACATTAGGGTTGTTGGAACATAGGCGTGTCGGAACATATAGGGTGTCAGAACATATCAGAGTTGTCGGAACATAGGGGTGTCGGAACATATAGGTTGAGTTGTTGGAACATAGGGGTGTCGGAACATAGAGGTGTAAACCGGTTCTCCCAGAGCATCCATATCCGCAGGGGGTTCTCTTTGAGCATTCTGACCAGCAACCGTATTGCACCGATTGCATGGGGGCTAGGTCTCTAGAGTAGCCGGGGTCTCTTAAATCATCCAAGCCCTCACTACACTCCATGACTACACTGAGTCCATTGAGGTTCTAGTCACAGCAATCCTATGCGATTATTGCATTGTTCGATGCTCTTATAAGAGAATTACACCTAAAATGCTCTAAGACAACCCTTATGCAATCAGTGCAGTGTGTGTTTGGATGATCTGAAACTCCGCTGGGATACTCTACGATGCAATCAGTGAATTGTTGTCGGATGTTCTTAGAAAGATATACTGGCAGGATCTAATTAGAGAACCCCTGCAATCAGTGTACTGCCGTGTGGGATGAGATGCTCTAAGAGAACCCTATGCAATCATAGTGCAGTGTGGGCTGGCATGATCTAAAATAATATGAAGTGATTTCAGTACTGCGGTGTCACAGCATGATGAAGCTAGGGCGTTCGATCATACAGAGGTTGTGGAATGCTCGAAGACATTTCTGTCATTTTTCGGGTATATGTAGCCTAAGGTGTGATGAAATAAAAACGACTATTGTGTCTGTCATGAAATGAGTACAAAAGGTACTTTTTGAGAGCTGTTTTTTCAGGTCCTTTTTCGACCCGAACGTGCAATTTGTGTAAAAGTCGTCGTTGGGGGCAGCAACCAAAACATAGTAAATCGTGACGTAATAAACAGGACTCCCGATGCAGCGTAGTATAAACGAGTCCTGTTTATTACGTCATGATTTCTATGTTTTGTTTGCTGCCCCCAATGACGACTTTTACACAAATTGCACGTTGGGGTCGAAACAGGACCTGAAAAAACAGCTCTCAAAAGTACCTTTTGTACTCAGCATTCCACAACCTCTTTAACCTAAATCAGGATAAATGTGTGAATTGGAGGCTGTCCAGATGAATTACCCCGAATCACCCGATTATAACTTCAGTAATTAATTGAGAATGTATTCAATCATCAGCACACTCAAGTTAATGAGGCATACATCAGCCAATCAGAATAGAAAAGATCCGGTATAAAAATGCTTCAACGATCAAAAGATCCGATAAAAGATTGATACAGGGAAAAGATGAAAAGATCCGCAAAGAAAAAATCCAGTATGGTAAAGATCCCCAGGTGCAATAAATGAAGGTCTCAGTAGATCGCGCCCACATACTGCCACAGGTTCTAGAGGCGCCCACCTTCCCACTCAGCACATGATCAATGCTAAAAGCACAACAGTTTTCAACACCAAGAAAACGTTCTTTGGCTTTGGAAAATGTACTTTAAACTCCCTTTGGTGCTGCACAATATATTGCATTTCCAACGAATCTAAATATGAGAAAATACATCTCACTCAGTCAAATTGCATTACAAACTATAGGCCTACCAGCCTTAATTTTACATGTCTCCAAAACATTTCTCAGAACCAAAAAAAAAATCAATCACTGGAATAAACAACGCGAGAGGTTTTACATGTGTACAGGGGCGGATCCAGGAATTTGTGCGGGGGAGGGGGGGGGTGTTCATCAGCCAAAAACAATTCTAAAATGTAAAGAGGTTTTTTTTCTCCGGACACTTGGGGGGGGGGGGGGGCTGGTACAAGCGGACATGATACCAGTATATTTTTTTTTCGTGTCAGAGCAGAGGGGTGGGGGGGGGGGGGGGTTCGAATCATTTGTTAAGAATTTCTCTGAGAAAAAAAAATTGGACGGAGCTAGTGGAGGGGTTGAACCCCCCCCCCCCCCCGGATCCGCGCCTGGTGTAATTCAAACTACACAGAAAATTTGCCAAAAAATAATCGATTGTTATTGCAAAAACAAAGGCTTGATAATAAGAGTAACATTTTTTGTGACGAGAAAACAAACCCGGGCTTTCTTAGCAAACGGACCTGTGGGTTCCCTGTTCGTGAGAACACTTTTGTTTTTCTGTCATGTAGGCCTTGAATGATATGGCATAAACAAAAAAAGTATTTGCTTTCAAAACACTTGATCTATTTTTAAGTAAAGCAAACCAGTCGGAAATGTCTCTTTTCCCGTGTTGTAGGCTTCTGGTATCGCCAACATGTATAAAAGCTTGACGTTGGTATAAATTTTCATAGTTCCTCGTACGATCCGATCTTCGACGGATGCCGGTCTGAAAAAAATGCCACTTTTTCATGAAGTCATCATTCACAGCGCGTAACATTGAGCCGTGCAAAGACACAAATCAAGGTAAGAGTATTTTGTGACATGTAAATTGGTCGGACAATAATGTATCAAATTGACTTGTAAAATGTTTTTCGGATACAACATGTGCGGTGACTGTGTCTAATGATATATCGTGAGAGTACCGGTAGAGGTTGTGTTCTTCATAATGGTGTATCTCTGAGCCATGGCACACGGGGTTATTTTGGCGATTGTGTATAATGTAGGGCCTCTTTAGTTTTGATCAAATCATAGAGTCAAGAACGGTTTGTTATCAATCCAAAATGCCTTTTTCAAACCAAAGCAGACTTCTCTTTATTTTGATGTCTTCATTTTTTTTGGTAATTTTGAGCAGGTTTTTTTTATCCAGAAGAAAATGCGATTTTCTTACGCGTTTTACGGTTGGTGCCATGCGAATTAACGCGATTTCGCGTGTTCACTGTACTACGCGGTTATCGCCATCTGTATTTTCATGCTGCGTTTTGTTGTCTTCATTCTCACTTTTATAGCGGCTTTACCCCAAAAATTCCCTCACAAAATTAAAACCCTGCCCTCTATCTACGACATACATGTTGGTTTGTAATGTCGCTAACTAGTTTGGTAAGTCCAATAACCTAAGAGTGGACTTTTTGTGCTCTTATACGGAACAGGGCCCTACACTGCGCAATCGCCGTTATTTTTTGGTAGGCAACTATAAGAGACAACCAAATACTTTACAAATTCAAGGAACTTACCGAGAAGAACTTTAGTTACAGAACATTACAGAGCATTACAGAAGATTACAACTAGCCGGGTTCTTCTTAAATATTGCGTAGAACAAGTAAGTCGCCTTGCAGCTATCCAAAAAGTCCCTGACAAAACTATTGTTGAAAAGCTTACTTGGCGTAAACTCTCTGCGAAATTATTCTTTCTGGCATGCTGCCATTTTGAAGAAAACAATAAAAGAAGGCAATTTCCAAAGATGCGTCAAGTAACGCATTTTTGGAATTCTCTCGTACCCCCACCCTGCAAACAGGACGCTGGGAAGGGCAGACGAATTAACGCTCTGATTGGATAGATTTTGCGTGACCTGTGACCTGCAAGTCATGACGACCATACCACAACCCAGCAAGGTTTGAAACGGCCGTTAAGACTGAGTCACTCATCACTGTTTTATTCCCATTCATAAATGCGGTGCCCTTTTTTGGTTGAAAAGCATAATAATGTAGGAAAATCTGTAAACCTATCTGTTTTGTAAATGTTCAACTCCGTTTCGAATTCACGAAGGGTCGAAATGCCGCCAACGACGCTCCAAATTTGTCCACATGGTCCGCAATGAAAAAGAAAGCACATCCGGTTTGGTGTGTATGCATTTCTATGGCAAACTTTTCGGATAGTATTTGCACGCATTGGCTAATCGCGGTCTACAGCTGCAGCCAGATGCTTTATACGTATAGGTCATGATAAATTACCCAGAATGCCATCCCCACTTCCTTAACAAGATTATGTGAAGCTCATCTGCCCTTCCCAACGCTCTGTTTGCAGGGCGGGGGTACGAGTGAATTTTTGGAAATGTCTGTTAGTAGTTGATTAATTGGTTGTAATTCGGCGAATCCGTGAACGGTTGCGCGCAAGCGTTGACGACGCACACGTGCGCGCAATTACTATTAGTATTATTCGTCGGCTCTGTATGTGACATCGCGTAGAGCTGCAATCGGCTGATCGAGAACGTGCCCCAGATGCTGATTTCGGTCGCAATTTAACTTTAAGTTTTACTCTTAACTATGGAAGGACTTGCATCTCTATTTAAAATGACTATTTAAAATGTGGGACAATGCAACTCGGGACAGTTGGGTACTCATCATGTTTTTCTGTCTTCCAACCAAAATCTGTTTCGTATTATGGTATCTGGAATAATCATGTTTCTGCATCTTGTTAAAAATCCTAATAATTAATGCGCCTATTAATTTGGACCGTCCCACATTGACAAACTTGGAATAGATGGTTGTGAGGACGTTTATATCCTACTTTTAGTTGCTCTAACCAATGAACATAATTTCGTTTAAAAGGCATTTTGTGGCCCAATTGGGCACATTCCAGGATGTAATGCCCCTTTGAGGGGAATCAGAGAGGGGAACAAATAGAAGTGAATTTGAACGCCCTTTGCAACACTAGACAGTTTAGGCCATAATAACGGACAAATGGTGCAAATTGTAACTACCTAGAAATGTCACAAAATGTCTCAAGACGTGGGTCAATACAGGGTGAGTAAAAAAAAAAACGAAACCCAAATGAATACAGGGTGAGTAAAAAAAAACGAAACCCAAATGTTGGGACCACTTTTTAGTGAAGTTCTGCATGTAGCACTTTCAAATTCTAGGATATAAAAGCCCAATTCATAAGCTTTCTTTTAGTACAAGAATCGTTCAAATCACTTATGTACTTTTTAAGTTACAGGATGTTAAACACAACCACTGTTTTAAGGTTCTGTCCACGGATCACAAAAAAAGTTCAGTGTTCTTTCAGCAAAATGAAAAGAAATCACATAGAGATGTGTGTGAATTGTTTTCGTTTTGATGAAAGAACGCACGCCTTTTTTGTGATCCGTGGACAGAACTTTAAAACGGTGGTTGTGTTTAAAACTCCGTAACTTGAAAAGTACATGAGTGATTTGAATTATTCTTAAACTAAAATAAAACTCATGAATTGGGCTTTTATATCTTAGATTTTGAAATTGCTACATGTAGAACTTCTCTAAAACAAAGGTCCCGACATTTGGGTTTCGTTTTTTTTACTCACCCTGTATAGGCTCTATTTACGAGTCGGCCATATTAAATTGAAAGCGAGGTAAGATCTTCATTATTGGAACTTGCCAGTGATAATTAAAGCAATGATAGTTCATTACAAATTAATGCCAGTCTGCTCGAATGGATGATATAAAATTTGTGATTAAAATACGCTAATTTTTAAGCCACATTTACCAAAAAAGTAATAAAGTGAGGCTTGGCACGCACTCAAATCATAAAACAGCCTGGCACCATCCCATTCAACAGATTACAATTTAAAAAATAGATTCGGGGAACACGACCGAAAATGGCTTCTCGTGAATAAGGTCTATAAACACTTTGTACCACTAAAAAACAACAATGTTCTATGAAATGTAGTATGCGTCATCTATATCCAGAAATACCTTATTATGACGGAAACGCCTACTCAGTTGCAAGTACATAACACTTAACAGGGTCAAGCATCCTGTGAAATGTATCGTCTGGTATTTATATTATGTTGCAAGGAAAGCGGAAAGAGTTGCCCACACAGCAAATTAAGCAGTCCGCCAACAAAATGAAGCATCATTTCCATCATATCAATTTTATTTGAGCCCTTTTCACCCAATTGGGAAGTATTTGGCAAACTTCTGTTGATTCTGAAGGTTCACGCCATTCCCAACGGCGAAAACAGCAAGGGCGGATCCAGGGGGGAGGGGGGGCCAAAGGGGGCCATGGCCCTCCCCCAAAACGAAACCATTGTTGTTGTTTTTTATGTGACATTGCAATAAGGCAAAAAAAAAAGAGTCTCCGGTTTCTGGTATGCGCGCGCGTCGCCGTAGCCATGCGCGTCGGCAAAATGAAAAAGTTTTCTTTTCAATGAAACATGATGTCTCAAAACCGCCAAACTCACTGGTTTGACTGGAATTCTGCTGCTGCACAATTTTAACGTGTTTTTAGATGGGGTTATGATCGAGAATAAGCTTTATGTGGCCTCTCTGGTCTCCCATAATATTTGCACCAAGTTTAGTCGGGCACCATTTGCAGACATCAGCCGACAATTGAAGCAAAAAAAAACAGGTTAAAAAAAAGCCGCGTCTCCGCACCACTTTTTGGGCAAGCTCCGTACCGGAAACCGGAGACTTTTTTTTGGGGGGGGGGGGCTAAAGGCAGGCAATGAGTACACCACCATCTTAAGCTGGCCCCGAACCCCACGCCATAATATTTTGACCCACTTTTTGGGGGGCCAAAATTTGTTTTGGACCCCCCCCCCAAAAAAAAAAATTGTGTTCTGGATCCGCCCTTGGAAAACAGCAGTATAATTTGATACATACCACCAGAATATTCGCACTCGAATGAACGATAACTGCAAATGCACTATGCCTCTGATAACCACTGCAGATGTTATATCTATAATACATTGGGTCTGTGGTTTCCTAATGATAAAAGAATGACATGTCTTTATAAACCACACTTTTTTTTTAAAAAGGGCCCATCGAGATGAATAGTAGGAATACATTTTGTGTAACTTTCTGGTCCTCTTTAAATTTTTGAAAACTATTTGGCATCCCTTTTTGGCAGTAGTACTCGTACTCAGTACTCGCGAGTACTACTCGAGTACCGTTTTTAGAGTACTTGTACTCGTACTTGTACTCGAATGTCAAAGTACTGGTACTCGAACTGACGGTACTCGTACTCGGGCAGCAAAGTACTTGAACTCGACATGTCGAAGTTGTACTCGATCATCAAGGTACTCGTACTGGAATGTCAATACTCGATAAAACAAAAATGGTATAGCTAGTCTTACCACGACCTCACTGCCAGTTTTATCGATACTTTATGGTTGATTGCGGAGAATTCGACTTCCTCTGCGCACCGTCCGGACAAGCAGCTAGCCGTGAGTGGGCCAATTACGCATAATGACCCATTTACCGTATGTGTGCACACTGGCCAATCATGCATGTATTTAATGTGAAACTCCGAGATGTTCCTTAAAATTGTCGTTCGATTAACAAGGCAGTGGAACGCCGCTATAACGAACATCGCGGGATCCACGTAAAATGTTCGTAATAGTGATTGTTCGGTATAGCGATTTTAAGCTGCCGGTGCTCCGGTACTCACTTTTCAATAAATGGCGCCCTTCATAACTTCACCCTGCACGCTTTCAGTTAGTTACTGAAAGACAACTTCGAACACGTGCCGACTATTGAATTATGTAATTACACAGTTTTGAGCTTTACCTACATCGATGGGTGGCTTCCCCTTCTATGCCTTGGGAAATAATAGCCACTTGTCGCTCTTCTGTTGACGGTTTTCTACAACAATGTTCGGTTGGTTTTGTACACAAAAATCGGGAGCCAAGGACGATGTTCGGTATAGCCGAATGTTCAGTATAGCGGTGTTCGGTATAGCGAAGTTTGTACTCGGACTCGTACTCGTACTCAGAACTACAAGTACCTACTCGGAGACCCGGAGACCTGTCTGTACTTGTACTCGGTTGGCAAAGTACTCGGCCTGGAATGGTACTCGGCAAGCTAAGAACTCGGCACTACTAGGTACTCGGATAAAAGTACTCGACTACAACACTGCTCTTTGGCAAATTGTTTTTTGAAAAGTGCACTTCTTTAAACGTTAAAAAAAATCCGTGCTTTTCCGGACAACCGAGGGCGACGTTGCTGTGATGTCATTTCAGAAAGACAATGTACAGCTTAGGGCGTTCTCTGTCCAAAAGTGTGAACCCAAACATTTGCTCGTTGAAAACATTTGTGAGAAAAGTCTCCGCATTGGCTTACTGCCATGTTATTGACACAACAACGAATCGCCAATGAAAAGAAAATTTACGACAGCAAAAACATCCAAAAATTCTGTCCACTTTTGATGCTGAAATAGCTGTAACATTGAGATTTCTGCCAGACATGACATCACATTTTTGCTTATTAAAAAAAAATTGGCATTAGCATAAAAACCAAAAAGGCACCAAAATACCTTGAAATGGCAAAACGTTTTATTGAAAGTAAGGTTCAGGGGGACTCAAAGGTGCATTTTCAAGGATTGCGTTAAAAAAATACATTGCACTGGCCCTTTAAAAAAATTCAGAATTGAACTTCCTTATTATTTGGGTCAGGCTCAGTATTCACGGCAAGCTTTATTACAGAAGGAAATAAACCCCAAATGGTACACTGGTGACTGGTACCGATCGGCACGCGTACCTTGATTTTCTCGAGCCTACACCATGCTACGCCAAGGATTTGGCCAAGCCGCTTATATGTGTTTCCCCAAACGGGAAACATAAGTGATATGATGATACATATATTTCTTGTAGTGACCGTATAATGTGACCGGTTCGCAATCGCTGCTGTGTTAGAAAATAGGAGGTATGCCGGTTTGCCGCATTCGTTTCTAATAACTTGGAGTTTATAGAGTAGGGAGTTTTCGAAAAGTCGGTTTCGTCTCCGGATCGGATTTAGGACATTAATTCGTGGGGAAATTCAGTTGAATATGAGTTCTAGTCTTGTCTCAGGAACATCAACTCCCATAAAATAATATAAGTCCAATGCATGTAGGTGTGTTTTCAGTATGTTTCGACTTATTCAAGACTTTAAGGAGTTCTATTGGCCAGTGATAAAGTCGAATTCAGGGACGAACCGAGGTTCCGCAAACACCTTACTCACTCAGGGCAAATGGGCCTTATTCACGAGTCGGCCATGTTGAATTGAAAGTGAGGTAAACATCTTTATTTTTGAAACTTGCGAAGAGAAATAAAAGCCAGTACATTACATGTAAATTTACTAGTAAAATACTAGTAAATTCAAGTCTGCTTCAATGAATAATTTAAAATTTGTAATTAAACATTTCCTAATGTTTTAATCCAGATTTAAAAAAAAAAAATAAGCAAAATAAGGCTGCATAAAAAGTCTGGCGCCATCCCATTGAACAGTTAACAATTTATGGAATACATTCAGGGAACGTGACAAAAATGGCTACCTCAGGAATAAGGTCCATAGGAAAGCGTAGAGCAAGGAACAGCTCGGTAGTCAAAGATGCATCGCCCGTGCATGCTATTTTCGAGTGTCACCTCGAAAAATAGATATATTTTTTTCAAAAAAGCTATCTTCCTAACAAAATAAAACTTATTTACTTTTGAATGAGACATTAAAACTACAAATTCCACCGACTTGTAGCCTTTTATTTGGAATTTATTCCTCATAAAATTCGATTTATTGGCTGCCAGACAATATTTGGGCTCTCACAGAACGGGTTTTGTGGATGTTTTATTTGGAGTAGTCTTTAAGAGAGAAAATACAGCTGTTGAACATAAATTCAAAAACAGTCAGAGATACAAGGTGAATAAAAAAAAAGCGGAACCCCCTAAAAATATAGTTCATATTTAAAAAAAAAATACGTACCACCAAAAAATAATAATTGCTGGAAAGCCAATTTCAGAAACTACCTTTGTATGGAAACAGTACTGAAATTGCTAACCCCGTTCAAAGAAATCATCATTTAAACGCACTGACCCTAAAACCTGTTTCGTCAACAAATAAAAAAAAAATATTGAGTGTTCTGACTGTTTGGAACAACAAAGAAAATGACACAGAAATCTTGTTTGCAACTGTCTATGAACCCTGCCTAGGCAAACAATACGATTTATAAAATCCCCTGAAGACGGGCCTTCAAAAGGACTTTGTTGAATATTTTGAACTTTTAAACTGAGGTTTTATCGCTGGCGATGTTTGAAGACAATTGTGACGACGATTCTTAAAATCGCATTTTTGGACGAAAAGGGTTTTAGGGTCATTGTGTTTAAATGGTGATATGCTTTGAACGGATTGAGCAATTTAATTTTTTTTTTTTTTTCATCTAAAAGTAGTTTCTGAAATTGACTTTCCAGTCAATATTATTTTGGGGGCTACATATTTTTTAAAATTTGAAATATATTTTTTGAGGTTTGGGTTCCGCTTTCTTTTTTACTCACCCTGTATAATCTTAAACTCTGTCAATAACTCTCAAACGTGCATTGTCTCACAAATACAACTTTCTGGCAGCAAACAGTAAGCGTAAGCACTATTCACAGAACGTCTGAACCAAGCAAGTTCATTCAGTTTCTTGAAACTGGCTCTGTTCAGTCAAGGGCGGATCCAGAACACAATTGGGGGGGGGCAAACAAAAATTGTGTCTCCCAAAAAGTGGGTCAAAAAATTACGGCGTGAGGTTCGGGGCCCGCTTAAGGGCCCCGAATTTTTTTTGGATTATCGGTGCTCTGTGGTGCGATCTGAGGCAATTTCTGACCACCGTGGGTTTTTTTTAGGAAAAGATGGTGGTGTACTCATTGCCTGCCTTTATTGCGACGTCACATATAAAAAAAATTGGTTTCTTTTTTTTGGGGGGGGGGGGGGGCATGGCCCCTTTGCTCCCCCCCCCCTGGATCCGCCCTTGTGTTCAGTTCAAAGGTTTCGTTACCCTTTTTTGGAAGGATCTGCAAAACACCTGCACTTATAGACTACGTCATTTCAACGAAATGTTGCACAGTATTGTTTGGGAAAAGTCCCCAAAACTCCCAACATCCTAGAGAGGATGTTGGGTAATCACACTTTACAAAAACAAAAAATGTAAAAGCCTCGGTTGTCCATTTATAGTATCATCCGCTTTGCAACAAGATATTCCATAAACACTTGTCCACCACGCAGGTCACAATGATTTAATTCGAGTTTATAGTATTCTAAGGGGTTGCGATCGATATTCCTGAACTAATTTGTCATTTTTGTGGATGTTTTAATTGGAGTAGCAGATGCGTGTAAAGGGTCCTTTCTAATGGGGTAAAAAGTTCGTGAAAAAGGGCACTATATAGCACATCCTTGCTGAAATGTAAACAGGGTTAAATGAAATAGTGGGGGGGGGGCAGGTACCATCTTCAAATGGGGGCGCTGTTCAAACCGGACACTATTAGACTATCAGACCAGAAATGGCGCTGTTCAGGGCGGCACAATTGCCGACTGTCACGGGGGGGGGGGGGGGGGGGGTCATCAGGTGCCATCTTCGAATAGGGGCGCTGTTGAAAAAAGGCACTTGAATTGAAAAGGGCAGTCTTTACAAATATTGGGGTAAATACCTCCTTACCTCCCCCCCCCCCCCCCCCCCCCCACCGCTGGCTACGCCTGCCTTCTGAATAGTTTTAGAGATTATGCCAGTTAAAAAAGGAGGAATAATCCTAGGGTAAGGGCCAATAACTGTCAAACATGCATTGTCTCAAAAATACCACTTTCTGGTAGCAAACAATATTTGACAGGAAAAGGAGAACAAAATATATGTATATAAATTATAATATGGCCTATATGCTCAATTTACAGAGCGTCTGAAGCAAGAAAGCAAGTATTTAATCTCTGGAAACTGGCTCTATGTTCAAATGTTTATTTCGTTAAAAGGTGTCTTTACCTTTTTTTTGGTAAGGATCTGCGAGTCATCAACACGCACGTACGTCATTTCAAGGAAATCTTCAAATAAAGTGTGCGATGTTGCACAATATTTTTTGGAAAGGCCAACATAACATCCCGTAGTCTTCGAATTTCCACACCATACCGCATTGCACCATATTTTGTATAGAGAATGTTGGGTACTCATACTTTACAAAAACAACATTTCTTTGTAAAAGTCCCCGTTGGCCACCGAGTCTGAGTATCATCGGTTGTGCAAGAGGATATTTCATAGACTTGCTGTATCTAAGATAACTACCGACTGTTGGCCTTTCATTTATTCATTGATTACCCTGTATATGCAGGACATTCTTGAAAGAAAGCTCACAGTAGGTCGACAAGATGAACGCCATACGATGCATTCTCGCAGCTTTGCTGGTCGTCTTTGTGGCGGCAACAGCCGTCGGATCTGGAACAGTGTAAGGGCAAATTTTTTCCTGATGTTTTACAAACCTAGGCTTTGTTTGGGCTTCGGCATATTCCAAGCTGAGAACTACAGCAAACCCAATTAACGAAAAAAAACCTAAAATTTAGTCTCATAAATATAATTCGATGTCGACCTGAAGCAGAACATTCTCTCATATTGTCCAAAAGTTTTTCAAGCCTGAAGCCTATTTTGTTCCGGCGATGAAGGCAAGACGAAACCGAGGTTTCGAAAACGAGAACCCTCGGTCGGTGGTGGACATATAATGTTTATCTTTAGTGACGAAAAATTATTAAACTGGGTGCATGCATAGAACAACTTAATATGAACATAATACTCAAGAAATTGTATGACTGTAGGTTGAAGGGTTCTGGAATAATCGGCTTTTAGGGTTAAGGTAATTGAGGATAAAATTAGGAACACAAATGGTTAAAGTGATCAGAAATTGCCTGGGATCAAACCACAGAGCATCTATACACAATCCAAACATTTCCCGGGGCCATTAAGCGGGCGTGCCCCGAACCCCACGCCATTCAATTAACTGGGTTTTTTTTTTTGGGGGGGAGGGATTGACCCTCTCCCCCTCCTCCCCCTCCCCCCCCCCCCCCCCCCCCCCCAAAAAAAGTGTACTGGATCTGCGCTTGTCACCTGCAAAACTTGCTGTATTCATCCGTAGGGATAACAAGTGCTTAATGACATACAAGTACTGGGGGACCGAGCGGTACACCTCGTACTACAAACAGCGTTACACCGTGGGCTGTGGCTGGTGTGGATGGTCGCGGTGCACTAGATACAGGTACAGTACGTTGAACTTCTGAAGAGGCACATGGGGTGCACACCAACCTCGTCCCCAGTGCTTACTTTATTTCCAACCGCGTTTCCAATAGTAAACCCTGGATAGTAAACTTTCTTCCTGTATCCTGATTGGATACCGCAATTGGCTAGTAATGGATTTTTATCGTGTACTTGGTGCTATATATTCACAACGTGCAGTACGTGTTTTCGCGATCATTCGTCCACGCCTCCTCGAAAATACTAATTTACTTTCCAATTTGTTCATATTAATATGAAATATGATACTGCATGTTGTCTCGATAAGATCGTAACAGTTTGATTTCAAAAATCGTGTTTTCGTAACTCACGCCGCGCTCGCGCTGCTACGAATTGACTCTGTTTTTACCCCAGACACCGCATACAAAAAAAAAAAAAAAAAAACGCTAATGTGTAACGCATATCCAGGCACCAGACTGTTCTCATTTGCATACGTGTGCAAAAATCTTGCACATGCAAATGATCCAATACCAGGGTGAGAGAGCAGGTAGTGGTGGGCGCGTACTGCTCGACACCCTGGGGACGAGGTTGGGTGCACACATTTCGTGGGCTTCGCGAGGGGGCTTCATATCCCCACCAAATTGAACAACGTGCGAGGGGGGGGGGGGCAAGGTGACGCGTTTGCCCCCCCCCCCCCCCAAAAAAGAGAAAAACAGTTGAAAATGAGAGGGGGAAAAAGAAAGAAAGATATGTTAAGTCAAATTATTTTGTTATTAGTTTAATACACATTGAACAAAATAGGCGTCTGCAGGGGTGTCAGTGGGGGTGGGTTGGATTAAAATGTCAACCCGCCCAACCTCGAAAAAAATGATAAATTGAAAATATGCTGGCAAAAGTACAAGGATTGTTTGGGGGGAAGTGTCCTTTGCCTGCCCCCCCCCCCCCCCCCGGGAAAAAATCCTAGCGACGCCCATGCACACGTTGTTCAATTTGGTGGGGATATGAAGGCAAGTATAATATTTCAGTTTAAGATTTTAAATTGGGGGTGGGGGGGGGGACCGGATATCCGCTGAAACCCCCCCCCCCCCCCCCACACACACACACACACACCCACACATCTTCACTGCATCCTATATATCATGGAGAAATAATGATCCTATCAAACCAGAGCCAAGTGCTGAAGTTTGAGCGAGTAGTTTTCATTAGCGATTGTTCACACTTATACGTGCAGAATACGAAACGAATTTGATTTCACGAAACATAAGCGGTGTGAAATCCGCCATAGCCTTGCTTGAATTATGTTTTTTTGCAAATTCACATTCGCACTGAGTATTTAAGTCGAACTTTTCGCCGAGTCTAATTGGCTCGGTGGGTCCTTACTCTATGGTGGTACTGTATGATGTGCGCGGACATCCGGGACATTTTTACGTTGGCCTATCTAGCTCCCAGACCCATTTTCTTGAAACTCAATGGCTCTTGAGTCTGGAGTGCTGAATGGTAACGCAAAATTAACCGAACACGTGCTGAAAAGATGTTTTCAACGGGTTGGCGTACAAATGTACGTGATGCGTAGTTTTATGTTGACTAATTTGTTGTTGGTTTTTGTCTGACAGGCAAGTATCCTGTGATGCCTACCGTCGCAAGTTGTACACCAGCAGTCGATATGAGTGTTGCCCTGGCTGGCGTAGAGACCGCTATGGAAAGTGCTCTGTGGGTAGGTGCACTGCATGGGCATCTTTTCATTTTTAGCCCCATGTGGTGCATGCCCATGTCGCGCAACTGAACTTCTTCATGTACTACACTGTGTCACTGCATGTGTGGAACTAGCCCCATAAATGTGGCCTATTTACTGGACTGCCTCCGTAAACATAGGCCACACATCCACATGTACAAAAATCGTGTCGACTTTGCCAAATTTTGATTTTCACATTTAGGCTTAGTTTGTAGGGTTTTTTGCTTTACTCACCCTCTTTATAGGCTAATCAGAAAGTGCTGCCTTTTTCAGATGTATATTTTTCGTGAATTTTCCAGATTCATGTTTACACGTTTGCGTATCAAAATTTCAACATGAAATTTCACAAAAATTAGACATCTGAAAAAGGCAGCACTTTCTGACTAGCCTTCAAAGAGGGTGAGTATGCTTCTAAAGCAAAACAATCCTACAAACTAAGCCTAAATGTGAAAATCAAAATTTGGCAAAGTCGACACGATTTTTGTACATGTGGATGCAATGCCTATGTTTACGGAGGCAGTCCAGTAAATAGGCCACATTTATGGGGCTAGTGTGGAACAAGCTAGTACGCAACATACAACATTTGCTGAATTTGCTGTAATTTTCAGAAATGGATGGATTTGGAGAGCCGGGCTACCGCTAGACCACACGTAGCCTTGACTCTACAATGAAATGTAGGACTCAGAGTCAATTTAAAATAATAGAAGAATATTCTCATTGTTTGGTGATAACAAAAACTACATGTTGAAAGAGCATTTCTTCTTTCTTTTTTTTGGCTTTGGATTTTCGGGGGGGGGGGGGGGCTCAATCGTATTAGGAATCGTCAAATAAACCATAATAATAATATTGAAATCTTGATATTAATTCACGCACCAAGAATCGATATTCAAACATCCCCGATTCCATTCAAGTCTGCTTAATTTGTTTCACTCTAGAGTATTAGTTGCACTATAATTGGACTATTTATATTAATTAGGATTTTTTTTTTTTTTTACATTTAATTCACAGCAATATGCAGTCCTCCATGTCATGCGACACGCGGATCATGTGTCAGACCTAATGTGTGCCAATGTAGGCCGGGATACTATGGTAGAACATGCCATACTGGTGAGTACAAGTCACAAACAGTGTCCGCCCAAGGCGTCTGTCCGAAAGTTCGTTAGTCCCAACTCCCAAGGGTCAATAGTCCAAATTGTTTGATAGTCTGAAGGTTCAGTAGTCCGAAGGGCCCATAATTAGTCCGACAATATAATGAACCGAAGGGACAAACACAGCGTTCTCAATCTCATAGCGGGGAAAAATCCAATTGCAAGAGGCGACTTAGACTATGGGTTATTGCCTTCTGCCTAACGAAAATATATGGTTTTCGTGTAAATTTTGGGGTCCACACTTTGGTGCTCAATCCATCGGGGTGCTAGCCTTAATTCGAGTCACACATGTTACTCTTTCAGGAAAGTTCCTCGAAAAGCCTGCACAGTCATTGTCTTGAGTCTAGACACGACAAAGACAATGGAGTCTAAATTGATAAATTGTGTTCGTATATCTAAGGCCAAAAAAAAAAAGTCTCCAGTTTTCTGGTATAGAGCTTGCCCAAAAAGTGGTGCGGCGATGCGGCTTTTTTTTTTTTTTTACCTGATTTTTTTTGCTTCACATGTCGGCTGATGACTGCAAATGGTGCACGACTAAACTGAATGCAAATATATGGGAGTCCAGAGAGGCCACCTAAAGCTTATTCTCGACCATAACCCAATCTAAAAACACGTTAAAATTGTGCAGCAGCAGGATTCCAGTCAAACCAGTGAGTTTGGCGGTTTTGAGATGTACATCATCTTTTATTGAAAAAAAAACTTTTTCATTTTGCCGATGCGCATGCTGCGGCGACGCGCGTGCATACCAGAAACCGGAGACTTTTTTTTTTTGGCCTAATAAGAAATTTGACATTTTATCAAATGAAGGCAGCTTTATCTTCCCTTTTAGTCTAACGGCCCTATTTTCATCCTTTGATTTTTGTTTTAATTTTCTTGTTTCAGACGTGGATGAATGTCAGAGTAAGTCATCGAACCAATGCTCACAGATTTGCATCAACACGGTCGGGAGCTACCGATGTGAGTGCAACACAGGATACCGTCTGGACAGCAACGGTCGCAGCTGCACCGGTACGATTTTGTAGTCTCTGTTTTCTGGAGTTTTGTCTTTATCCTCTTTTATGTCCTGCCTGCTATGACTATAGACTGCAGTATTTCAATCTATAGAATTCATTTCACTGTAGACGTAAGCGTCCTGATGTCCCCTGGTTCAGTTGGATACAGTGAATTTCTTCTTTCCTATTTCCAAAAAGTCAAAATTCACAGCCCGCGACTGGAAATTCAGACCAGACACTTTAAAGTGAAATTCTTTCAGTCGAAAAGATAAGTTCTCATGGGAGTTTTCAGTAGATTGATTCTAGTTCGGAGTATACCAATCTAAAGTTTGAGTGATTTTCACTCTAAATTGTGTATGAAGTAGTCACTATAGTTCTCTCTTTTGAAATTGGAAAGTCTACAGGTATCTGGACTAAAAACTGAATTTTCAAAAGTATCAATTTGTGGGACATTGTAATTGGAGTGATATGGATTCCTATACTATAGTGTTACGCAGTGTCGCAGTGATAGGGTCTGATCATAATGTCATCAAAGTACCACGTGACCATCTGGTTTTTCCGGTGATCAGCCACCATTGCAGTAGGCAAGCATTTGGTTAGCATGTCATTGTTAACTAGACAGAAGGGCTTATTTTACTTGTGCTTACCTATTGTGCGTGGCACTATAATATAAGATTGTTGCCTACTACAATGTCAACGCTGACTTTACGGTACTCGGATGTAGGCCGGGTCACCTGGGTCAGTACGAAACACAAACATCTCCAAATAAAGGCCAAAAACAAAAAAAATACTCGGTTTCTGGTCAGCGCGCGCTTCGATTTTAATCATGCGCGTCAACCTTCTTTTTTTTCTTCAAAAGCTACAACAGCGCCCTCTATTTCCGCACCTCTTTAAATTGTTGTACCAAGGAGCACCAAGGAATGGGGAAATTGCACCAAGGCAAATGATAAAGGGCACCAAGGCACATTATGGAGGACACCAATGTATAATGAGGACACAAAAAAGCAAAATAGTACCCACCTTGTCTATACAAAAAAAAAGCCACAAACAAAAACAAAAAAAAACGCGTCGCCGTATCAATTCCGGAACTTCGGTCTGACCAGAGACCGATTATTTTTTGGGGGGCCTAACTCATAATGCTTTTCACATGGAAAAGCACACTTAGAGACAAGCAGTGTTTATTTGTTGAATTTTGAACTGTCCAACATTTTCCCCTTTTTTTTTTTTTTTTTGGAAATAAAGGCAAACTTTTACTTCATGAGTATTTTTTTTTTTTTTACAGACATTGATGAGTGTTCCATGTCTCGCACCCACGATTGTGAGCATACTTGCAAGAACACACAGGGTAGCTACAGATGTGAATGCTACATAGGTTATAACCTTCAACCTGACGGGAGAGAGTGTGGAGGTATGACGGTTTAATTTCTGCAGTCCATCACGGGCGAACTGAATGACCGATCGACCCACCAACAGAAGGACCCACCGCGCAACTCATCGACCGACTGACCGACCAACCAACCAACTGTTCGTTGGCGCAACGGACCCACCTTGCAACAGACCGACAAAATAACGGCCAAACAGCTGTTTGACCGACTGACTAACGCACCTTCTGACAAACCATCGATAGATTGTGCAAAAAAAAAATAATAGTTCTGCTTCCGGTTCCCCTACCTACCCTATTTTGACAGCCCCTAGCCTATTTTTTTTATGGGGAATATGAGGAAAAAACACCCAAAACCATCAATTTCTACCTTTTACCCTCGACTACACGCAGACGCCTCCATATGATCGTACACACACAAAAAATGGCCAAAAAAAAATTCCCCTACCTACCTACCCTATTTTCGAATGCCATGTAATTGGAAGCAGAACTATTTTTGTTTTGGCCTTGACTAACTGACCATCCGATCAATCAACCGACTAATCAACCATTCATTAAAGGGAAAATACAACATTTGCAAACATCAACAAATAAAACTACCAAATCATTTTGAAATACCTTGCTGGACTGTTAGTGAATGACAGTGTAAATCATCCTGTAAGATCATGGCACCTGGTATACTGTCATTTTCAAGAAAAGTGGTATTTTTGTATCAATTTCCAACGCTGATCGGCCGACCAGCGTTGGAAAAAAACTGTTTTTTTTTTCAAATACTGGCCCCAATTGACCATCGCATTTATTTGCAATCGATTACACACCTATGAACGGGTACAAGCCAGCTAGACTGGTTCCCTGACCTTACAATTCCCCAATGTATCTAAACTGCTCTGTTTCTTCTTAAATGGAGTCAGGGAACCAGACTACAGGAAAATGATTGTTTTTCTTGGTTTTTATAGCATTTTTGAACCCAAAACCTCAAAAAAGGCAGTGTAACTATATTTGCTATATATTTCCAACCCCCCAATTCCATCCATTTCTGAAAATTACAGCAAAAGCAAATGATGTATATTCCCTTTAACTAACCATTTATATTTTTCAACATCTTTCTTGGTTTTAAGATATTGACGAATGCGCCAGAATGACTGACACCTGTGAACAGTTCTGCGTCAACAGAGATGGAGGCTTCGAGTGTAAATGCTCCAGGGGATATGAGTTGTCTCCTCCCACCCAATGTTTCGGTAAAAATAGAGTTTTTCCCGGCCAATTTCAACAAAAGCTCGTCAATTTAATAGACGCCCATTTCATCTCATTCCAAATTGAATGCTACCTTACAACGGCATTCAGTCGTAAATATGAGTTATTCAATTCCATTGTTTAGCACGCTTTCGACAAATTTCAAATGGTTATTCAATTCATTCAACTTTGTCGAAGTCGGTAGCAAGACGTTGATCAACAATTCAGCTTTATAGATTTGCAAACATTTTTTTACGTGTGTGCATTTAAAAAAAAATTTGTCATATACTTCCATATTTGTGTTGTTTTTCTATAATGGTATTAGTGTCATTTATAGTTGATTACATACATGGTCTGGGCCTTTATGCGTAAACGTATCTCTCTCAAAGCGATATCTGGTAGAAGTTAAAAACAAAAAGATTAAAAGTGCAGACTTGAAAGCCTATTATCTGAAAAGAATGACCAAAACTTGAATGATAAGAACGACATCATGTGTGCACAAATACAAAATTGAATGCAGAACATGATTGAAATATCTCAAAAGAAACCCTACATTCTTAATTCAGAAATCTGAGTGAATTTGAAAGCATTTATTATGGATTGAACCTACCTGTACATTACACCTCAAATACATTGTAATAAAATGTAACAAAATTAAATACAGTGGAATCTTGATAAGTCAAACCTCAAGGGAACAGGTTCAAAATTTGACTTCAGCAGAGTTTTGAGTTAAGCAGGGTTGTATATCATTGTTATACTACTGAAGGCAATGGATTCTTTGTTTGACTTAACAGTTGTTTTGAGTTATCAGAGTTTGACTTACGGAGATTTCACTGTAAATTAAACATTCAAAGAAAAAGACGACAAACCAGTTTCTTTTATTTCCAGAGAGTTTATTCATGGTGATGTGGAATATGTCAACTGATATTTTGTTTTCGGGGGGAACCCATCTTCTTAATTGTTTTCTTGTAATTTTGACAATAAACAGACATAGATGAATGTGAACTGGGAAGACCGCATCAGGACTGTGATCAGATTTGCACCAATGCCGTGGGCACTTTCAACTGCTCCTGTCGAGATGGTTACCAACTTGGAATGGACGCCAAAACGTGTGTCGGTAAGGATACAATTACAGGCCATTTTTTTTCTGGTAATGAGGGCGCTTAATAACAACGCCATCTTGGGTTACAAACAACTGTGAATCCCACATTTTTTTATATATATATATATATTTTTTTAATTCAATATTGTTATAATTAAACAAGCTCGATCGGATCTCGGAACCTGCAGGCCAACAAATTTGTGTTCACCTTATTGTGACCTTTGACCCCATTGCTGTAGGTCAGATGAAGAGGTCACCGTGGACATTGTTTTAAATCTTGACCCAAGGCCAACATGTTGACAGCGCTGTTTTTGTCATTTGAGCTTGAAACTTGACCTTAACTTGACCTTGACCCCATGATGACCTTTGACTCCAGTTTGGTCATGTGACATGTTGGGGCTGGGCTACTGCATGACAAAGTTTGGTTGAAGTCAGTCAAAGTATGTTGGAGCAATAGACAATGTCAACGTTTGTCACTGACTAACTAACGAACTAACTTACTAACGTACGGACTAACTTCTACAAGTTTTAGGTTGAAGTAAAGTTAATTGCTAAATCGCATAGATGAACATGTCATGTCTACTTTTTATGCAGTTAAGTTACACGTACCTCTATGTTCATGTTTTCATTTGTACTGAGTAATTACTGTACATGTACTGTAAAAATTGTCTCTGTCAACTGGAACGTTGCATTGATAGAAAAGTCAATACTTGTGGTTTTTTTTTTTTTCAGATATAGATGAGTGCGCACCCCCTATGAACTGTGACATGATCAAAATATGTGACGTCACAGGTCAAGGTTCAAACTGCTCTTACGTCGGTGGTCGGCTGATTGGCATCGGTGAATGTGATGGTATGATATACACCCCCTTAAATAGCGCAGCCATCCAGGTGCACATTCATGTCATTGCTTGCTCATTAAAGCTCTGGACGCTGTACATGTGTGATATGATGTGCTGGTCTCAAAGGGGCCTTTCAGCCAATAACCAGTCGGAATCAACTGGATGGTACTTTGTGAGCTTTGGGACCAGCTTTACCAGGTTTACATTATCTTGTTCATCGTGTATGATGCGTTTCCTAGGCGCTGGGAGATGCAGCTTTTTATATTTGGTATGCGTTTCACATTGAGTGCAGTTTCAGAGCTTGAGAGAAACAATTATACTCTGGAGGGACTCGACCCTAATTACTAGCCCTTACGTCCTTGGGGTCAAGTACCAAATACCACAGAATACTACAGGTGTTGTGCACACTTGTATGGAAAGAAATGCATACTACAGGTTACTACTCGGTAGTATTTTGTAGCTTTGGGACGGTTAGCTTAGGGTTAGTGCAGATGCCCAACCACTCAACCTCTGAGCTTACTGTGCGGTACTTCTTTAATTTAATAAAACGATGTCCCTGTCCCTACTCTTCAACTGACTGAAATTCTCTCTCCCCATAAGCAGTTTATTATATTTATTTAAACACAAATATTGTTTTTAAAGAAAAAAAATTCTGTTAATCATTATTTTATTTTATTTTATTTTAGGCATCAGGCATGCAACATTTCCTGAGATCAGCTGATTTTCTCTTTTTTTTACTTCCCATGTGTACCATAAGAACAAAAGAAAAACACTCCACAAAGTCTTGGAAAGATTTGAATTTCCTCTGGTGACTTCCCAGTTGCATGCCTAAGGCATCTGCAGGCCTTTTAAAAAAAGGCTTTTATTTTGGGGGTTTTATTTTATGAAAGATACTGCCTTGTGAGTAGACTTATTCGATCCGGACATTATTGACTCTGAAAGGTTGGCGGGAACCGGTCTTGGTGGGAATCAGTCGGTCTGCAAGTAATTCAGAATTCCAATCAGTCCTAATAAATAATAATGTGCTTACATGTATATATTGCGCTTGATACTAACAGCCGCCTCAAAGCGCTTTACAATGTGACCCGATTATTTTTCTTTCCATGTCTTATTCAGAGGTGGATATGGTATTGCCAGAAAAATGGCGGCTGAAAACATCTATTTTGGGGGTTGGAACTGCCAAAAGCACCGACAGCAAGGGCGGATCCATAAAAAGTTTTCGTTTTTTGGGGGGGGGGGAGGGGGGGCCAATGGGGCCCAGTGACATCGCAATAAAGGCTTGCACTGCGTACACCACCATCTTTTCCTCCAAAAGATTTGGTTAAAGTGGTCGTAAATAGCCTCAGAACGCACCACAGAGTATCTAGAATTAAAAAAAAACCCACGCTGTAATTTTTTGGGACCCACTTTCTAGGGGAACAAAAAAAAATTCCCCCTCCCCTTAAGTTGTGTTCTGGATCCGCCCTTGACCGACAGTACATCTGTAGGCAATGAATGCATGTAGAGTTTGTTAACTTAACTTTTGTGACATTTTCTTGGTAGATGTTAACGCGTGTTCACTCGTAGACTACAACTGTACCGAGTTGCAGGTCTGCCAACAGATATCACAGACACTCACTTGTGCGTGCATTGAACGCAATGGACACGCCCTGACGGACAACAGTGGAGGTGGGTGTTTCACATTTAAAGATGCAGACAAGAATGAAAAAAACCTAGTCAGTTTGACCAGAAAATAGTCAAACTTTTACCCAGTTGACTGCAGCTGCTTTACGCATCTGATGAGCACCAGCACTGTGCACAAGGCCCCTATTCAATGGAGAAACCATTGTGCATGCTATAGTACAAAAAAACTGCCCCGTGATGGTTTATCTGAACAAAAGCTAGCACAATGCTTTCGCCATTGAAGGGGGCCCTGTGATAGAATGAATAGCCTGCCACGGGTGCGTTTTGGCGGTCATAACCAAGAATTGGTTTGGTGGTTTCTCTTTGGTTAATTGTTTTGGGGATTTGAGTACTACATGATCATGCCTAATTCTAACCCAATTAAAATTGCCGAAGAAATTCACCGACAAGAAACAACCGAACCAATTCTTGGTTATGACCGCCAAAACGCACCCCTGGTTTGGTCTATGGGCTCCATGCGCCAACAAAAGAGGGTGGTTTTTACCACTTTTGCGAGCCCCGTGGACGGGACGCACAGCTGTACTGGTTCGCGCGCAAAGTACGCACGACTTCCTGAGTGTGCCAAAGTTATTAGCCATAGTGTCTTCACGTGAGCGTCGGGCGTCGTCGGCGCGCAAATGTGTTCGAATTTTTCTTGCAATGGTCTCCCAGATTAAAGCTATAGTCCATCATTTGCAGCCATCCGAAAAAGTAACTGGCGTAGTATTGTTGAAAATTATACTTGGTTGAAAGATAGTAAGGGGGCTAAACTCCCTGTGAAATTAATCTTTCTGGCATGCTGTCATTTTAAAGTAATCAACGAAAGAAGGCCTTTCCAACGGTGCATCTTAAGACGCACCGTAGGAAAATTAAATTAGTAGTTCGTTTTGTTATTCGCCGCACCCTCGGTTGCTATAATTCGTCAGATCAGTGCGCGACATCGCATATAGCTGCAATTCAAAACATGATTCAGCAAATTTTGATTTGAAATTGAGATCCTAGAATGCTGTTTTTCTCGGAATATACAGCTAAAGCTGAGCTGAAACTTCATCCGGTTAGTTGTTCAGTATCCTTCATTAGATTTTGAACACTTTTGTTGCTTCAAACGAACAAAATGCACAAATTACAAATGATGGACTTTATCTTTAAACCCCGCCTCAATAACTTTGGATCATTCGAAATACGCAGTGGATGGACCGGGAGCCAGTTTAGGTCTCCCCCAACTCTCCTTTTCTGGCCGCTGAAGGGGTGCTCGTGCGCGGAGCCCATAGACAACAAATTGGATTGTTAGTTAGTCAAAACTGACTTGCAGATAGAACTATAGGTAGAACTAGTCCGAGTAACTAGGACTCTTCGGATCGCTTTTTTAACATTTGGACATGGTCAGGTGATAGTAGAGTCCGAGATCCATGGCCCTATTGCGGTTACTACTAATTGTTTTGACCATTTTCACTCGTACCCCCAATCAAAATCGTCAGATATCACCCCAAAACGGTCTAAAAAACTGCCTTATGCGCCCCTGTAGGCTTCAGTGGGAATTGAAAAATACAAATGGCGGTGGTTAGGTTTACATACCTTTGGGAAGAAAAGAGAAATTTCACCTTCAATTCGGGAAACATCCATGTCACAAACGCCTTGTTTGAGGCTGCCATTTTGAATTCAGGAAAAGTAGACTGGTGCATGGCTCTTGCTACACTGTTCCTGGCAAGCATCAGACAGACCAATCACAGGGCACTTTCATTGGTCACCTGACATTCCTGACCAATTACAGGGCAGTTTGATTGGTCAGGTGACCATTCAAAGTGCCCTGCATGGTCTTTTCCTGAATTCAAAATGGTAGCCTCAAACAAGGCGTTTGTGACAAGGATGTTTCCCGAATTGAAGGTGAAATTTCTCTTTTCTTCCCAAAGGTATGTAAACCTAACCATCACCATTTGTATTTTTCAATTCCCACTGAAGCCTACAGGGGCGCATAAGGCAGTTTAACTCCCGAGATAACAAAACCTCACAATTTCAAAATTTTGAGAACCAGATTTGTTTACTCAAAGCATTTTTTGATTGACAAACTCACACTTTAGTCCACAAAGGAGCAAATTTCCTGGTTTTTTTTGTTGATGAAACTGTGAACCATGTTTATTTTTTCCCCTTCAAGCTGTTTCTGGCAGTCTTTCGGCCGACCCATCCTTGCTACGACGCTGTGAGACTGTGAACGGGCGTTTCGACTGCAGCCTGCATCAAGGCTACCAACTGGTCATTGACAACACGTTTTGTGAAGGTGAGTTTGCAAAAGTGAGCGTTACAACTAAAAGAATATGTGTGACCTGTTCTGTCCAAATCAGACTTTTCTGGGCTTCAGGTCAAAAATGAGATTTTTGCTTATTGTTGACATATGTTCTTTTTCCTTTTAATAGGTGGTTTAATTTTTGAAACCGGTCATTCCTGGGCAAAGTTATGCTACTTTGAAGTTCATCGTGTCGAAAAGTAGAAAACGGAGAAAACGGCAGTTTAAGTTTGGGGTCTATTTTAAGACCTGTTTCATGTGACATCTCTTTAACTGATGATTTGTTAAGGTATTATACCTTAACAAATCATCAAAAATACTGATATACCTTAACAAATCATCAAAAATACTATACTTAGAGTTCAAATTAGGGTTTCAAACTTTTATATTATACTTTACACATGTTCAGGATTACAAATATGCAAAACTTAGGAAATAAAAAAAAATCACCCCACAGCGGGTTTTTTTTGGCCCTATTCTAATTTCAACCTCTGCCCAGAAGCATCTGCTTTTGACAGAACAGGTTACATGTGTCCTGCTCTGAAAACTCAAAAAGGCAATTTCACATGTCGTATAGCCTGAAGAAGATTAATACTAACTGCTTACTTGATTGATACAAATGTTTTTTTTTTGTTTGTTTTTTTTGGCAAGACGGGATTAAACATAACTGCACGGAAATGGAAGTCTGCAAAAACACGGTGGGTGGTTTCCAGTGTCCGTGTAAAGATGGCTACATCAGGAACAATGACACCCAGGAATGCGATGGTAAGAGCAGCGGTTTGTGCGTGTTGCTAAAAAAAAATTTTAAAGAAATCTAATGACAAAAATTTTTTGGTTTTTTTTCCGTTGTCTGGAGATCCCTTTAAATGATGATTTGTTTCGCTTTTGGGAAATCCTCGGGTCTGTTTGTTTTTAATGTTTATATCTTGATTGCCCGACAATAAATAAATAAATAAAATAACTAAATAAATAAAATCAACATTATTAATCAACATTAAAATCAACATAATTGTATGGCATTTTGGCGGTAAAACTGCTGTTCTTGAAGAAAGCTACTCTCCTATAAGCAGCGCAGAAGAAGGAGTCACTATTTGGTATGAACTATTTTTTTTTTACAAATCTTGCAAAGTAGATATAAACAGAAGCAGTTTAGAATTTTAACTAAAATCCGTATATATGCCTATTAAGTGACATACAGGGTGAGTAAAATACAAAGCGGAATTCAAAGCCCAAAAAAATATATTTCATGTTAAAAAAAAATATGTATCACCACAAATAATAATTACTTGAAAGCCAATTTCATAAGCTAGTTTTAGAAGACAAAAATTACTGAAATTGCTTAATAATTTTGTTCCTTTCATCATATTTTTCTTTCTTCTCTCTGGTGCTTTGCCAAGAGTGGCTTTTATAGTTGTTTTTATTTCCTTAAAAAAAAACCCAGACAGTTGCTGGAGCTGCTACTCTCTTATTTTTATAGAGTGAAACTTTACTTCACACCACTGAAACTAGACGAAACGTCGGTGAAGGGCAAAACCTAATTTGATTTATATCACCCGACGCAAAATTCCATCTTATAATAGTTTATGCGGTACCCGCTGCTATGTACATCAGATTCGAACCGGCCAACCGATCCCGTTAGCTCGGTGGTAAAGTGGTAAGACATCTGCACTAGAAAGCAGGAGGTCGTGGGTTCGAGTCCCATCCGAGTGATTTTTCCAACTTTCACTCGGGAGGTAGCACACTGAGTATACAGTGTTTAAAAACGTTGGTGAAGGGCAAAACCTAATTTGATTTAGACGATAGTTCATTCAGTCAAATAGAAAGTGGTCTCTTGTTTTGCTCTTTGGGGTAAAAACAATTTGGGATTTGTTTTGCTTTGTCCACTTGCAGATATTGACGAGTGTTCGACTGACCTTATGAACTGTCCGGAGGGAACGGTCCAGATCTGTCAGACCAACGTCAATGGGACCATCGAATGCCAGTGTGTCCAGGGAACGCCCAAAGAGTGTCGCGGTAAGGGCCTGGAGCAACTCATGTCCTGGACAAAGTCCAGACATTGTATCGGGTAGAAGTTGCAGGATTCTGAACAATGATTGCACAGGATGCTTGATGCTATTTACTCACAGTCAAATAGGATATTTCATGTTATTTAACCCTGGGAGCAGCTTAGCAAAAAAAATCACACCGTGGAACCACGTGGATAATTTTATCACCACATGTGTTTCTAGGTCAATAACCCCCGCATGCCTGTACATGCACAAGATATAGGTCATTCACATCATCAGGGATTGTTTACAACCTGTCTGAGCTCTGGGTGGCACGAGGGGTTGACGCAAAGAGATCGGCGGCACAAAGGGTCTGGCCACCATTTTCTCCAATTACTGCACAAAGGCATGAGCCGCCATCTTGGCTTCTGTCTTTCAACACTCCTTACTCTGGAGTGGCTAGGGTCTGGCCAATGGGAGTCTACAGGCTTGTGTTGTATAGTAGGGGTGAGGATTAGATGGAAGCTTGGCCTAATTGGTCCATTGAAAAAAAATATTATGCCCAAATTTGGAAACTGGGGAGAATTTTATCACCGCTTCGCTGCTCGGAGGGATAAACGGCATACAGATCCTTGTCAAGTGATTGGTGGAACTCACACTACGTGACATTCGTTATTACTCCCATTCACCCCGGGTCACTCAAAAAGTACTATCCGCCCATGGGAAATGGGAAATACTATTGAACAGTTAGGATCATTCGCTTGTACCCCCGCCCTGCAAACAGGACGCTGGTCAGGGCCGACGTCATTTGAGCTCTCATTGGATAGATTTGCGTGACCTGTGACGTAGAACGCGTCACACAAACTAGCTTCCAGTGCCCATCATTCGTAGCGCGCGCTAGCTGCAAGCGAAGGTCAATCTGTACTTCCTTCACAAGATTCTGTGAAACTCATCAGCCCTTATAACAGCGCCCTGTTTGCAGGGCGGGGGTACGAGCGAATTAAGATCATTCTTTTTCAAAGACGCGGTAATTGTGTGCAAAGGCATGCTGCTGTGCGCGTTCAGCGTTTCGCGTAGCTCGTATTGTTCCAAAGAGCCAGCGCTACAGAGTGGGTTCAAACATGTTCGTGAAGGGGTGGTTTGGAAGATCGAAATAATTTCCCATCAATTTGTAGTGAAAGAAAAGTTCAAATATATCAAATGACAAGGATCTATATCTCAGTTTCATAAAACAAATATTGAGTGGTTTTAAATTGTGAAATGGGAGGAATATTATCGCAAGGTAAAATCTGGACTTTTTCATTTCACGAAGCAAAGCCGAGTGAACTGGAAAAGTCCAGATTTTACTCTAAGCCACTCAGTGTTGGTATAATATTTTACAGTTTCATTGTTCAGTGTTAGAGCATTGGTGTCCATTAAATTTGAAATTAGGATAGCTTTGCATTTTGATGTTTTTCATTACAGCTGATAATTGTGATCGGTGTTATGGCGGCGTGCGGGTATGCCGAGATGAGAACGCATGCACCTGCTACGAGGAATTCTTTCTGAACACCGACAACAGACCTTGCAAAGGTAATTTAGCCATCGCACAGGCCATGTTATATTTGTGTACAAATTGGAGCAAATTTGGGCAAGGACTGTAGGAGAGTAGATTTGTGATGTAACTAAACACCTGCACACTAATAACAACCTGCGAACGTCCCTAGTCAAACAACGGTCAAAACACCATCACGAAACTTCGTGGTACTGGCTCCCCGTTGTGCTTTATGATTAGCGCGGCTGTTGGTAACCAGCGATGCAACCGCGCCCTATGCTCCCATTCCAAATAGTCGACTAGAGTAGTCCAACCATTTTTAGTTCGAACGATGTAAGTCAAACTATGGTTAACTATCCGCTCCGTTCACAAGTACCCCCTCACCGGCAAAGAAAGTGCAGATGGGGGTGACCGACCGACGCCATCTTGCCTGAATGCAATTTTGCCGCGACGCACGGCCACCATGCACTAGCAACTGCGTGTATACATAGTACAACTGAATACCCTGGTGTACGTGCGTCACACACAAGGAACGGTGCGCGTCAACCAGCTAAATGTCCCGCCCATGGGCCTTCGTTGCTAGGTAAAAGGGCGCCCTCTTTCTTTGGCGCACAGAGCCCATAGTTTCATATATTTTATTGTTCAATTGGCTGTTTCTTTTCCAGGAGGAGGATGTGCGGAAATGATCCATGACTGTACTGAGATGGAGAATTGCGTGAATACCATCGGAGGGTACAACTGCACATGCATGGAGGGCTACGTCAGGGAGGACGTCAATGGAAATTGCACAGGTGAGGAAAACACAAAAGATCATATTTTTGAGTCGATTGTGGGCGCTGTAACGACGCTAGAAAATATTATTGGTACTCGTACTCATGAAAATATACTCGTACTCGTTTATTTCTTTACCTGAACTCGTACTTGTACTCATGACAAAAACTTGTTCTAGTACTCGTATTCTCAGTTTGCAACAAAAAAAAAAAAATTAGCAGCTATCAGAGGGGAAAAGAAACAGTTTTCTACGGTTCAGGAGGCATTTGCATTTGTTTAATGCCTAGTTTGACTGTAGAAAAAAGCCGATAAAAACATGTGACAAATTGAAATTTGCTCCTACTTGTGGAAAGTACTCTTTTTTGTATTCATTTTGTACTCGACTACAACACTGCCATTTAATTACTAGGTTCAAACACTAGAAACATCAGATTCACATCACAAGTCATCACAAATCAGTCACAAGTCACTGCAAGTCAATCACAAGTCAGTCACAAGTCAGTCACAAGTCAATCACAAGTTAATCACAAGACAATCACAAGTCAATCCCAATTCCTCACAAGTCACTCACAAGTCACCACAAGTCACCACAAGTCACCACAAGTCATTACAAGTCACTCACAAGTCATCACAAGTCACTCACGAGTCACCACAAGTCACTCACAAGTCATTACAAGTCACCACAAGTCATTACAAGTCACTCACAAGTCATCACAAGTCACTCACAAGTCATCACAAGTCATCACAAGTCAATCACAAGTCAATCCCAATTCCTCACAAGTCACTCACAAGTCATCACAAGTCATTACAAGTCACTCACAAGTCAATCACAAGTCAATCACAATTCCTCACAAGTCACCACAAGTTGCTACACTCAATCACAAGTCATCATAAGTCAATCACAAGTCATCACAAGTCAATCACAAGTCAATCACAAATCAATCACAAGTCAATCACAAGTCAATCACAAGTCATCACAAGTCATATCACAAGTCATATCACAAATCCTCACAAGTCGATCACAAGTCATCCAGTCCCTCGTCAACTCACAAGCTATAATTCCTTTGTCATTATTCATCTCATTGACATTTCTGACTTGCGATTGACTTGTGTTTGACTCAATTACAACTATCTGAAAAATGTGCTTCTAATGCAAACCTCAATCTAAAATGGTTTTCATTTCTCTTCGCAACTGAAATATGAAGATGTGGACGAGTGTCGTGATGAAACAGCCCTGTGCAGCCACGTATGCATGAATCTCGTCGGTAACTACTCCTGCACATGCGTACCGGGCTACATGCTGGACTCCGACGGCTACACGTGCCGCATGCGTATGGGCGTCTATGGTGAGTGTTACTACATGTACAGCGTGTCCCCCAAAAAATGTCCCCCTCATAGACCACAGAATAATTACCAAAATCAAGTTTTATACTCAATTAAGTTTACATATTTAGAAAGCCCACTTAATTTTGTAGTTCCTGTGAAAATTTCAATGGTCTCGCTTCATTGGTTTTGAATACACATGCTTTTTTGTAACATCAGTGCTTTCCGGCCCATTCCAAGTTTGATAAAAAGAAATGCACACTTCAGATATTACCATACCTTATTCCATGCTTCACTTTTATTTCAACAACTGTGTTCTTGTTTTTGTTATTAAGTAAGTAAAGTCAAGTTCATTTACTTTTTTTAATGAAAACTAATCAAAGTTCAGTTCCACTGGTCGTGTTTGCTTTCACAGGGTGTGTTCCACTTATGGTTTGTTCTTCAATGTCCAGCTTGTAAACCTTTATTGTCCTCCTGCATGTCCTTCCACCTGCAAACTTGGAATGGGCTGAAAAGCACTGCTGTTACATAATAGACTGTGTATTCAAAACCAGTGAAGCAAGACCAATGAAATTTTCACAGAAGTTACAAAATTAAATGGGCTTTCTAAATCTGAACACTAAATTGAGAATAATACTTGATTTTGGAATTAATTTAGCAGTCTATCAGAGAGACATTTTTTTGGGGACACGCTGTATAGAGTTCTCCCAACGTCGATCTGTTGTGTCATGTTTTACGAATGTCAGCCAAAGTTGTAGTTCATATTACTCGCTTTGTTAAATTCATCATTTCATTCGGCAAATATGTCATTCCATTTGGCAAAGTCATCGTTCCATTTGGCAAACTCATTCAATTCGGCAAATTCAGCACTCCAGTCCACAAAAAAAATGCCGAAAATGGAATAAGTTGTTTAGCTGAATGGAATAAAGTACCATTCTCTAGTCCACATTTTAATTTTGAGAATGAAAAATCAGATCCCGTCACTACCTGACAAAGCTTTACCTTTGTCTCGAGGATGATGACATCGAAACAACTGTTTCTTCTTTTTTGTTTGTTTCCCTTTCACAGAGGCCTACACGGCGCTAGAACAGGAGGATGGACTCGATAAACCGGTATTGAATCATTGAAATACTCTACTTCTTTTTTACTAAACACTTCAGACATAAAAGAGCACAAAAATGCATGTTTTCGAAAGCATAACATTGGATTTGAATTGCCTCGGTTGACTTTTTGCTGTTCTCAGTTTTGCTCATGAATATTTCAATTTACAGAGGACTTATTTAGCACTTTAACCCTCCGTCGCAGAAACTAGCCCTTTTGGGGACCCAATTTGGTTAATTACCTTAATTAAAAAAAAATTTCAAACCAATTCTGGTGATCTTCCATCTAATCCTAGCCAGAGACACACACTACGGATATATGCAGTCACCTTAAGTGTGTGACCCCAGGTCAGGCATATCTGAGCCTGACAACCTGCATGGGCTAAGGACCGACGCAATTTCTGCCCATCCGGGGACCCACCATATACACGTGCACAAAACAACTCCGACGCAATTTCTGCCCACCCGGGGACCCACCATATACACGTGCACAAACAAGGTCACTTGCGGGTAGACAGTGCACGGCTTGACCACAGACTATGTATACAAATACACCTGCTTAGTCTACAGACATGGCAAGATTGTGTTCATGTGGATACAGTGTTGTGTAGCCTCAAACCGTGGTGCTAAATATTTGGGTCCCCAGGGGACCCCTTAAGTGTGTTAGTAAATGGGCTTTCTGCGTTGGAGGATTAAGAGGCAGACCAAAACGTGGGTAAAATTTTAGACCGAAACGCCGCTTTACCTGGGTAAACTGCTGATTCTTCAACCCGATTGGATGAATCATGATCACATGGTATGACATGCTCATTTAGCAGTGACTTGTGGCACATATGTTGAGCAATTGCCTCCCCCCCCCCCCCCCCCCCCCCCCCCCCCCTTGCCAGACGATGTATTTTTGACAGGATCCCACGAGATATCAGTCTCAGGGATTTCTATTATAAATAATTCATTTGTAGTAAAAAAAAAAAAGGGCCCAGTTTGACGACATGTTTTCACAACATATTATGTGGCTGTTCTTGTTTATTTAAATAATGTTAGACAAAAAGACTTGTTTTAAATGTATTCCATAAAAAAAGTGACTTTACTTTGGCTGGGGCATTGTGTGATGGGGTCTCACCACCTCAAAGGTTCATACTTCATGCAAATGTATAGAAAATTTAACATCATGAAACGCTTATTTGCTGCACAATTTGCAGCTCACTTTTTGCAACATTACGTCTCAAAAATGTGATGTGAAATATCACAAATTCGCATTCACGTTTCCCTTTGCAACGAGTACGAACCAGCCTTAAAGGGAATGTACATCTTTGGCTTTTGCTGTAATTTTCAGAAATGAACTATTTGAGGGGTTAGTATAATAGATCAAATTTTGTTACACTGACATGTTTGAAGTTTTTTCTTCGAAAATGCTGGAAAAAACAAGAAAAACAAAAAACGTTCAAGTAGTCTGGTTCCCTGACTCCACTAAAGATAAAATGGATCAATTTCCAGATGCCGGAAAATTGTAAGGTAAGGGAACAAGTCTAGCTGGTCTTCACCCGTTCATGAATATATAACCAATAGCAAACAAAATTTGAACTGAATAAAAAATGGTAAATTTTGAGCTGTAGTTGCACAATAGTTGGGTTTTTCCAACGGTGATCGGCCGACCACCGTTGGAAATGTATAAATACCATTTTCTTGAAAATGACTTCACACCAGGTGCCATAATTTAACAGGATGCTTTAGACTGTCATTTACCAACATCCTATTAAGGTACATGTATTTCGTAAAAACTTGGTAGTTATATTTTTCGATGTTTGCAAATGTTGTATATTCCCTTTCAAAGATGCACAACAGGTGTTAACAAAACGATTCTTGGCTTTCTGTTCAAGATGGACATGTCATCGGCACTGAGCGGGTCTTCGCAATGGTGGCTGCTCCCACTTGGCATTATTGGCGGTATTGCCATTATCGCTATCATTGGTAAGAATCAATATTGGTAAAAATCGAAACTGCGATTTACTTGACTTATCCAGGCACATGATCATTTTACACCCAACCTTGTCCCCAGGGTGTGGAGCAGTACGCGCCCACCACTACCTGCTCTTTCACCCTGGTATTGGATCATTTGCATGTGCAAGATTTTTGAACACGTATGCAAACGAGGAATAGTCTGGTGCCTGCCTGTGCGTTACATTTGCGTTTGTTTTTGTATGTGGTGTCTGGGGTAAAAAACAGAATCAATTCGTCGCAGCGCAAGCATGGCGTGAGATACGAAAACACGCTTTTATTTTACTCAAACTGTTGCGATCTTAACGAGACGACATGCAATATCACATTTCATATTAATATTAACAAATTGGAAAGGAAATTGGAAAATTGGAGAAGGCTTGGACGAATGATCGCGAAAACACGTACTGCACTTTGCGAATAACAACCCCAAGTACATGATATAAATCCATTTCTAGCCAATTGTGGTATCGAATTAGGATACAGGAGGAAAGTTTCCTATCCAGGGCTCACTATCGCAAACGAGGTTGGAAATAAAATAAGCACTGGGGACGAGGTTGTTATACATACGTTTTTATCATTTTTTTTATAGACTAGACACTTGGCCCTTCTCGACCAATGAAATTGCAGTATCCAAGCACATGATATTACAACACTGTCATGACCGTGGAAATAAACGAACTAAACTGAACTTTAAAACAATTCTATTTTGAAGTTGTGGGGAGGAAGAGGTACCGACGATCCCGACGTGGGACTGCATGACCTTTGAAGGGTACCAGTGAATGGTGAGTGAACTTGATGGAAGTTTACAGACCCTTTGCGTAGAGCGCTCTCACTGAGGACAGGGTCCAATTTCATAGCGCGGGTTAAAACCCTCTTTTGTGCTTACAGAGCCTCCATCTATTTCATAGGGACCGTCAAGCAGTAAGCACAGCAAAAGCACACTTAGCCCCAGAAGGAAACTTTGCTTAAATCAGTGACGTAACAATAGAAATCTCCATGCGCGCGCAACCGTTAGCATGAAATAGTGCTTAAGCAGCAGCATGATTTTCTGTTATAGTAAACACAACTTTTCTGCTTACTGTTAAGCAGTGCTATGAAATTGGGCCCAGGTCTTTGTTCCTCTATGACGGCAAGAATGGACACTTTCAGTGACACTTAATTGAATCATCGAAGCCTATTACAACTTGAGTTAGCGTTGGCTCTACCTATTACTCCTGCTGTACAGCTACCCCAGTGGCTCTGAACGGCCGTTGAAGTTGTGACAGAGAGCTCACAACATGCATCGCGAATGATGCTTTAGATTGCATCCAATAGATTTAACCCTCAGTTGAGGGGGGCGGAATCTGCCCCCTCCCCCCTCAATTTTTTCCGCCATAGCCTTGAATTTTTAATTTTTTTTTCACAACCCGAGCTGTTATGACTTTTTAGTCTCAAGCCTTATTGCGCATCCGTTGATACCAAAAACATAAAAATCGGACCACGGGTTGCCGTGCAACTCAAACTTTTCCTGCGATACACGTCGTGAAAACTGAACTTTCCCCATATACGTTGCGTACACAGTGCACAATTACCATTCGTACATATGAATAATTAATTAGCCATAATTCCAAAACCCTTCAACCCATAGTCATGACATTTTTGGGTATATTCATGATGAGTTGCTCTATGCATGTACAGAGTTTCAAAATTTTTCGTCTCTCGATAGCTAAGATCTTAGGGCCCCCCCCCCCCACCCCCCCGGCTGAGAGATGGTCAAAATAACCCACCCCTTTTAGGGTTAAAGAGAGAAAGAGAGAGATTAGCAGCAGGGTTCGACTTGCTAGCCAAATGCTAGTTAAAACGGCAGCGGGCTAGTCAAACTAATATCCCTTAAGAAGTCCGGCAGGCGAGTCAAAAATTATTGCACTACGGCAAAGATGAAGGACAGGAAAAAATACATCATTAAATTCAGAAAGCAAACCTGTATCAATTTGTGTCTAATTTTAAACACTGTTTGGAGTTAAATTGTTAGATTATGCTTATTGAAAACACTGTCAAGATTGCCTCAGGATGCCTGTTTTACATGTATGCACATTGTTGTTTATGAGACTCTCTGTAAAAGAAAAACATGTGGGCTAGTGAAAATGCCCGCGGGCCCTTTGACGCAGAAAGCACATTTACTAACACACTTACAGTAAGGGGTCCCCCCGGGGACCCAAATATTTAGCGCCACGGTTTGAGGCTACACAACACTGTATCCACATGAACACAATCTTGCCATGTCTGTGGACTAAGGAGGTGTTGTATACATAGTCTGTGGTCAAGCCGTGCACTGTCTACCCGCAAGTGACCTTGTTTGTGCACGCGTATATGGTGGGTCCCCGGGGGGGGGGGGGGGGGGGTTGTCAGGCTGAGATATGCCTGTCAAAATATCCGTAGTGGGTGTCTGCAGATATCCATAGTGGGTGTCTCTGGCTAGGATTACATGTAGATGGAAGATCACCAGAATTGGTTTGAATTTTTTTTTTATTAAGGTAATTAACCAAATTGGGTCCCCAAAAGGGCTAGTTTCTGTGTCGGAGGGTTAAGAGTCTGTTCCCGTAGCCCGGCTGGCTGATGAAAAAAAAAGTTCAGGTTGAACACTGTTAGCAGCTATTTTGTTTTCTGTGGTTTCTTCTGGATACTTTCTCCATCCGACATTAAGCTCGGCGAGACTCATCATGAGGGTTTTATCACACAAACATGCAGTTCTTGTCAGAAGGGTTGGTGTTTGGCTAGGTTTTTTCAGGGTCAGTGGTTCAAGCTACCTCAAAGGGGCACTCAGTGTTATTTGGCTACGTTAGGCTGAGGAACTTATGAAAATTAAATTTTTGACCAAGAAATGTCGAAGTAATTAAAAAAAAAAAAAAAAAAAATTGTTTTAGAGCACCATTTCAGAGCGGAGGGTTTTGACCTAATTTTAAACCTAATTTGACTATAAGTGTTTGTCATTTTTTTCAGCGTTGCATTCACTTCGGGGACGCGTTACACCTGTCGTCAGTAACACCACATAGGTATGCAACGTGTTAGTCAACCCCACTAATTGTGTCATGTAATTTTTAATGAACCATACAACGCATGTGCTTTTGTACTGTAGATAACCGACGCAGTACTAATTATTTTTTAATGTTATTAGCAAACTCTGTAACAGTTAGTGTGCCTGTGCTTTTTGTCTCCAAAATTATAGTGGGTTCAACCAAATGAGAGGAAAGTTTTAGGCCATCAGCCTGGGGGTTCGGCCAGTATCAAATCAGGGCATAAATGATTGTATTGTGCATGTGCAAGGTATGCCGCCCCTAGAGTGGTAACAAGCATTTTGGTGGACAATTAAAAAAAAAAAGGTCATAACTACTAAAAAGCTGCCACCGCTGCAATGCTATCACATATTTTCCAACTCTGGAGGTGTATACCTTGCCAAAAATCGCTATGACGATTATTCCCCTCATTTGATACCGGTGGCCAACATTTTGAACCGAGGCTGATGGCCTGTTTGTAACTTACTAAAAAGTGTTTTAACTCCGAAATCTGTGAACTACACTACAGGGCGAGTAAAAAAAAAAAAAAACGGAACCCAAACCCCAAAAGTTATATTTCATATTAAAAAAAATATGAAGCACCAAAACTAATAATGACTGGAAAGCCAATTTCATAAGCTACTTTTTTGAGATGAAAAATGACTGAAATTGCTCCATCCATTCAAAGAATGTCACCATTATAAACACAATGACCCTAAAACCCTCTTTGTCCAAAAATGCGATTTCAAGAATTGTCGTCAATTGTCTTCAAACATCACCAGTGATAAAACCGCATTTTAAAAGTTCAACAATGTCTTTTTGAAGGCCCGTCTTTAAAAAAAAAAATGGATCTTATAAATCATATTGTTAGCCTAACTTGGGTTATTAATCAAGATATTGTGTACTACAGTTGTTGATAGTTGTTGAAACAAGTATTCCGTGTGATTTTCTTGTTGTTCCAGTCAGAATTCACAATAAATTGCTTTTTTTTTGACGAAACAGGTTTTAGTGTCATTGCGTTTAAATGGTGATATGCTTTGAACGGATTGAGAAATTTCAGTAATTTTTTCATCTAAACGTAGCTATGAAATTGGCTTTCTAGTCATTATTAACTTTGGTGCTACATATTTTTTTAAATATGAAATATAATGTTTGGAGTTTGGGTTCCGCTTTTTTTGACTCACCCTGTATTTAAAGCACAAAGTAGCTTATTGTTTATGCTCCAACTTCAGTGCCATTGAAGGTTTCGCTCTTCTTTAATATTGAATGCATTCACCATCAGGGTTACCACTGCTCCATAGACGTACAATCAGATTTTATTTTTTTTTTGAATTTAAAGGTACAGACACCATTTCCAAACATCCAGAAATGATTGTCAAAATAACTATCTTACTTGATTGTAAGTAAATCACGGATCAAGCATTCTTTGAAATCATTGCACCTAGAATGCCGTCACTTTCGAAAAAAAGATTGATTTACCATCATTTCCTCATGATGTTTTCAACGGAAGCCGATACTTTGCGTCGAGAAAAACTGATATGCATGTTCAAATTGTACTCAAATGTCTATCTACTGAGCTAAATGTGGACAATGGTTAGTTTTTCTAATAACCCGCTACAGATTGATTAAAATTGGTGAATTGGCAAATCATATTTTTGCAAAATGGTGTCCAACTACCTAAAAAGTTCAAATCGATGTTTTGCTTTTCAACATAAATTTGAAATATCTTTTGTTGTGCATTGATAGTCGTGCACTCAAATAGACAATCTACATTTCTTTACCCATATTGTGTCCAAACAGTTTAAAACTGGTTTCCGTTGGGGCCCTGCATATATTATATAGAATTGATTGAAGTTAGGACAAGTAAAATTCGCAAGGAAAAGGATAGTCAAGTTTGCTTAATTGCGGTTATTAATTGTTTTAATTAAATTGAATAAATTAATATGAAAGAAACAATTATGAAATGCGAAATTGTCGTAATTACTTGAAATTTGCTAGCTTATTATGTTACGATCTATCAATGCTGGTAGTTTGATTGGAAAGCATTTTCAGTTCACAAAGAGTTGAAAAAAAATAATCAGTCAGAAATTTAATAAACACCATCTGCTTGATAGTGCAAGTCACCCTGTACAAAAAGAATCCATCAACATTTCTTCGGGGTCTTGAAAAATGACAGTTTGATGGTGGTTTTGCCCGAGAGGGATCTGGGTCATTCTGTGCCAAATCACCTAAGATTCTGTGAAATTTTGTCGGTGACCGACTCAGATTTTGGTGATTTTTTTAGAATGGTCCTGGGTGGGTTCATTTGTGGGTTTTTAGAGAGGTGCAGACGCCCAAAATTGGGATAAAGCTGGTGGTGGGTTTTTTTTTTTTTTGGGGGGGGGGGGTAATACAAAAAATTACATATTAAAAATTCGGTAGGAGAAAAAAATACCTTTTTTAATTGCAGGGGGAATTTAGCTAGTAAGGGGAAGATACAACATTTGCAAACGTCAAAAAACGAAATGATCCAAATTATCCCGAAATATCTTACTGGATTGTTGGTAAATGCAGTCTAAAGCATCCTGTGAAATCGTGGCTCCTGGTGTGCCGACATTTTCAAAAAAGCGTTGGAGTAAACTGCCATTTTTTCAAAAACTGCTCCGATTTTTTATATTTAGTTCCGTCTGCATTTTCTTTGATCTTACAATTCCCCAAAGTCTATAAATTGCCCCGTTTAATCTTAAGTGGGGTCTAGGGAACGACACTACAAGATAGTATATGATTGGTTTTCTTGGTTTTTCCAAGCATCTGCGAACCCAAAACGTGGATATGGAACAAGTCAGTGTAACAATATTTGCTATAACATGCTAATCCTCCAAATCCATTTATATCTGAAAATCACAGCAAAGCACTGATGTTGTACATTCCCGTTATAAGTAAATTAAAATGAATGACGTCTACACAGCAATTGAAACATTTATGCGAAAATGAGTGCGCGGCGACGACCCCCATAGAGGCCAGGGTTTACTATTATAGATTAATGAAAGTACATGTTGTCTTCTCACGTGTATAACAGAGAAACAAAAGCAGTCCATGAGGGCGCTCTGTAGGCAAGGGGGCCAGTCTATGTAAGTTGTGATTTTACAGACCCACCACTAAATAGTATAGCGTAAGACTAATATGCTACGAAGAGTAATTAATAAACGTACTTAGAGCTAAGGGATAGAGTGTGTATGGCGTGGAAACAGCTTAACAAATAAATACAATGTACTGCAATAAGAGAAAAGTTCTTATGAGTCTTTTGTATTACGTTTGTGCTTGTCTACAGGTCTATGTGCACGTACGCCAGAAAGTTATGCGACTTATCGCCCACTTTTTATTAATCAAAAAATGATTTTATCGTGCGACACAAAACGCCACAAACGTATTTTACTGGAACGTGTGAGCTCATTTTATACAATTGCGCAAGTATTACGTATCTTTATGTGTCACACGCATGTCTGCGTGACAAAGTCGTTTGAATCGTGTATGTGTAACCAACTCGACAACATCGCAGACCAATCCATTAAAGTGGCACTGCGTCCTGAAATCCCCGAAAATATCATGCTTTTGATTGCTTACTTATCACATTTCAAACATCCGCTTGCAATGAAAGGAAACCAACTAATGCCTTACTGTTCCCGTAAAAAGACGGAATAACACGGTTGTTTACATCGGACACGACGGAGTCACGCATACGTTTTTTCAGTCGTTTCGTTCACGATCGATACACGAACGTTGTGTGTGTCACATAAAATATTACACACAGCACCAATGCACAAATGTGATTTTTACACGTCCACAAAAGGCGAACACTTTCCAGCTGAAATCACAACTGGCACGAACAGTCCGATTTTGGGGGGTCGCAAAAGTGGACCCCGAAATTTCCACGAAATAACACCAAAAAATTCCCAAGTTTTGAAAGGACGGTTGCGTGGATGTTTATATCTTACTTTTGAATGTTCTTTTCGATTAACATCATTTCGTTCAAAACGCGTTTTGTAGCCTAATTGGGCGCTTTCCAGGACGCAGTGTAAAGGGAGATTACGAGGCTAGAATGCGTCCAATTTGGCTGGAAAACTCGTTTTAAATGGAATGATCGAAATTAGAAAGAGCATGTAAAAGTAGAATATAAACGTCCACGCAACCATCCTTTAAAAACTGAAGTATATTGCGCAGCTGCGCAACAAATTTGTTGCGTAAGTCTTACGCATGGCGCAATTTCGGAGTCAGATATCGAGCTGTTAATGATCGTCTTTGAATCCTGCAGCGCATCACATTGCATCACAACGTGTATCGCGCATTGAATAGAAACGGCTGGAAATACGTATGTACGAAATGACACTCTCAACTAAACTCAAACTTGAAATAGGTTTATCTGTTTTAAACTACCAACCCATACAAGCACTTTTCAATCAGAAGTTTTTATAAATTGAAGAAAAAACCCTAGTGTTCGTAATTGTTTCTGTACTAAGGAGGGCTTCCCCTTGTCTTGTGCACCCCATACCATCCCGGTGCAAATTTTAGGGGAGGCACTTTTTTATGGTTTAAAGACCCAGTGCGGCTTCAGAAAATAACGTCCCCAGTGCCAACTATATATTGGACCCCTGGCCAGTTACGCCACTTAAATACGAATGGTTTCTTTTGAAATCTTTGGTTTCCTTACTTTTTTGGAAATTCTTCTTTTATTATTTTTACTGCTACGGCCTTGTAAACGATGATTCACAAGCGCCTGCCTGATTCGCACCATGGACTCGTCCCTCTCTTTGAACTTTGGTAAATCAAAATGGCGGGCACGCTGATTGTCAGTTCGGTAGTGGACCAATCGCATTTCCGTGTACGGGTCAGCTGATATGACGTCACCACCCAGCTTCACACTGTGGATCTTGTAGTAGTGCACGTTGATCGGTCGCAAGATGTTCTTATCGTGTCCCGTGTTTTGCAGTGTATGCTTTTCGGCTCGCCAGCGATTGCGCTCGATGACCGAGTCGCCGCGCGGAGCGATACGCGGTGGATGGCCGAAAAACCAGTTTTGAATGCGCACTGCGGCAACACTGTCGTACAGCGAGTCATTGAGGTACTCAGGAATACGCGGTCGGCGCGCGTCCATTGGTTGGATGTACTCGTCTACGTCAATCTTGATCATCCAATCAACGTCGTGCTTGTGTCTCCAGATGCAATCGTTCTCATGAGCTATCTGCACCTCTAGGTAGGTCTTATTCACAGAAGTGGAGTGAGCCCAGGGGATGAGTGTGACGAAACCTGCTTTGATGTAGTTCTGCAAGGAAGTTTGTAAGGTGGATTGGGCTGGTTTATCGTTGTCGTATATGTACACGTGCTGCACTCCCAGATACCTGTGGTAATCAAGCCACTGTGGTATGAATGCATCCACGGACTTTACCATCGTGCACATTGCAAGGAAATGCTTCTCATTTGAAGTAGCACAAGCCTTGATGTTCCTGTAGGCATCAGTCCCCGGGAGTCTCCTAAGGGTAATATTGAAGCTGCTTCGCAAACGGTACTCATTCGGAATCGGACAGGTCAGGACCACCACGTACTGGGGCAGATGCCCGAAGCTGCGCCGGTCGTCTACCGCGTGTACCACGCTGATATCTCCACTTGGGAACTCGCACCTAAACAGGACCCGGTGCCAGGTCTGTCTGAGGAGCTTGAGGCCCACAAACACAACTTGACCCGAGATACGATCTGCAAACACTGAGTGCAGGTCCGGAAGATGTGGCGCCTGCAGCTTGTCCTCCAGGTAACAGCCGTCGGTCGTTTCCTGCACTCTTAAGTCTGGTCCCTTGACCTAATTCTTCTGTAGCATTCAGCAGAGATCGTGCCTGGACCTTCTTCAGCTGGTCACCTATTGGAAGCGCCTGCATAGGTACCACGTCTCGACTGATAGTAAAGGCGCCGCTGAATAGCCAGACATATGCAGTAACCAATATAGAGAGGATGAGCAGGCAGCTCTTACCAGTAATTGGTTTCAGTGCGCTAACTAGTTGAGGTTCCGTCTTATTGTTCTCATTCTCCATTTTGAACGTAGTTGTGTTTCCTTGAAGGTTCCCTTGTTGTACATTTGCAGTGTCTAATCGTCGTCAACAGTTGATCGTCAATTAATACGACTGCTGAGAGGCAGAAGTATGGACGACTACATCGGTTGGTACGTACCACAAGCATGTAGGCGGGATAGCCATTATAGGCTTTCCGAAGTTAACGTCTGCATGATCATCTTGTCTGCCCAAACCTGTGTGACGAAAACAAAACTGTTTGTTTTGTAATTCGGTTATGCAGGGACGAAAAAAAATCGTTGCTGGAAAATATTGTTGGTAGATGGCATGCACAATATAAACGCCGTCATGTAAAGACTCTTCTTTCGATATACATAGCAGTAAGCCTGTATTCCAGAGTATTTGGCAAATCAAATTTACCGATAAAGAAAACCAATTTTCCACACTGACATCGCTTGAATAACTTTGCAAACAGCTTAACATCGCAATTTTTGTGACTTTGCAAGTTTCCTTATTACATCTTATACCTGTTTTACGACGTCGCCGTTTAAAATGCCCACATCTTTTTTTTTCAGTTTGTCAAAAATTCGACTATAAAAGATAGCAACGTGAAGAAATGTATTTAATAGAACGTGTACTATGTATGACCTTTTGAACCACCAAATAATAGTAAATGCACTCCCGTACGGTAGTCGTTTTTATTTCTGAACTAAAAAAAAGAGTCAAGAAAACTCCAGTACGCCAATAAAACTTTTTTCAAATCATAAACAATGATTTAATCAACTATGACGTTTACTCTTTCAATAACCGAACACTAAAATCAACTCAGTTTATTTTGTCAAATTAGCTTGTTTTGTCATAGATGAAACCTCTTATTCTGTGGAAATCTGTTCAGGTACGGTTCGATTGAAATACATGTAATTTCAGCAAGGAAAACAAATATTGTACTCACTCGTTTCACGGTGACTTTCAGTCCTGTCGACTCCCTTCGCCGGATGATACTTAGCGTGTCGGCTTTATTTCAAAGCCGGCTCCGAAGCATAAAATTACACGGCAGCGCCACGTCAGCAATTCTCGCTGGGTAGTTTCCAAAACCCGGGGAAAAATGAACGTGTTCTCCCGCTTCAATCAGCAAGCAAAGTTAGTCACATTACAAGATATCTAAACCTTTCACCCCTAAACATGGTCAGGCAAAAGGGTGTTCATTTCAAGTCCAACCCGCTTTGCTCTTAGTCTAGCGTATTGATGTACTTTCACTTTTCTAAAAACTGTGCGGGACTTTCTCTAGAACGATTTGTACCGCCCATACCAGACACTGATCACGCGATGGTCGGGCAAGCACACATGCTATATGCCATGTGTTGGGATTATGCGGATTATTGGCCGGCGATTGAGTGTATAAATATAATTTAGTGAGCAAGGCAAACTTTGCCATGAATACGATATTATGTAAGCTTTATGTTTGAGGAGCTAACCAAGATGGTACATGTTTGCTTACATTCTGCGAACACGCGTCGAGGAGATGGTCTATTGCGTAAATTTAAATGATGATGTCAGCAAGAATGTGATGTCATGCACTTTCACGTCACGCGCACACGTTTGGGGTGCGCACCTGTAAATAGGCCTAAACCCATCCGCCGAGCTCAGGAATAAAAGTTATACCCAGTTCTGAGAGCCAAACAATTGGGAAATTGAAGAGATATGGCAATGAACCTCTGGCCCGGACTTGGGGCTTCAAGTTTTGAACATTTTGGATGCAATGGGGCCAGTGCTCGAAAGTGGCGCTATTTTGCCATGCTGTGGAAGGATCGTTTTTCAAGACGGCTACTTTTCCGCTTTGGGAAAAACATGGGTAGTCTTCTTTGGGTGAAATGCTTAAAAGTTGTCTTCATGGAGACACTAGCAATTTTGCGCACTTTTTGTGGTAAGACAAGAGTCAGTTTTTTGATAACCATGATTGTGTTGAAGTATGGTCCATGCACGAATAGTGAATCAAAAATAAACAATCACGCTGTGCGCGCGCAGAGGTGATCCAATCAAGGATTTTAAATGGGAGCTAGCTACCGTCCGGTCCCCATATTTTTAGGGGGAATGAAGCAGTCTAGTACATTTTTTCTTCATAATTGGACAAAAGAGGGCGCTGTTTTCGAACGCGATTTCTAGTTACTGCCAGGGATGACATGTCGGAAGTATTGTGTTTAAAGGAGACTAGAGATCATAATGATAGTGTGAGTAAATTGCAGTCAACGTCGTTCCTATGATGTTGAGCAGTACGCCACCACCAACTCCATCACTGGAAATGAGGTTGACTAAAGTATGCCCCGGGGACGGGATTAAATTGCAGTCACTATAATTCATTAAAGATTGTATAATTCTATTTTGTTTTATTTAAATCAACAAATGAAATTACGTCAACGTTCACGTCTGTTTGTATCTTCAAAAATGTCGATACAGCGCCCTCATATATACGCTCAGAAAATTCATTCCATTAAATTATGTCTATTCAATGTCGTCATATTGCACCCACCATTTATTGAGGTGTGTGCAGTCATCTCGTTCCCAGCACAGTTATTATATTCACAGCTTCCTTTTTACACGCATCTGGTATTTAACGAGTAAACAAAAGAACCGTTTTATAGGTGGAAGTGGTCAAAGTCCGGTTGCGTGCTCACGAACGGTTGCTATAACTTCGGGCTTATCACACACGATATAGCGCTCCATTGACTGGACAAGAGTTGCAGGACTCAGCCGTTGCTATGGACTAGGTTGCAAACCGCACCCCTCAACTTTATAAATATCACCACACAAGGGAGTGTTTCTGTTTCGGCCAGGGATTCGAACTTTTGACATTTGCTTTAGGGCCAGGCAGCACCCACTCTAACAACAGAAATAAACCACATACAAGTATAAATCAGTGACTGTAAAACAAGCGTTGGCAACCGAAGGAGGTAGCGTGCCGTTGATGTGTTCCTTTTTGACAGCGGTACTGTATCAAATGAGAGCTGCCGCCATCTCTGCGCTGCTCTGACGGAAAGTTTAAAACAGGAGGACAGAACACATCTTTCTGCTGGTGTACGTACATAAATGGACGTGCTCATTGGATGAGCATGAAGTCGACTCAGAGCATAATCAGCAGTGATAAGTTGCTGTACAAAACTTTACTTGAAGAACTTCACTTCCGTCGGTAAGATTAACCGATACAGGCGTGGATGAGTGAAAGCCTATTCTCTCTGGGACTATAATTTGGTGAGTAATTGCGGCCATCGTGTCATCATTCCCGAAAGGAAGCAATAAAGTTTGGAGAGGTATCATAGCGGTGCAGTAACCCTGCAAACGTTCAAACATTTAGCTTATCAGCTTCTGCAGATTATGGTTGGCAAGTACGCATTTGGAGCTGTTATAGTAGTAGACACACCAAAACTAGCTGATAACCGAAACGCTGACGTACTTTTTATCAACTCGAAATCACTTTGGCAAACCTTCTGGTATCATTCATAACTTTCGAGTGCAAAGGTGAGACAACTCTTGGTTCTTTGCAGCATTCTCATCAACGACTGACTACTAACTGTGCGAGAGGTGTTTAGAATGTTTTTGCGTAGTGACCACCAGAACCAAAACTGAAGACGATCAAGCCAAAACACTGTGAGTTATCATCTGAGGACGATCGTCATTCATAAAGTTGAACCGCTTGAACCTTTTGGTACACCGTCAGTACGTCAGTGCGGTAGTACCACATTGTTCAACTGATATCAAGGCCTGTTGCATCCTTCATGCGATTTAATGGTAGGTCCACCTTTTTTTTGACGACACTGTTTTTACGTACTTGATTCCTGATTATGTCTAGTTCCCTTTCTGAAAAGGAAGTTCTTCTTTCGGATCAACTGAATCTTCAAACTGTATCGAAAGAGGTCGACACCTTCGAAATGTGTCGCAGGAAGGTGAACACCCAAACGCTTTTACTTGTCGGCCTGCTGGCGTCGATGGCGCTCTTTATCTATCTCCTCTCAACTGGCGGGATTTATTACTACGACGCTGATTTCAACCTGCATATTGGCATGCATTTGGACGCCATGTTGGACCGGGAGGGGTCACGGGGTCAAATCAGGGCGACGAAGAAACTAGTTCTGGATGAGAAGGCGTACGATAAATACAAGGCTTTAAATGGTTCTATGTACCGGTACTCCACACCACGTGACTACAGCTGCTTTTTCAAGGACAAACTTCAGAGTCCGAATATGCCCGATGTGCATTCGGCTTTTGCCGATCCGATCGCCGGTCACGTGATCTTCGTAGGGCTCAAGTTTTTAAAACAGAAGTGGCACAGGGAGGTATTTGCGTGTGAGTTTCCGGACGGGGATTCGACCAGGAGTAGCCCGGTCGTCGACGACAAGAGAAGTTTTGGCGTCATGCCTCAGTACGTCGTGGTGATCACGTGCCCCCTGCCCGATCGCTACCGCTGGAGGGCATACTTCAACATGACACTGCGCAGCCTCTCCAGTGATGCCGCGTATTCAAACATCACCATCTGTACATCCGGGGTCTCTCCGGACACGCAGTACCAACTGGCCATCTGTACAATGGTCAAGTCTGCGGACAGCTTCATCCCAGACTGGTTGGACTTCCATAGATACGTGGGTGTTGAACATGTCTTCATCTACGATAATGAGAAGGAGGATGAAACCAAGTTACCAGCGACCGTGAAAGAGTACGTAGACGAGGGTTTCGTCACGATCATTCCCTGGGCACACAGCGTATCGCATTACAAAACTTACTTGGAAGTACAAATAGCCCATGAGAACGATTGCATCTGGAGACATAAGCACGACGTTGATTGGATGATCAAGATTGACGTAGACGAGTACATCCAACCAATGGACGCGCGCCGACCGCGTATCACGGACTACCTCCAAGACGCAGCACTACAAAACCTCGCGGCACTTCGGATTCAAAACTGGTTCTTCGGCCATCCTCAGCATATTACTCCGCGCGGTGACTCGGCCATAGCCCGCAATCTCTGGCGCTCGGAGAAACCCACCCTGCAGAACACTGGACACGACAAGAACATCCTGCGGCCGATCAATGTGCATTATTTCAAAATCCACAACGTGAAGCTTGGAGGCGACATAATATCAGCCGATCCGTACAGGGAACTGCGGATGGTTCACTATCGCGTGGACAACCCGAGAGCGTTGAGGTTTGAGCTGCCAGATTTTAACGTCAGAGACAAATCTATGTTAAGACTGAGAGACCTTGTTAAAGCCAGTAAAGGTCATCGTAAAAATTAATACCAAAATTATTGATGTTAAAAAATGTTTCGAATAGCTGGTTGTTATGTGTGGGTTTTTTTTTTCAGAGCAAAAATAATATTTAACTATACACGTAGCCTACACCAATTAAAGTTTGTCATATTGACGTCACAGGATGCATAATCAGGATTTGCGCCGTAAATCCTGCTTTGCACGCAGCACAATTGGAAATTATAGTCGACATACATACTTGATGATATTTTTAAACTATTCATTTCGCACTCGACGACAATAATCAGCAGCAGGTAGGGTGCCGTTCGATTAGCTCTGACGTCATTCTCGGGGCTCACCCGGGTCAGCCACCACAGACCCTGCTCGTGGAGCAGAGTCAGTGGTGGAAGTACGTCACGCATGCGTTTTTCATTCAATAAAAACGGACACATAATTATGTGGGCCGGACAGCGGAAATCTCAATTGGACTTAAAAGCTGACTTTATTTGAAGTCTAAAGGTAATCATTTATTGAGTTCATTGCGACTTTTGAGACTACAATTTCAGCCCAACTTTTTTGAGTTTTGCAATAATTGACTAAAAAGCAGAAAATCTCAAACTAAGACCCAATCCGAAACGGGCGTTTTTTCAGTGGCTACGGCCACGGCTATGGGCGTCACGTAAGGATCGTGATGGCCCGCGGTTGAGCGTTTGATTAGCCCGGTTGTCGTGGCTGACCCGTCTGCCCTACCAGTGTCGACCCGGGTGAGCTAAACGAAGTGACTCAAAGGTTGAGCATGCAGTCAACTTGGTCTGTCAAAGAAAAACGATTGGTGGCCCTCGGTATTTTGAAAAACTAGAATAAAGAAACTTACCTTTCAATATACCTGCTAACGTGTGCTCAAATTTATAAATTTACGACAAATTTAATTTATTTTGGTGTAGAATTGTTGATTTGAAGGAATTGATTAAGTTTTTTTTTCAAATTGCGCACCGGTAGAAAATTTTCAGTCAACAGTTTTCTTTTCAGATCATTTTCAGTAGTCACAGCATGGACACATTAACTTAGCTATTAATTAATTCGGTCATTAATGTTAATTACTTTTATCCCGCACTCCAATATAGCGTGTATTGTCACTTTGTGATCTGAATTTTCATGTGAATTATTTAATAATAATTATTCGTTTACCAATGGGCCCCTTTGTTGTGTACATCAGAAATGAACTTGACGTCCGTTTGCATTTTGATCGATTGATTAAATTTGTGGTGTATTTTTGCTATTATTTTGTGATATCCATAATTAAACATTATGTTGTAAACTTAGGTTATCGCGAAAAAAAGTTTTATGAGGAGAACTTTAATTTGGAGTGCCAGTTCAGCTCATTCTGATATTAACCCAAAACATGTGCCAGGGGAAACCTTTTGAAAAAAGCAATATTATTATCTGAACTTTAGGAAACATTGATAATAAACCATTCATTTAGTAACCATGCTGATGCTTGTGTGAGTTCATTTTTATAATCACTGGGCCGCGCGACACTTAAACTATTAAAAAGCACTTACAGTTTGTAGGCTCATGTCATTGTCGGGCAATTAATTGTCCATATAAAGGTGAATTTCAATGAATCATTTTAATGAATATTTACAATCAATGTGCAAGCTGCTATAAAACGCATCAGTTCATAACGTCAAAATAGCCTTGAGCGGAGAGATGAAGCGTTTAGCAGCATGTGCAATAATTAGCATGATACAAATGCGGCTCTTCAAGTTCACTCCCCGCATGAAGTTAGTTCATGACGATGGTCTGCAGGCTGGGGTTCCATGCCCCTCGTTGGGGGCTTACACCGCCCCCCGCCCCCCGGATCTGCCAATGGTTGAAGGTCGAAGCCAGGCTTATTGCAATCATATAAGTCTGTCGAATGACGTGATAACAAGACAGTAGTGGGTTCGTAGACGTTTTATGGGACTACTGTGAGACGCATGGTGGCAGCAAACAATGTAAAAGGTATTGGTTTTTTTTGTGGCTACTCACTTTGTGGCATTCGCTCGTACCCCCGCCCTGCAAACAGGACGCTGGGATAGTCTGATGAGCTTCACAGAATTTTGTGAAGTAAGTGGCCTATGACCTATGTATAAAGCATATCTGGCTACAGCTGTTCAAGACCGCAGTTAGACAATGTGCGCAAATGCTATCCGAAAACTTCCCATAGAAATGCGCACATTCCATACCGGATGTGATTTCTGTTTCATTGCGGACCATGTGGACAAAATTATGAGCGTCGCATAATGCAATCCGACCGTTCGTCGATTCGAAACGGAGCCTGAGCAAGTGACGGGAATTGTAAATTTACAACACAGATAAGTTTTACAGAATTTCCTACATTATTACGCTTTTTCAACGAGAACAAAAACATGTCTAAACTGGAATAAAACAGTAATGAATCAGTCTTAACGGCCGTTTCAAACCTTGTAGAGTCATGACCTTGATGACGCGCAGGTCACTGGTCACGCAAAATCCAACCAATCAGAGCGTGAATTCATCAGAGTATCCCAGCGTCCTGTTTGCAGGGCGGGGGGTACGAGCGAATTTGTGGCATAGTAGCTACGCCTATGAAAGACAGGGGCGGATCCAGAAATGTTTGCAGAGTAGGGGGTTCATCATCAAATCAATGCTAAAATGTAGACAAGTGGAAATTTCCCGGACACTTGGCTGTTTTGGCTGTCCCCCCCCCCCCCCCCCCGCAAAATCAATTGGGGTGGGGGGAGGGGTATGGGATGCTCGTACCATACAATTAGCACTATATTACAGGATAGTGTACAAATACCCCCGTAACCCCAGCAGGCTATATGTCCGTATATTGGGCACAGGCGTATTAATACCAGTATAATTTTTATGTAAGTCAGAGCGGGGGAGGGGGGGGGGAGCATTTTTTTGAATGAATTTCTATTGAAAAAACCCAAATTTTTCAAAGAGCTGGGGGGGGGGGGGTCTCCCACCCCCTGGCATCGGCGCCTAAAAAGAGCTTTATAATCCCCTTATGAGCAAACAATTTTTAGTAAACCTACATCACACGTAATGTACTGACGTTTCCAATAGCTGCAATATCTAAATAAATAAAAAATGCTTTCCACTTTTAATTATGCAGTCGCACTGCATGTATTAGTCTGAGTATCACCCGTTATCCACGGAGACAAGTCCTGTAATAAGGTCTGATATGTCTAGACATGCAGATTATGCAAGCTGCGCGCCAGCCAATCGGAGTCGACTTTACAAAATCGTGACGTCATTTCATTCCTAAATCAGGATTAAATGGTTTGATTGGTCAATTAGAATGTAGTGTTTTGTAATACAACAACAGCCGGGCGCATCGTGTAACATGATACAGAGCGCGTGACAATGTTTTTTTATCCATTGTCTATGACGCGCAACGGGTGAATGACCGAAGACCCGTTATATAGAAAGCGCCCGCTGATTGGTCAAAATCTAAGAGGTCAAGTCTAATTAATCAGCGAATCTGTTCACACATTACATAGACTATATGTACATATGCCCTTGAAACAAGAACGTTTAGTGTGTGGCAACCTCGTCCCCAGGGTGTCGAGCAGTACGCGCCCACCACTACCTGCTCTCTGGAAACGCGGTTGGAAATAAAGTAAGCACTGGGGACGAGGTTGAGTGTGTGGTTACTACTAGTGGCTAGGCTTGGCATTGGAGGCGCGCATGTGCGCGATACAACCATTGATCTCCATATAATGGAGATCAATGGATACAACACAAACTTTTTTTCACTGCAAGAGGGCGCTATATTTTACAATTTGCTTAGGGTTTTTAATGGATGGCGATAGACCGCGCAGCTGAACACCTATTTTTTTTTTTTTTTACAACGGAAGCACTGTTTGTTGCTCGTTATCTCCCCCACGTACCCCACCCGCCTTATTTGTGTGTGTGTTAGGGGGGGGGGGGGGGAGCTTCGCGATGCACTTCTAATGAGTCATGGAACATTCGTCGGGTGGCTAATTAAAATAAATTATATTAATATTAGATAAATGTAATCAAAACAGTGATTTATATTTTATTAAAATGTATTTTTAATATATTTTCGAAACAATAAAAATATTATTGCAGTACGAAACTCACAATGTAGTGACTTTTTATATTTAATACTTATGTTTATGGAATGATTGTGTGAACGAGGATGATCTTTAACCTCAAAAGCAACATGGAGGAAATTGGCATTGTAGTTTCGGAGAAGGACAAGGTGCGAAATTACTAGTTTTAACGGTGTTAAGAATTAGTATTTTTGAATTATATCCGATTTGTTGATTTTCTGGGATGTAAATAATGTACCTGCAAATTTTCATGATTTTAGATGCAAAAATAGTTGTTGAAATTGGTGTCAGAATTTGATCGCCGCAGAAGATAAAAATGCATTGTCACATACACATTACAATGTGCATTGCACCGGCTAGCCCCATAAATGTGGCCTATTTACTGGACTGCCTCCGTAAACATAGGCCACACATCCACATGTACAAAAATCGTGTCGACGGAGCCAAATTTTGATTTTCACATTTAGGCTTAGTTTGTAGGTTTTTTTTGCTTTAGAAGCATACTCACCCTCTTTATAGGCTAATCAGAAAGTGCTGCCTTTTTCAGATGTATATTTTTCGTGAAATTTCCAGATTCATTTTTACACGTTTGCGTATCAAAATTTCAACATGAAATTTCACAAAAATTAGACATCTGAAAAAGGCAGCACTTTCTGATTAGCCTGTAAAGAGGGTGAGTATGCTTCTAAAGCAAAAAAAACCTACAAACTAAGCCTAAATGTGAAAATCAAAATTTGGCTCCGTCGACACGATTTTTGTACATGTGGATGTGTGGCCTATGTTTACGGAGGCAGTCCAGTAAATAGGCCACATTTATGGGGCTATGCACCGGCATGACCGGGGATTGTGAAGTTTAGACAGCGGCGATCATGTAGTTACGGGGCCCCCTGTAGTTTCGGTCAAATTAGAGCCAAGAATGTTTTTATCTTTCAAAACTGACATTTGCAACCTGAAGAAGACTTCTCTCAAGTAATGACACCTTTTTTTGGTAATTTTGAACAGTTTTTAATTTTAGGCCCACACCGTCGCGATTAATTATGGTTGGTTTGATGCCGTGCAATTCAGCGCATCTTGTGCATTTACGGTACATCGTGGTGATCACCATCTTTATTTTCATGTTGCGTTTTGTCATCGTCAGCGTCATTTTACGCCCAAATTTCCCTCAAACATGTCATAAATTGAAACTCTGCCCTCTATCAAGTATCATGTCTATCAATCTATCGATGACATATATGTACCTTCACATGACCTTAGCTTGAGAAACTCCAGCTCCAATGCTTATTGGGAATTTGATATGTACTAGAGCTGGAGATCATTGTACATTGTAGTTAGCGGTCCAAAAATGGCGGATGCTTTGAAATTTGGCCTCAACACAGCCATCCATATCATATTTTTTTCATATTTTAATAGTCAGTTTTGTTCTGTTTAAAGTTGATCCTTTGCTTTGCTCTTGCAATATTTAGGCTTCCTTAATAAAGTGTTTCTTGTTCGTGGGGCAAAAAGAACATGCGTTGCTAGCCGCGGGCACATTTTGGAATGAACGCATGATGACTTGGAAGCGCCAAAGCTTTCCAATGACGATTCGTGCACAGCAACACGTGTAAAATTGCCCTGCAGGCAAGATGGTGCATATTACCGTGAAACACCTTATTATTTTGCAGCTAGTAGTAGTAGGAGATAATTTAAATCCTGCTTTTTTCAAATATAATTTATTTTGTAGAACCTTTTTTAAATTAAAAAAAAAAATCTTTAATTTGAATTATAAATGCACCGTTGTACTGTTTGTCTTTAGGATGAAGCCCCATCACCCGCAGACTCAAGACCCAATACTTCCAAACCCAGTAGCATCTTAGATGCACTGGACACAGATGACCTCTACACAAGATTCAAAGTAAGTCATTGAGACTAAGCATCGTAGCCCTCACCCACTAGTCCTTAACCCTGTTTAAAATGCAACAGAAATTAAAAATTTTAAACAGTTGATGCATACTCTTCCATTTAGCAGCCAGCTATTCCTTGTGCTTTGTTGCATCTCGTTCCGGGGTAAGTGCTCTTATCTTCAAGGAAACTTGAATCCTCGATCCTGATTGGTCGATCCATGGCATCAAGCTGTGCTACATATAACCGTGTAGCGCGGCCTCGGTCCATACCGCACTCTGGGTATTGCGCTATTCTAAGATGCGAGCACCATTCCGTATTTAACATACACCTGTAATAGGACAACCGCTGAAAAGTTTGTGTACAGCGTGCGTGTTCCATCTGTTCCTACGTCAAGTTTGCTTGGAGATAAATTTGTTGTCACACTCGTGCTCGTGGAACACAGAAATGTAGTGCATATGTGTCCCACATTGTGGGACACAGACGCGCTACACTATTCTGTGTTCCACTCGCGCTCGCGGGATAAGTTATATTATAACACCTCACCCACAGATTCTGTGTCTTGATTGGCCGAGAGTGAGTCACATGTTACTTTCTATTTTTGCTATCTTTCTCTGCACGGCCAAAAGTACTATACCCGTAGCAACCAAAGAACTATACCATTAGCAACCAAAGTACTATATCCACGGCGCGGTATTTGTGTGCAAATGCATGCTGGTGCGCGCATTGCGCAAAGCGCGTATTGTTCCAAAGAGAGCGCGCCGCAGAGTTGGGTTCAAACATTTCGTGAAGGGGTAGTTTGGAAGAGAGAAATACATTTTCCACCAATTTTGTATTGAAATTGAAGTTTATTTCATCTGTGTTCAGATTTAAATAATTTAAAATATTAAAACCAAGCAGAATCTGTGGGTGAAGTGTTATAAAACAAATATTGAATGCTTTATCTCGTGGTGGAGTAAAACTAGCCTCCCTCGGTGATCCATTCTATTTTCCCTCGGCTTCGCCTTGGGAAAATAGAATGTCCATGGATCACCACTTCACCACTCGAAGCATTTAATATTTGTATAATAGTGCCAAGGCAATACAACAACCCATTGTTGCACTTGGTTGCATTTAGCAGGGTAACTGCTTAGTGCCAAGGCTGGTAGGCACTGCATTCACTGCACAATGAGATGCCACCATATCATCTTCAAGTTTCTCTTTCCTCTGAACAGAAACTGCAGCGGCAGATTGAGTTCTATGAGGTCCAAGAGGAGTACATCAAAGATGAGCAGAAGAATCTCAAGAAGGAGTTCCTGCATGCCCAGGAGGAAGTCAAACGCATCCAGAGCGTGCCGCTGGTCATCGGTCAGTTTCTGGAGGCCGTGGACCAGCACACAGGCATCGTGGGCTCAACAACAGGTCAGGACAAACTTCAAATTTGATTTGAAATTGGCTTTTGGCCCACTAATTTTGGAGGATGCATTCTTGTCAAGGTCTTGAGCTTGAACTTGTGTCTTCTATACTCTGCCAGGCATAACTGGTTGCCTACTTTATCTATAGACTTTGTCTTCAAGCAAAGTTTAACCCTCAATCCTGATTGGTCGATCCATGAGAACAAACGGTGCTACATTATCACAAAATACCAAGGTCCGTACCCGACTCCGCGTGCCACGCTATTTCAGATGCATGCGCCATTCCCACTGCGCGCAATATGATAACCTAATTTGATTTATATCACCCCGACCTAATTTGATTTATATCACCCCAACGCAAAATTCCATTTTATAATAGTTTATGTTGGTACTCGCTGCTATGTACATCAGATTCGAACCGGCCAACTGATCCCGTTAGCTCGGTGGTCGAGTGGTAAGACATCTGCACTGGAAAGCAGGAGGTCGTGGGTTCGAGTCCCACCCAAGTGATTTTTTCCAACTTGCACTCGGGAGGTAACACACTGAGTATACAGTGTTTAAAAAAACGTTGGTGAAGGGCAAAACCTAATTTGATTTATATCACCCCGACGCAAAAAATTCCATCTAATAATAGGATGCATTCTGTCAAGGTCATGAGCTTTAATTTGTGTCTTCTATGCTCTGCCAGGCATAACTGGTTTCCTAGTTTATCTTTAGACTTTGTCTTCAAGCAAAGTTGAATCCTCAATCCTGATTGGTCGATCCATGAGAACGGACGGTGCTACATTATCACAAAATACCAATGTCCGTACCCAACTCCGCGTGCCACGCTATTTCAGATGCATGCGCCATTCCCACTGCGTGCAATATGATAACCTAATTTGATTTATATCACCCCGACCTAATTTGAGTTATATCACCCCGACGCAAAATTCCATCTTATAATAGTTTATGTTGGTACACGCTGCTATGTACATCAGATTCGAACCGGCCAACCGATCCCGTTAGCTCGGTGGTCGAGTGGTAAGACATCTGCACTAGAAAGCAGGAGGTCGTGGGTTCGAGTCCCACCCGAGTGATTTTTTCCAACTTGCACTCGGGAGGTAACACACTGAGTATACAGTGTTTAAAAAAACGTTGGTGAAGGGCAAAACCTAATTTGATTTATATCACCCCGACGCAAAATTCCATCTTATAAAATATGATAACCGCTGGAAAGTTTGTGTACTGTGTGCTTGCTCCAATTTTACCGTGCGTCGGGTATGCTTGAAGATCACTTTGTTATCCTGCTCACGCTCGTAGAACGCAGAAAATGTTGTTCGTCTGCTTCCCACATACCACTCCGCCATTTGTGACACAGACGCAATACAATAGACCTTTATCATGCTGCCACCATTTTAGTCATGTTCCCTGTATCCAATAACAGTACCGAGTGATAATTTTTGGTGTGCAAAAAGGAACCAGACTATTTTTTCCTTCCAGCCTCGCTTTGGTTACATTGATTTGAATGGGGAAAAAATCCAAATGGCTGCAACATGATAATGTAAGATTTGAGGCTTTGCATGGTGGAGATACTAAATAATGAAAGGTTTGCTATTTTATTCCTTCCCGCCTCGCTTTGGTTACTTGGATTTGAATGGGAAAAAAATCCAAATGGCTGCAACATGATAATGTAAGATTTGATGCTTTTGCATGGTGGAGATACTAAATAATGAAAGGTTTGCGGAAACACCTTGTGCGAATAATTTCTCAACTAAGAGAATGGTTCTAAAAAGAACCAGAGGTATAAACTCGACGTTCCGGTCAGTATGCTCTGACTGTCTTCAGGAGAGTTTTGAACATGATAATGGTCTATATTCTGTGTTCCACTTGCGCTCGTGGGATAACTAAAAGTACATGTATATCAGATGCGCTACTTTTGGATATCGTCCCCACAGCTTCAACTGCTATAAGTGTACACTGATGACTTTGGACACAGATGACGTTGGAGTGTAGAGGCCAAATTAGGTTTTGCCCTTCACCGATGTATAAACACTGTATACTTAGTGTGTTACCTCCCGAGTGAAAGTTGGGAAAAAATCACTCGGGTGGAACTCCAACCCACGACCTCCTGCTTTCTAGTGGAAATGTCTTACCACTCGACCACCGAGCAATGGGATTGGTTGGATGGTTCGAATCAGATGTACATAGCAGCGGGTACAGCAGTAACTATTCATAAGATGGAATTTTTTTTTTTTAGTGTAGAGGCACTAGGTTGAGGCAAAAATATTAATGTTTTTGTCTGATTTGCATGAGTTTCACTCTTTTGAACTCTGACATCGTTGTTTACAGGGTCAAACTCTTATGTGCGCATCCTGAGCACATTAGACAGGGAGCTCTTGAAACCCAGTGCCTCCGTCGCTCTTCACAAACACAGCAATGCCCTGGTTGACGTCCTACCACCCGAGGCAGATAGCAGTATTACCATGCTGGGAACCGGTGAGTATCTGCCCTTGGGGGTGGGGGGGGGGCAGTGGGTGTTGTTTCCCAACATGCACAGTGGACGACACATGGGCTTGTCTATACATGTAGATAGAAGCTACAAGCAGAAAACCTCCTACTATTTAAGAGGTCACAATCGGTCAAAATTGTCTTCCTCACCTCCTGGCATACTGTGTACAAACCAATGGGGGTCTTGACCAATATTGACCCAAGTAATAACAAGGCTGACATTGCATGTTTCCATAGGAGGGTTAATTCAAATAAAACCCTCCCTCTCTGGCTGGCAATTTTAACAAGGCCAGCCCAGCAGTCAAAATAAACCAAGTGACTGTTTTCAACAGTTGAGTGCCCCCTGCCTTCATAAAGTAGGATTGACTGGCTGTGATTGTTATGAAATATGATGTAGCTATGCTTTGACTGTAGGAGATTGACATTAAAGCCAGCTGTGCCTACCAGTCACCGGCTTTTGTCGGTTGTTTTTAAGATGCCAATTGAAATATGATCTGACTGTTGGTGACTAGCCTGTGTAAAAGACATGGCAGGGGAACAGGATTGAATTTTTGACAGTCTGTGACCTATCACACAAACGAAGGGTAAAACGTTGGAGTTGCTGAGTGGTCCCTTTTGAACGTCAAGGGAAAGTATGGAATAACTCAAACTTGAGAGAGTGGCTTCAGTCCACTTCTGTAAAATCTTTGTATCTTGCTGAAAACAACATTGACCCTCCTAGTGGGAAGTCAGTATTTAGAGCATGTTTTTTTTAAATCCCTTAAAAACCCTGCCGGTCAGTTTCAGGTGAAGGGATATGAAGTGTTAGAGTAACTGTGTCACACAGAGAGTCACAGTACGCAAGTAAAACAGCACTGCGGAGAGCAGTGAAGCGTGACCGAATCTGTGCAGGGATTTGAAGTGTTATCCATACTAACAGAAGATTACACTGTACCTCAAAGGAATTTGAAGTGTGGACGCTAACTCTATGGGCAAAAGTTTTTTTTTTTTCAAAAAGTGTGAAGGGGTGTTAAGTGCAGAAGACTAGGAGGGTTAAGACAATAGAATTATGCATTCTAAAGGCATTTGTGTCGTTCACTTACAGATGAGAAGCCAGACGTGTGTTACTCGGACATCGGCGGTATGGACATCCAGAAGCAGGAGATCCGTGAAGCCGTAGAGTTACCCCTGACACACTTCGGCTTGTACCAACAGATTGGCATTGATCCACCCAGGGGAGTGCTCATGTTTGGCCCTCCTGGATGTGGAAAAACCATGCTGGCTAAGGCTGTGGCTCACCATACCACAGGTGAGTAGCATGTGAGAAAACCATGCTGGCTAAGGCTGTGGCTCACCATACCACAGGTGAGTAGCATGTGGAAAACCATGCTGGCTAAGGCTGTGGCTTACCATACCACAGGTGAGTAGCATGTGAGAAAACCATGCTTGCTAAGGCTGTGGCTCACCTTACCACAGGTGAGTAGCATGTGGGAAAACCATGCTTGCTAAGGCTGTGGCTCACCATACCACAGGTGAGTAGCATGTGGGAAACCATGCTTGCTAAGGCTGTGGCTCACCATACCACAGGTGAGTAGCATGTGAGAAACCATGCTGGCTAAGGCTGTGGCTCACCATACCACAGGTGAGTAGCTTGTGGGAAACCATGCTGGCTAAGGCTGTGGCTCATCATACCACAGGTGAGTAGCATGTGAGAAAACCATGCTGGCTAAGGCTGTGGCTCATCATACCACAGGTGAGAAGCATGTGGGAAACCATGCTGGCTAAGGCTGTGGCTCATCATACCACAGGTGAGTAGCATGTGAGAAAACCATGCTGGCTAAGGCTGTGGCTGATCATACCACGGGTGAGTAGCATGTGGGAAAACCATGCTGCTAAGGCTGTGGCTCATCATACCACAGGTGAGTAGCATGTGAGAAAACCATGCTGCTAAGGCTGTGGCTCATCATACCACAGGTGAGTAGCATGTGGGAAAACCATTCTGGCTAAGGCTGTGGCTCACCATACCACAGATGAGTAGCATGTGAGAAAACCATGCTGGCTAAGGCTGTGGCTCATCATACCACAGGTGAGTAGCATGTGGGAAACCATGCTGGCTAAGGCTGTGGCTCACCATACCACAGGTGAGTAGCTTGTGAGAAAACCATGCTGGCTAAGGCTGTGGCTCACCATACCACGGGCGAGTAGATGTGAGAAAACCATGCTGGCTAAGGCTGTGGCTCACCATACCACAGGTGAGTAGCATGTGGGAAACCATGCTGGCTAAGGCTGTGGCTCACCATACCACAGGTGAGTAGCATGTGGAAAACCGTGCTGGCTAAGGCTGTGGCTCATCATACCACAGGTGAGTAGATGTGAGAAAACCATGCTGGCTAAGGCTGTGGCTCACCATACCACAGGTGAGTAGCATGTGGGAAACCGTGCTGGCTAAGGCTGTGGCTCATCATACCACAGGTGAGTAGCATGTGAGAAAACCATGCTGGCTAAGGCTGTGGCTCATCATACCACAGATGAGTAGCATGTGGGAAAACCATGCTGGCTAAGGCTGTGGCTCACCTTACCACAGGTGAGTAGCATGTGAGAAAACCATGCTGGCTAAGGCTGTGGCTCACCATACCACAGGTGAGTAGCATGTGAGAAAACCATGCTGGGTAAGGCTGTGACTCGCCATACCACAGGTGAGTAGCATGTGAGAAAACCATGCTGGCTAAGGCTGTGGCTCACCATACCACAGGTGAGTAGCATGTGAGAAAACCATGCTGGCTAAGGCTGTGGCTCACCATACCACAGGTGAGTAGCATGTGAGAAAACCATGCTGGCTAAGGCTGTGGCTCACCATACCACAGGTGAGTAGGATGTGAGAAAACCATGCTGGCTAAGGCTGTGGCTCACCATACCACAGATAAGTAGCTTCAGGTTTTCCTCTGTCTGCGGCTTTGGCCTCTCGTGTCTGATCTAATTGAAAGATCTTAAACTTTGCCATCAGATTGTAGAATTGGTGTTCTGGCTCGGTAAAGTTGGAGTCGATTCCACATGGAATTGTGTCACTCAAGCCTCATATTTATACTTGTTCATTGGTTTTGAGTAGCATTCGCTCTTTTCACACTTCCGCCATGGGCATGCAGAGCCTCGATCTGGCAACTTTACCCAACAAATATAGCCGGTTCAGTGATTCCCTTGTCGGGGTTCAGATCACTGAACCGGCTATTGTCATTGTGTAATGTTGTGAGGTCGAGGTTGTGCATGCCCAATGGCGGAGTGTGAAAAGAGCGAATTGGGTGCATGATCAAATGATCCCAACATGCTATTTCTGAGTTGTGCACTAACACCAGTCTATGGAATTTCCCATTGCACGTCAAGCGTCTATGATATGCAAGCAGATTTAACAATTAATTATGCAAAACATGACTGCGTCTTGACCTCAAAATTCTGACCATTCAGCGGGTGCCTTCTGTCTTGTCTTCTGTAACCCGTTACTGTATTACAAAAAACATGTCAGCCAAAACTGACCAACCAACAGCTTCGTCCGCATAATCGAAATGACATCAAAATTTCTAGAGCCCAATCCATATTGGCTGGCGCAGGGTTGCATAAAGTTTGCATTGCTCACATACATCAGATATTGGTTTATACAGAGAGGGCTCAGTTGCACTACGGGTGATACTCAGACAACCCTGGAACATTTCTAGCCTTGGTGGGGCGCTGTGGTCTTGGTGGGGCGCTGTGGTCCAATGGTTAAGGTGTTCGACTCGTGTGCCGTGGTACATGGGTTCGAATCCTGACCGTGGGAACATGGTGCTTGTGCTCTTGAGCAAGGCACTTTACCATTATTGCTTCGTCCTTCGGATGGGACGTAAAGCCGTAGGTCCCGTGTGTTGTGTAATGCACGTTAAAGAACCCAGTAACACTTGTCGCTAAGAGGAGGGGTTTGCCCCGGTGTTTCTGGCAGTGGCAGCAATTATGCGCCGCAGCACCTAGCAAAAAGGTGCTTCATAATGGGTCTCATATGTTCATATTTCACTTACCTGTCTTTTGTTGCATTCTCCCCCAGCACTTTGTATCCTTTGGAAAAGGCGCTATATAAATACAGTTATTATTATCATTATTAGCCAAATAAATTTTGACACGTTCCCTAAACTTTCATTTTGTTGTTTCTTCTCATCCTGTTGCCTGACAGCATCTTTTATACGGGTGGTCGGCTCTGAGTTTGTCCAGAAGTACCTTGGTGAGGGACCACGCATGGTGCGGGACGTCTTCAGGCTAGCCAAGGAAAACGCGCCCGCTATTATATTCATTGATGAGATCGACGCCATCGCCACAAAGAGATTCGATGCACAGACAGGAGGTAGGAGAACGATGATCCAGAGGGGGTCCTCAAAATTCAGAAATATTTTTATTTATGTTGTAACTTGATGCGTAAGTTCTTCTTTTGTGAACAAAAAATTGGTATGGTTCCATGAGCAACTTGGTTTGCGATTGCTACTGTTGCATAGTTAGTGGCAACTAATGCTGGGTAATACAGATGTGGCTACTTTAAATTCCCTGAAGTTTTGGAACACTGACCAATGGAAAAGACTTTGGCTCGTAAATATGTATGAGGTGTAATAATGTTTATATTTACTGAGTGTTATTTGTAACTTCACAGCTGATCGGGAAGTTCAGCGTATTCTTCTAGAGTTGCTAAATCAGATGGATGGATTTGATCAAACAGTTAACGTTAAGGTAAGTCAACCATCATAATGCCATCACAAGGCCAACACAAGACCATCAAAAACCAAAACTTCTCTGATGCTACAACATTGATGAGTAGAACTTAAAAATAATGACGTCACCTGTTGATCTGCTTGCTTCTTATGGGAGCCAGCTGGGGAGGGGAGCTGTGGAATGCCATGGCCTCATGGTCTGGAGCATTGAACTTGTGGTCTGCGGGTAATTCTGCAGGTTATGGGTTCGAGTCCAGCCTGGGGTTATGGTGCCTGTGCCCTGGGGCAAGGTACTTCGTCACTCGTTGCTTCTCCCCACCCAGGAGTAAATGGGTACCTGTGAGGGCAGAGATGGTTATTGTGATTGAATTAGCTTCCTTGCGCCTAACAGGCTGCATCGAGCTGTATACTCTCCCGGGAGCTGAGATGGTATTCGGAATGTTTCATTGGCCCAGTGAGCAGGGTAATAATGATGTAGCGCCTTGAGCACCAATAGTGTATATGTGCGCTTTATAAATACCCATTATTATATTATTATTTAAAAAACCACATGTAACCAAAACATGATTCTGATGAGCCTTGCATTGTTCTGACAGGTCATCATGGCAACCAATCGGGCCGACACCCTTGACCCCGCCCTGCTCCGCCCAGGTCGCTTGGACCGTAAGATAGAGTTTCCCATGCCAGACAGGCGACAGAAACGTCTCATCTTCAGCACCATCTGTGTCAAAATGAACCTTTCCGACGAAGTTGACTTGGAAGACTGTATCCTTATAACATTTATCCTGTAAAATTTAAAGCTAAAGGGGTACTGGGGAATGGGGGAATAGGGGAGTGTGGTTTAGTGGTTAGGGTTTGTGACTCATGATCAGAGGGTCAGGGGTTCAAATCAATTTGCTGGCCGTATGTTGTGTCCTTGGGCAAGCCACTTCACCCCCACTTGCCTCTCTCCACCTGGGAGTACAATTGGGTACCGGCATTGGCTGGGGAGTAATCGATGGACTAGCATCCCATCCAGGGGGAATAGAAATATTCTCAGTCGTTTCATGCCCAGGAAACCAGAGATCATCATCAGCATCATCATGTCGGGATCGCCTGGGTTGTGACGACATCACGAGCCAGTCCCTGAGTCCTCTTCCTCCAGCTGTCTCGATCTACCATGCAGGTGCGCAGCTCCTCTGCAGATGTGAGATCAGTGTCCCTCGTGAGCTGGTCCACAAAGGTCAGACTTCTTTTCCCTCTTAAGGCAGTGCCCTGGGTGGGCTCCCACAGTATGGTTGGGTGGGCAGCAAGCTCAGGGTGGCGGACGCAGTGGCCAGCAAGATTAAGACGACGCTGTCTGATCTTGTGAGTCACTCTCTGCATGCCGTTGTAGAGGTCATCATTCCTCATACAATCCTGCCACGATACGTTGAGGGCTATACGTAGCATGCGAGTGTAGCATCCATCCAGTGACTTCTCCTCCTTGGTTGTGAGGGTCCACGTCTCTGCACCATAGAGTAGGACGGACTCAATCGTGGAGATGAAGAGCGACCTTTTGAGCTTTGTACTGATGGCTGACGTCCATACATTTTTCATGCTGTGAAACCAGAGATAACGCCGGCCTGATGGGCCATATTGGCTCGTGACTTTACTTTATCAAGAATGCAGCTAAAATGCATTTCCCACCAAATGGTCAGAACTGTAAATATGATTAAAACTTACAGTATATGAGAGAACACAACTACATGTTTAGCCAAGGAAATTCAGGATCCAAATTTTGTCCTAAAACAATTACCTGCTGGGGTGCTAGTCTTCATTCCAGTCGCACCTCACTGCTGTGAACATATATAGACAAGGCAAAAATTGCTGCTGCCTCAGATATATAAACAAACAGGGTTTTCAACATTTTCTCCGTAAGTGTAAGACATTATGTGTAATTCCTGTTAACCAGACCTTTGAAGTATGGTAAGTGGACAACCTAGGACTATAACTTACAGTAATTTAAACTGTGAAGCGCATGGTCCTGGTGTAAGTCTTTCTTAACTTGTTACAATAACAGATGTCGCCAGACCAGACAAGATCTCAGGAGCAGACATCAATGCAATATGTCAAGAGGTAATTTCATTGAGAAATAAAACATAGATGATATGTGTTTGTGCACATTCAGAAGATTAATCGCACATACGTGGAGTGCTGTGGCCTCGTGGTTAAGGGCACTGGATTCGTGGCCTGTGGGTAAAGCTGCGGGTTGTGGGTTCGAGTCCAGCCTGGGGTCGTGGTGCGTGTGCCCTTGAGCAAGGCACTTTGTCACTCATTGCTTCTCTCCACCCAGGAGTAAATGGGTACCTGCGAGGGCAGCAGAGATGGTTATTGTGATTGAATGAGCTTGCTTGCGCCTAAAAGGCAGCATCGAGCTGTATACTTCCCAGGGAGCTGAGATAGTGTTTTGAATGTTTAATTGGCCCAATGATCAGGGGTAATAATAATACTGTAAGCACTGTGATTTAGTTTACTAATAAGAGCGTTCTTAAATGCCGATTATTATTATTATACTTGACACACACTCGAACACATTGTCGCATCAGGGCAACTAGGTCGTAACTCCATTCTGCAACAAAGTCGTATCTCGCGAGTATACGCTCCATGCAACAAGGTCGTATCTCGACGTCCATTGACATTGTGTGTGTACATCCAAGTTATTTTATGAGATACGACCTTTTGACATTCTGAAACTCGCGTTTCACGTACGGCACATTTTAGGAGATACAACCTTGTTGCACGGACACGACGACATGCTCGTACACGCAGTGTGTCCCACACATGCAGCTCCCACTATTCAGTCACGAAGCACTATCTACAGTTTGTGCACATTATATAATTTGTTGTAACCTGACTTCTCAATGTACCATCGGTAACAAAGTTTACAACAAATACGTAAGATTAAAAACTTTGCATGGTGGTGGTATGAACTAGGGAAGGCTTGCGGTAACACAATGTAGAAATCTCTTTTGGGAAGATGTGTGGTTCTGAAAAGACGTTTCGATCAGTATATTTTGATCGTCTTCAGTTTTCAACCAGCCGGTTCTTTTCAGAACCACACATCTCTCCCACAAGAGATTTCCACATGGTGGTACCACAAACCTTCAGTTGTTTTCTAGAAATGTTAAAATAAAACTTACAGTTTTCCTCTCAATTGTTCATCAACAGGCCGGCATGCAGGCGGTCCGGGAGAACCGCTACGTCGTTTTGGCCAAAGACTTTGAGAAAGGCTACCGCAACAACATCAAGAAGGACGAGTCCGAGCACGAATTCTACAAATAGTCTCGGCAATTCCTTTCAATTCATGTCAATTGTATTTCAGTGTGTGTGTCTTTTTGAGAACGTTGGATCTATTTCAGTGGATTGGTTCAGCTTGTATGTTTTTTTTATTTGTGACCCTCCAACACAAAACCAGTTGGAAGTAGCACGGCCGTATTTTGAGATACAGCCTATGGTACATTGTACAGGCAAAACGTATCGAAATTCACATTTAGGCGTTAAAAGCCAGAGTAATAAATGTATTTCAATTTCAATGAAGTTTATATTTGTAAAATTTCCAAGGAGTCCTAAGGGAACATTTTAAGTTTCCGAGACTCACAAATTTGAAACTGAAAATAGCTACAACTCCATCAGATTTTGTTTGATTCCCATATTCTATACATCGTGGGAAAGCTTTATTCAATGTCCTTTCCAATGAGCCCAATATTCCAGTTTTCAAAAAATGTTCCAAGTTACTGGTTTTGTGCTGGCTGGAGGGTCATGTTTATATTGAAATAATTAAAATGGAGAAACATTGAGGGGTAAATTAAACACAAACCCAGGCTTGGGTGTCTTGGCGAGGTATCAGCTCCATTCAAACATTGGCATCTTACACTCTTTTTCAAACAAATTCCAGAGACGTGCCAAGCCAAATTTATTCCCAAGATTTGAATCAAGTTTGACGTTTGAAAGAGTACATACTCAAAGTTCGACCCCAGTCACTCTTATTATTTCGTTCAGGTGACTCTGTGCTGAAAAGTTTCAAGTCTCTTGACAAATTCTCCACAACTGGTCTAAGTTTGCTGTGGAGGTGTTGGGTTATCCTTCTCCCCCTAAACTTGAATAGGCCATTTGTGAGCAAATGATGTGTTTTGACGATGCTATTTTCTTGCTATAAACACTCAAATAATCGCATTTATTTAAGCAGTTTAGTTATTTTGGTAAACTAAAAGAAAGATTAAAGGTCTTATTTTTGAGCTGTGTCAATGCATAAACTTAAAGGGAATATACAACATTTGCAAACATCGAAAAATAAAACCACCACGTTTTTATGAAAAACCTTACTAGGATGTTGGTAAATGACAGTCTAAAGCATCCTGTAAAATTATGGCACCTGGTGTGAAGTCATTTTCAAGAAAATGGTATTTTTGTATACATTTCCAACAGTGGTCGGCCGACCATCGTTGGAAAATACCAACTATTTTTCAACTACTGCTCCAAATTTACCATTTTTTATCAGTCCAAATTGTGTTTGCTATTGGTTACATGTTCATTAACGGGTGCAGGCCAGCTAGACTGGTTCCCTTACCTTACAATTTTCAGGCATCTATAAATTGATTCATTTTATATTTTAGTTTTTCTTGGTTTTTCCAGCATTAACAAACACCAAACTTCAAACATGTCAGTTAAACAATATTTGATCTATTATACTAGCCCCTCAAATAGTTCATTTCTGAAAACTACAGCAAAAGCCAATGATGTACATTCCCTTTAAGATTTAAAGCTTCAATTCACCTCTGTTTGTAATACCCCCTCAACCCCTTCCCCTCAATAATGCCATCATCACAGCGCCCTCATTGTGCAAGAATGAGACCTATTCCAATGTGACACCAGTTTCATATCGGCTTTGCACCCATTCTTGAAGAAATTATATGTACATTCTTCTTGTTAACATACATACTTGTATATGTCAGTTTACTATGTTCGACAACAAATAAACTTGTTGAAATGAATCGACATCCATAATGGTAAAATTGTTTCCAATTGTTTTCTTATTTAAGTGTGTTCATCTTGCTCATTAGATCCTGAATCTTGGATTGAATTCCTCCGAAATACTCCATGTGGAGTTTTACTGGAGGTGTGGTTCGGAGTGGCACAAGCCAGCAAACCGCTTGTTGTGGAATGTCTTTTGGACAACAAAAAGGAAACGACTAATAAAAGACTGCTAAAGTTCCCTCTGATTTAACTCTGATATTTATCCCATATCCCCCAGAAGACGAGGACCCCCCCCCCCCCCCCAGCCCTCTGCCCAAAAGTATGAGTTGACTCTCACACAAGACAATTAACAGGCAACTTACTTGTTCCCATGCAATCGTCCGATCATTTCCTTGAAATACTGAACAACTGTATTTTGTTCTTCCCAAGTTTTATCCTATTCATTTGGTTGACTCCAAGTGAAACCCATTAAAATTGCCTCGTGGTGACTCCGCCCACGTCGAAAAAGTTGTTAACATTTTTCGCGATTGCAAAATTGAAACATGCAACAGTCGCCGTCATCACTTCTATTTTGTAACCTTTGCCCCCTTTTCGTGTTCGTTCACTTGATCGAGTGCAAGCCGGTTCGTGGTCAAAATGTCGCTTCGTGTGCTGGTAGGAGTGAAAAGAGTCATCGATTATGCCGTCAAGGTAGAGACATTTCTTTTCTTTTTTGCATGATTTACTTGTATACACTGATTGCCGGGGGACTGAATGACTAGCATAGTAGCAAATTATTAAACGAATTTGTCCGGTTTCTGGGCTGTGAACATGTGTGCATGAGTCGAGTACAGACTTACGTTACGTCATGTACGTGAACTATTGACAAGGGCGCCCGCAACTCGCCCCGCATCGACTTGCATAATGAACAATATGAATTAGGCCTAGGCCTAGGTTTTTTTAATACACTTTCTACATTTGTATTTTGATGTGGTTTTGTTATTTTGTAGAGAAAGTTATAACTTAAGAAACATTTTAATTCAACACTTAACACTTTAATAAAGTGTTATGTTCAAGTTCAACTTCAATTGGATTCCATCGGATCCTGCAAATATATAGTGCAAAGAGATAAAGGAAACCTAGATTAAATTAAAGCAGGGATTTTTTGGTCCCTGAATTTTGTAAGTCGACCATGGAGTGGTCGATCAGATAACAACCGCAAACAAAGTAAACACATTCCACGCTCTAGCCTGCCAAAAACCGCAAAAACGCATGCGCGTTGCATGCGGCTTACGCCTGTTACGGAGAACTGCCATTATAAGTTTCGTTTTTCTTATGAATCTTATGAATTCTTATGAATCATTATTACATACCCAGCCAGATGTTTGTCAGAAAATTATTTTCTTATTTTTCGGGGTATTTTCAAAGGGTTCACTTTGCACTTGAAAATAAAATCAGAAAGTTACGCCAAAACAACTTTTTCTTCTAACTTTGTAATGGGTAATTAAACTCAAGATTTATGAACGGGAGTGTTTAGAACTTGATAAAATATCACTTTCTGTGAAGTTTCAGTTAAAACTTTGCTCTAGCTAGGCACTACAGGCGAAAAATGAAAGTGCGCCACGTTGGGGGCCGCGCCACATTAGGGTACATCAACAATATAATAAAATGTAACATTAGTCCGACTTTAGTGCGTGTTCTTTCAGCAAAACGAAAACAATTCTCATAGGGATGCATGTGAATTGTTTTCGTTTTGCTGAAAAGTTAAAGAACACATACCTATTTTGTGATCCGTGGAATGAACTTTATAACGGTGTGCCGTAACTTGAAACTTACATGAGTGATTTGAATGATTCTTGTAGAGTTGTACTAAAAGAAAGCTCATTGATTGGGCTTTCATATCCTAGATTTTGAAAGTGCTACAGGCAAAACTTCATTGAAAAATTGGTCCTGCCATTTGGGATGCATTTTTTTTTTTTTTTTTCCCCTCACCCTGTACAGTGGATATTAACACACTTTTTTTGCCTAGGCCCTTTTTGGCTAGGAACCATCTTCAATCCTCCAAAATCTTCCATGTTTTTGCACTTCATTTTGTTCAAATGAAGGATACCCACTGCCTCAATACTTCAAAATTCTCCAACAGCCCTGCCTCTCAAAATTCATTCATCCTCAATCCTCCAAAATCCTCCTCTTCAAACACCGTTCAGCGTCAATCTTCCAAAATCAACTGATGCTGAATGTCCATGTGCCCTCAATCCTCCACAGTCCTCCAAAATTGCATGTTGCATTCAGTTGAATGCCTCAATCCTCCAAAATCATCCAAAATCACCCTGAGGACTTTGGAGGATTGAGGAAGGTTACGGTTAACAGATTTAAACAGTTAAGTGATTTCCTTTAATTAAGCAAACCTGGCATCCTTTTGATCTTTCCAGGTTCGGGTGCGGCCTGACAAGATGGGCGTGGTCACGGACGGAGTCAAGCACAGTATGAACCCCTTTGATGAGATCGCTGTGGAGGAGGCGGTACGACTCAAGGAGAAGAAGATTGCTAAGGAGATCGTCGCCGTCAGTTGTGGCCCTGCCAAATGTCAGGTACATACACACACTAGTCAGCTAGTCTAATATCGAATTCTGATAATTCTTGTGTTCGTATGGCTGGGATGCTACAAAGTAAAAGGGAATAAACAACATTTGCAAACATCGAAAAATAAAACTACCAAGTTTTTACGAAATACCTTACTAGGATGTTGTTAAATGACAGTCTAAGGCATCCTGTAAAATTATGGCACCTGGTGTCAAGTCATTTTCAAGAAACTTGTATTTTTGTATTTCCAACGGTGGTCGGCCGATCACCGTTGGAAAAACCTAACTATTTTTCAACTACTGCTCCAAATTTACATTTTTCAGTCCAAATTTTGTTTGCTATTGGTTACATGTTCATGAACGGGTGCAGGCCAGCTAGACTGGTTCCCTTACCTTGCAATTTTCCGACAACTATAAATTGATCCATTTTATCTTTAGTGGAGTCAGGGAACCAGACTTCTTAAACATTTTTTTGTTTTTCTTGGTTTTTCAAGCATTTTCGAAACACAAAACTTCAAAACATGTCAGTTAAACAATACTTGATCTAGGCCTATTATACTAACCCCTCAAATAGTTCATTTCTGAAAATGACAGCAAAAGCCAATGATGTACATTCCCTTTAAAGCACCCTCTGTTGTATGTTGTCTAAAGCTCTGAACACGTCATAAAGGGTGAATGCTTTGTGAGAAATACCTAAGTGAGCTTTGAAGCGTCCCAGTAAAGGCTAAAGCCATCCTGTTAATCACAAAAACATATTGGCAATGTGTATTGGTATACTTGTACTTTAAGGGAAAATACAACATTTGCAAACATCAAAAAATAAAACTACCAAATCATTTTGAAATACCTTGCTGGACTGTTAGTGAATGACAGTGTAAAGCATCCTGTAAAATCATGGCACCTGGTATACTGTCATTTTCAAGAACAGTGGTATTTTTGTATCAATCTCCAACGCTGATCGGCCGATCAGCGTGGAAACAACTGGCTTTTTTTTCAAAAACTGGCCCCAATTGACCATCGCACTTGTTTGCAATCGATTACAAACCTATGAACCGGTATAAGCCAGCTAGAATGGTTCCCTGACCTTACAATTCCCCAATGTATGTAAACTGCTCTGTTTCTTCTTATATGGAGTCAGGGAACCAGACTACAGGAAAATGATCGTTTTTCTTGGTTTTTATAGCATTTTTGAACCCAAAACCTCAAAAAAGTCAGTGTAACTATATTTGCTTTATATTTCCAACCCCCCAATTCCGTCCATTTCTGAAAATTACAGCAAAAGCAAATGATGTATATTCCCTTTAAAACCGAAAACCTGGCAGTAAGAGACGAGGAAAAAAGTGTTCCTCAAATGTATTATTTTTCGCTAGCCTTGTCCATGACTGGATAAACATAAGGGGAATGTAATTTAATACAATATTTGGATTAACATTTTGGTCCAGCTGATTTGTATTAACGGGAGTCACCTTTTTACCGTGTATCTGTCTGTAACACCTTCATGTATTACAGTGAATCTCAAACCCATTATTCTCCTCTTACATCCAGGAGACACTACGTACAGCACTGGCCATGGGCGTGGACCGAGGAATCCACGTGGATATCCCTGATGCTGACTTTGAGAAGGTCCAACCGTACCACATCTCCAAGCTACTGGCCAAGCTGGCTCAGGAGGAAGGAATAGATCTACTCATCTTGGGAAAACAGGTGACTGAGCTCTAATCTTGAGCAGCTTTAAAGGGAAAATACAACATTCGCAAACATCGAAAAATAAAACTACAAAGTTGTTACGAAATACCTTACTAGTCTAAAGCATCCTGGAAAATTATGTCACCTGGTGTGAAGTCATTTTCAAGAAAATGGTACTTTTGCATGCATTTCCAACGGTGGTCGGCCGACCATCGTTGGAAAAACCTAACTATTTGTAACCACTGCTCCAAATTTACCTCTTTTTTTTTCAGTCCAAATTTTGTTTGCTAATATATTGGTTACATGTTCATGAACGGGTGCAGGCCAGCTAGACTGGTTCCCTTACATGCCTTACCTAAGTACGATTTTCAGGCATCTTTAAATTGATCCATTTCATCTTTAGTGAAGTCAAGGAACCAGACTACTCGAACATTTTTGTTTTTCTTGGTTTTTCCAGCATTTTCGAACACAAAACTTCAAACATGTCAGTGTAATAATATTTGATCTATTATACTATCCCCCAAACTTGAAAATTACAGCAAAAGCCAATGATGGACATTCCCTTTAAGTGATATACATTAAAAAAAAAAGTTAAGAATTCAATATTGAGTTTTTCTCTTCACCGCATATTTTTATAAACACTGTATACTCGGTGTTGCCCCCGAGTGATTGTAAGAAAAACCACCTGGCTTGGGTGGGACTCGAACCCACGTACTTAATAGCGCAGACGTCGTTAATACCACTCGATCCCACCCGAGTGAATTTTCTTTGCTCACAATCACTCGGGGGCAACTCGGGTATACAGTGTTTATAAAAAAAAAAATACACCGGTGAACGGCAAAACTCAATTCTGAGTTAACATCACCCCGATCCAAATTCCACCTTATGGATAATCAAGAATTTACAAGTAAACAATTTTGATTTCTGAAATTTTAGGGGAGAGTCTGAAAATGCATGTTTTGTTAAGGGCTTTCCCAGGTTTGAGGTATCATTTTTGTTTCATGCGAAGACTAGTTTTGTTTTAAAACATAAGGTTAGGTATTTACCGAAGGCTGCCAGGCGCTGCCCTAGGGCTGTGCATTGGAACCGGGTACTCGAGTAACCGACGGTTAAGGCCAAAAAAAAAAGTCTCCGGTTTCTGGTATGCGCGCGCGTCGCCGTAGCCATGCGCATTGGCAAAATGAAGAAAAAAATTTTCAATGAAAGATGATGTCTCAAAACCGCCAAACTCACTGGTTTGACTGGAATCCTGCTGCTGTACAATTTTAACGTGTTTTTAGATTGGGTTATGGTCGAGAATAAGCTTTATGTGGCCTCTCTGGACTCCCATATATAAGTTTAGTCGGGCACCATTTGCAGTCATCAGCCGACATTTGAAGCAAAAAATCGGGTAAAAAAAAAAAAAAGCCGCGTCGCTGCACCACTTTTTGGGCAAGCTCCATACCAGAAACCGGAGACTTTTTTTTTTGGCCTAATGTCAGGAACCGGTTCCAGATTATGGAATCGAGTATCCGTAACCAAGTTTGCAAATTACTTAGTATTTACTTCTCAGTCAATGAACAAGAAATTTCAAAATGAAAAACAGGATACATGGAAAAGCCAAACCAATTTCACGTTTTATGATGCTTGTGAAAGTTGCAGTTTTCACCACATAGCTAAAGAGCTCACTGTCTAGCCGTATTGCCACACCGATGTGGTGGTATTATCATGCGGACCTTAATGAACAATCTGAACTGCAACTTCCCAGATTTGAATGTTTGGCTTGGGTTTCTACCGCCCCGAATCCTCCAAAATCCTTTTTGCAAATTGGAGGAATTTGCAGGATTGAGGTTACATGGCAAAAGCGCGTTGCTGATTTCGGAGTACGCACTGTGACAAGGTCTTGGGCCGGACCTTGTGTTGTTTATGATCAGCCGTGCAAAATTTAGTCCTTGCTTATACGTGACATCCTCCGCACTGCTCCAGGATGTCTCTGCCTCTGCTTCAGCCTATTGACAGTTATAGCCGGAGGATTTTGCAGGATTCAGGCAGTGGTCACCCCTCCATGGACCATATTCAAGAAATAACGGAGGAATTTGCAGGATTGAGGCTATAAAACTATTTTTCCATGAGGCCAATTGGAGGATTTTGCAGGATTGAGGCTACATCCTAGCAAAAAGGCCGAGGGAGTTAGGGTTAACGGGTACCCGGCTACCCGTATTTTTTTTCAATCGGATACCCGGTTACTGTACTACCCGTCAATGCACTCCCCTACGCTGCCCCGTATTTATTTTTTTTATTTTTCCAACTTGTATTTACGTTAGAGCCACTTTATTATCTGTTTCCAGGCCATTGATGACGACTGTAACCAAACGGGTCAGATGACTGCGGCCCATTTGGACTGGGCTCAGGGAACCTTCGCCTCAGAAATCACAGTAGACGATGGGCGTTTAAAGGTATGCTGAGCTTAAATATTGAGGACAATTAAGCCCGGGTCATACTCAAGTTGTGACGTCGTGGCAAGTATTCGCGCTGCGAATTCATAAAAGTTGAACATATTTCAACTTGGACGAATTTTGCAGCGAACGTGCCATGACGTCAAATTCGCTTCGCATTCGCATGAATTATGAACCGGGCTTTACAATGTAAATTTTCAGGCTGAACCAAGAAAACGTGCCGGTTGATTTCAATGTCTTGTGTTTTCTTCTTTTGGAAGGTTCTTCGTGAGGTGGACGGGGGTCTTGAAACGATAAAAGTCAAGATGCCTGCAGTTGTGACGGCTGACTTGAGACTTAACGAACCCAGATATGCAACACTTCCCAATATTATGGTGAGTAGGCTTGGCCATGTATGTCATAACTCATAATGACCATATCAATTTTTCTTCATGTCAACATATCAATCTACATATCCACATTTGTTTTATACAGGTTTACGAATCCACAAATCTTTTTCTCATTCTAAAATTGAATATATACAAGGCATGCAGTGTTTTCTTGGATCGGCTGATTTCCTCTCTTTTTTTTAGTTCTCACTTTAATACGGCATTAAAAATTGAAGAAAAGAGTACAAAATCTTGTAAAGCTCTGAAATTTCCTCCGTTTTTGTTATTTCCCAGAAGTATATCTATACACAAGTACATGTCTGTTTAGCTTAGTGGATGTTACACTTTTTGAGAAAACTGAAAACCATGCGCAACTTTTTGCTCACGAAACACAATTTCGTCCATAGCACACTGTTTATTTCCAAAAATCAGTCAATTGGCTGATCTTTGGAAATCCCTTACATTTCTTGACTTCTTCTAAACGACAGCAAGCTAGACGGACAATTTCACAGGTTGTTTAGTACCAGTACAATCTGTAATTCAAATAAGCTTTTCATAATAATTTGGTTGGTTACTTTTGGGGTAAAAGTAAGTGATCCATTATGCCTTTAACTTTTCGATTTTTGCTTTCTTGTTGTTCATATTGTAGAAAGCTAAGAAGAAGCCCATAGCCAAGAAGACAGCAGCTGACTTGGGAGTTGACCTCGCTCCAAGAATTGAGATCCTCAGCGTCAACGACCCACCGGTCAGAGAAGCCGGTCAGAAGGTGGAATCGGTAGAAGATCTGGTGACCAAACTCAAGGATGCGGGCGTTATTTAACCCTCACAGAAGGTGAAGAGAAGTCTGTTGAAAAAATTTGCACCCATGAGTAAGTTCAGGCGAGGACCCTTTACTAGTCGACTTGTGGTTGGTTTGTGGCTAGCCCAGGTTGGAAGACGTCTTCATTGCATTACGAATGACGTCCAGGGTATAAATTGTACCACCATAGCAAAAAAAATTATAACACATTTTTTTCATATTTTTACCTGACGGAGGAAGCTGAAATTTCACTTACATATTTCTTGTGTCAAGAATTGTGCCTGCGCTGGGTTTAGAAAAGGCAAATATGTCCGTGGGCGGCGTGTTTACCAAAAATTAACTGCAAGTTCTACGTTTTCATTGAAAACATTTTCAACTCCCCGCGTGAAGACGTACACACGCGTGCCGTTTTCTGCTGCTTGCTGCCGTGGCTGCAGCGTGCTATGTGTGCATATGCGCATGCGCGCGCGTAATCTTCACACGGGGAGTTCGTACTGAAAATATTTTCAACGAAAGTGTGGGATTGCGGTTTATTTTTTAGTAAACATGCCACCCGCGGACATATTTGCCTTTTCTAAACCCAGCGCGTGCACAATTCTGGACACAAGGAATATGTAAGCGAAATTTCAGCTTCCTCCGTCAGGTAAAAATATGCAAAAAATATGTTATAATTTTTATCGCTGTGGCAGGAGATATTCATACCCTGGACTCTGTTGCGTGTACACAACGAAGTCCAACCTGGGTTGGTTTGTGGCGTAACTTGTACAACTGCATAGCAATGTGCCAACATCTCTAGTCAAACAATGGTCAAACCGTCATCATGAAACTTCTGGGTCTGGTTCTGGCATTATGATGTAACAAGGTAGCCATTAACCCTAACTCCTTAGGCCTTTTTGCTAGGGTGTAGCCTCAAACCTGCAAAATCCTCCAATTGGCCTCATGGAAAATATGGCATATAGCCTCAATCCTGCAAATTCCTCCATTATTTCTCGAATATGGTCCGTGAAGGGGTGTCCACTGCCTGAATCCTGCAAAATCCTGCGGCAGTGATTGTCAATATGTTGAGGCTTGGCCAGTGACATCCTGGAGCAGTACGGAGGATTTCAAGCATAATGCAGGCCTATATTTATGCATGGCTGAGCAAAAACAACACAAGGCCCGGCCCAAGACCTGGACAAAGTGCTTACTACGAAATCAGTAATGCACTTTTGCCATGTAACCTCAATCCTCCAAATTCCTCCACTTTGGCAAAGAGGATTTTGAAGGATTCAGGGCAGTTAGGGTTAATGCAGCCTGGTTCTAAAAAGTTGACTAGAGTAGTCCATCCATCCGTGGTTCGAGTGAATCTAGTATTTGCCCAAGACAAAGGGTAGTGAGGCTCATAGCCTCACTTACTAAGGTGTAGTGTGACTACCCTATCCTGGGATCTTCTTTAGGAGGATCCCGAAACCAAAAAATTAGTATTGGCCCAGACGTCAGTGATCAAAAGCGATGGTTGGGAAAAAAATCACTCGGTTGGGACTCGAACCCACGACCTCCTGCTTTCTGGTGCAGACGTCTATCACTCGACCACTGAGCTTATGTGATCGGTTGGCTGGTTCGAATCTGATGTACATAGCAGCGGGTACTGCATGAAGTATTCATAAGATGGAAATTTTGGGTCGGGGTAATGTAAATCAAATTATGGTTTGCCCTTCACCAACTTATAGGTCGTTGCATTGTTGCGTAGCGCCCTTGCATAATTGGTTTTGACTTTCTCTCGCTAACGTCTTGGTCATTGTGAAGCAATGGGGGCAACCTTTCATGTAAATAAGACCATCTGTATCAATTCGAACAAACACAGTTCTTTTTTCATAGCTTCATGCCTGATCACCGCAGTATAGTGCGTACATGTATGTTTATAACACCTCGGGTGAGCCATTGAACCCTTTCTCGGTCACTGATTGGTTCCCTAGGCAAGTCTAGGGGAAAATAAAGAAAAAGTTAAACTGCTCAAATGTAATGGCCAAGACATAAGTGCAAGTATAGGCCCGCCGGTCTAAGTTTTGTGCAATTAGTGGTGGCTCCATTCACCGTTCACTGTCGGTCACTAGCATTTTGGGCCACGACTCGAGTGAAGCTATCAAACCATGGTTAACCATAATCCCATAATCCTCGCCTGAACTTGCTTTGTGTCATCACAAGACCTCCAGTCTCAAGACAAGTCACATGGAGGCCAAGTGTCGGGAGACAAATACGTGCCCTTTTCAAGAAATTTCCCCCCCCCCCCCACCTAATAAAAATGACCTTGCTATGCCCCTGCACACTGTATTCAGATTTATGCCTTATGGCAAACGTCCCATGAAAATTGGGGGACGAACAACATTGGGCCAGATAGATAGCTCAGATAATTTATTGTCTTCTACATTGTTCCAGAAATTACAGGTTTTATTTTTGCTCTTGTCAATTTTGTTTTCTTCAACCAAAATATGTGTTTTAGAAAGGAGTTGTTGTAGAAATGAAGGTTTTTCTTGGTTGTGCTCGCATGCTTAACACATTTTTTTGTATCCAATTTTATGTGTCATTTGCAGAATTGCAGTCATCATTGAGGCAACATGTGCATGTATTCAACAGTATGGAAGGCTCCAGGCAACAAACTTTGGATGTTTGTTTTTTGGAAACACATCACATGACAAGTTAAGATCCATTTCTTTTCTATGGTGAAACAAAAATCATTACTCCTGGAGAATTAAGAGTGCCTAAAACTGGGAACCTTTGAAAGTTCCATCAAGAACTTTGTTTGTTCTCATCGGGAACATGAAAGTGTGTGATATTGTTCCCACAACAGCCAGATAAGCAGAATAGCAGATGAGTAATGTTGCATTCTTTCTTAAATTCTGACAACCGATTCGATTCTGTGAGACTGCAAATGTGATTTTAGAGATTGGAAATTTTACTTACTTCTCCCAAAGATAAAATTATATCCCTTTTAATACGCAGTCCATATTTACCCAAAAAATTACTTTTACAATCAGGGACTTCCATGGTGTTTTATTATTAGACTTTTTACCAAAAGGATAATGCGCTGTATTTTGTGTAAATACTATACATGCTGTGTTTGTTTTTCGATTGTTTACTGGGACAAAATGTTGTTTAAAGAGCAAAACGTGTTGATTTTAAATTTGAAGAATTTTGAGTATTAAGAGAGCGACGTGATTTATATTTTCAGATAATCCTCCAACACAGATCTATTTGTAATGGCTATAACCTGGTAAATGTTGTTTCCCGATTTGCATAAGCATCAAATTTGTTTTGAAATGTTAGATCTCACAACTGCATGTGCCAACTGCCCTATCCAAGACTACTAGTGACGCCAAATTTCTTTGAACTGTCATTGGACGGATTTTGTTCACTTGGCCACCCAGCGTCAGTACTTTCGTGCGCACATGAATGTGTGAACATAAAGGAGAAATTGCTAAGCGTAACCAAACACACATGCCCGTAATTTGCCCCAATCGACTGCATAGTGCCGGAACAAGGTGGGGGTCATTCAAATAGCCCGCATGCTCCCGTGCATACAAGCACTGTGCGATCGATATTCCCTGGTGTTCCTTGCGGGCAATGTAGCATTGTCACGCCGCAATTTCCAGTTGCGTAATCTTTTAAATTTTCAACTCTCTAACTGCATAATTTTTCATAAACTGTTGTCAATCTTGGACAATTTACAGTCTTTGGTAGCAAACAGGTTATCCAAAAGTTAGCTAACAAAATTCCCCAAAAGTCTATAAATGACGCCATCATAAGACGATCAGATTCAAAATTATGACCCCTCCAATGAGTGTTGACTTTCTTTTTTTGACGGTGTTTATTTCAAATGTACGTACATTTGATATGGGACCTGAATGTACCCACAATGCTTTGCAGCATTTGTGTTTCCTTCACAAGTTGTTGTGAATGGTATTCACCGGCAACCTTAGATAGGGCAGCGGGACGAATGAAATGAAGGGAGTGCATGGTCAGGGACTGTAGGTAGTTTGTCAAAAGAGGGCGCTGTTTCTACAGTGTTGTATAGGATAGGAAACCAAGCATGTGACTGCACACAAGGCCCCGTTAATGTTGAAGCATCGTGCTAGCTATTGTGCAAAGCTACTGCCCCATGAGGGATTATCTGAACAATAGCTAGCACAATGCTTTCCCCATTGAGGGGGGCCACTGTGATAGAATTGACAGCGTGCCCAGATTGGTTTGTTGGGACAGGAATGTCATGTATGGGACACCTTAGTTATGATTCTCTCGTGTGGACAAGGACAATGCAATAAAATGTAATTACACAATTGAGACAAAATCGTTCAGAACTTGTTTTGTTCTTTAATGTGTGCTTTTTGCATTAAATCTTTTTACATTAAATACATTCAGTATCAGCTTCCCCTTTCCGTTGGAGACAAAAATCAATATATACATTTGTTCTCGAGTGTGGAATTGCCAAAAGTGCATAAAAACAATTCATCCTGTTTTGTGGTTTTTGTTCTTGTGTGGAGACCTTTAAATAAACTTTGTACCTCATGTGCCATATCTGTCATGACCTTTAGACATCAGTTTCATAAATATAGAAAATTCTGACAAAGCGTTTAATGATAGGAAAATAAGTTAATTTGATCGATATTCTGGAATAAGACATCTTTGCATGATTCTAAATATTATCTACATAAGGCCAAAAAAAAAAAAATTCAGTCTCTGGTCAGACCAAAGTTCCGGAATCGACGCGGCTTTTTTTTTTTTTTTTTTCAAGCTTGGATTGTACAGACAAGGTGGGGTACTATTTTGCTTTTTTGGTGTCCTCATGTACATTGGTGTCCTCCATAATTTGCCTTGGTGCTCTCGATCATTTGCTTTGGTGAAATTTCCCATTCCTTGGTGCTCTTTGGTAAAAAAAAAATTGAGGAGGTGCGGCAATAGAGGGCGCTGTTGGAGCTACAGCGGAACATTTTTGAAAAAAAAAAAAAAACGCACATGATTAAAATCGACACACGCGCTGACCAGAGACCGACTTATTTTTTTTTTTGGCCTAACAAGACGACGACATTTCTTCAATGCCTGTAATGCTTTGGGCTATTGCAATGTGGTTAAAGGTCAGTCATTGCAAAAATGTTGAAAAGACATGATTCTGGGACTGAGAAACATTTCCAATTTTGTAAGGAAATATTCCTGACTCTCCATAGACTTTGTACACAACCGCTGGAGTGGCATCATGTTGTAACATTCTTTCCGTCACCCAATTTAATGCATAATTTATAAGATCATTTGCATTCACCCCAAAAGTAACCTACCAAATTATTATCAAAGAGCTAACGATCGTACTCGTCGGACTTGCCGTCATTTAAAACAAATCAAGAAATGTAGATAATTTTCAACGATCAGTCAATTGACCGATTTTCGGAATAAAGAGTTGGGCCTATATTAACTCTAACAGAACTCGACCCATCAAACCCCAACGGCATGTTTTGTTGGAATCTGTCAGGATGGGTACAGTGCCCCTAAACTGACAGTCTTTTACATTGGGTTGGCACACCTCCAGAAACAAAGCCTGACATATTGTGTGCAGTTTCCCATATGCTGTTGGAACTTGCCAGGATATGGTTCCTAATAAATCATGCCAGGAAGTTAGGATTAACAAATTCCTGTTTCGTGATCAAAAGGTTGTGCATGGTTTTTCACTGTTTTCTCGAAAAGTGTAGCATCCACTGAGTTGAAACTTCAACAGATTAGTTTTTGAACTTTCATCTTTGGATTTGGAGTGGGGTTACTGGAACAAAAAAAATGCATGAAAAGCAAATGATCCTATAGGCCCCTATGCCTGTAAGTTGTCAAAGTACATGCACACCACAATTTAAGAACGTGTGCGTGGCATGCGCATGAGTTCTGCACCACTACAGACATGTCGATCATTGGAATAGCCTATATATCCAGCGGGTTGAGACCGAATGCTAGTAGTTTCTCTTTCTCTACAGCGTGGATATGAGTAGCCTCTGCCTCCCATCGTTTCTTGGCTGTGTCCAGCTTCAGAACCAGGTTATCTAGGGCTTCCTAACAAAAATGAATTGACAAAAAGACGAAAGAAAAAATTGGTTAATAATTCCGATCAAACTGTTCTTGCATCTTGGCGACCAAGCAACAGAAGGACCCAGAAAAATGATATTATTGGTTGGGGTTTGGGGTGGGGGGGGGGGGGGGGGGCGGGGGGGGGGGGCAATCGTATGTTTTAAGGACCTAATAAATTCAATATAACAACTTCCATTATCCAATGTATCACCCTTAAGAGCCCTGCCTGTTACTTCCTGTAATGCCCCAAACTGCCTGAGCACTCAATGGTTTTAAGGATCCATCAGGGCACATAGTGTAATACAACCTGGTCTAATCAAAGTATTTTGGGAATTTTCAGCAAAATGTGCAGTTTTCAAAAAATTGAAAATGAACTTGCCCAAAAGCACAAGAAATTGCCCAAAATGGGGAAAAAAATTCTCGCACATTTTCTGTGGGGCTAAACGGAGATGGGATGGTGGCTTAACCCTACATCAAGGTTTTAGCTGGTCCCAGTGTACTTTTTGCACCTGACTGACTTAATGACTGACTTGGCTGACTGACTCCCCCACAACTGTCACTTTTAAATTAGACTTGCTTAAATCTCATATTGGCCAATAAAGTTGAAATAGGATCACCCTGCAATGCCAATGAATAGCGTAAATCCCGCCTATTGTGTAGACTAAGCACCGTCGACAACAGAATTTTCAATAATCAATATATTTATCGGAAATTCAATATCGAGAAAATTCTATATATCGATTATCCCATGTAAAAAATAAAGACCATCAAGATAACTCTTTGATAAAAAAAAAACAACCAAAAACCCAACAAATCTTAAGTCCCCATTTTCCACGGCTTTCTCTGGAGCATATTGCTCCAAAACTTTTTTAAACAAATCTAAGCAACGAGAGTTTGTCCAGAACGAGCGTTTTTAAAAAACACTTTTACATTGGGGGAGACCGCGAATTCCAGCGAACGCAGAGCACAAAGCGTCGCCGCTTGGCATTTCACGATGTTTTTATTTTGAGTCACAAGCACAAGTTGACGCTGACTTTTATTTCATTATACAGCAAACGAAAAACACAAAGTAAATCACAAACGGGAGATTTATTTTGACGATAATCTGACGCATTTTCGATATGCTTCCTCATTATTGAAAACTTTGACATTTCGATATGATTAAAAATTGCTATCGGTGATATAGATATCAAAATAAAATCGAATAATCGAGTAACATATCTCTATCTACGGTGCTTAGTGAAGACCACTCACATGACAAGATTTCCAGTGAATAGCCACACTGAATCTATTGCGAACACCCTGGGACCAGCTCTAATCATGGAGAGTAGTTTTCATGTTGGATGCAAGTAATCAGTTACTACTTACGTGCAGCATGTTCTCATATGACAACTCCATGTTTCTTATCTTTTCCTCCAGCTCCCCTATCGTTTCATCTTTCTGCTGGGTCATTTGTTCCTTCTGCTCCTTGGTGGATTTCAGTTCTTGTTCGGTCTTGGCTATCATGAGGGGAAAAAAAGAACAAAACAGTGCTTAGACATTTTTTGGTCAGTTTGGGGCAGTTCGGGGTCTAACGGGCAGGTGAATGGTACAGACCAAAGCCCAATTTACGCGTGACAGTGTCGCGCATTTTTATAAATATGCACAAATGAATGAGTGATAAGACGCACGACTTAGTCGCGTCAATGTAAACACTCTCAGTGATGTATTCGTATTTTTAAAAAACTCACGACCAAGTTGTGTACCTGTATGTGAAAATTGGCTTTAAGGTCGAGGATCCATGTCTCTGTCATTCGCACTGCGTTATGCGTAAAAATCAGCTGTGTGAAAATCAACACGTATACGTCCTAGTAGTATTGCGCACTGCGTCATCGGTTGAAATTTTATACGCTCCAGGTACAGCGATTGTGCACTTTGCCAAAGCTAATCCACATTTGATTCTGACTTGATTTTTCTACTTGTAAATCTGCTCCGCGCTCTCTGTTTGAGCTTTTAGGTCCATCAAGTGTTACATTCGCTTGGACTCTCAGAATACACATAACAGACATGCAAACTGGCATAAAATGCACAATGTAATATTCATGCATATCGAAAATGGACACATAGTTTTCAGGGTTAGACTACTGGGTAAAATACGCAGGAACTATGAGCTTACATCTGCGCAATGCTCATTTTGAGGCTATGATATGATCAAGACTATGCCCGGCATACCTAGCTGTGCTTTGGTCTTTGCTAAGTCAGCCTCCAAGTGATGCACTCGTACGCCCATCTCTGTCTGCATGGTCTTATACTGGCGCGTCATGTCTGTAGGGGAAAAAAACAACAAACCATGATACTGTTCTTGTGTGATAGGTCTAGTTGGTTTAATCCTAAAAGGTGCGGAGCCAGGTTGGATCAAAAGGGGGGTTAAGCAGCCGGGGAGGGGGGTGTTTAGTAATCATTTGCTGTCTTTTTCCACATGTTTTTCCCCCCTATTTTTGCGGCCCAAGAGGGGAAGTTAAGACCCCCCCCCCTCCCTTAAATCCCCTACTGCCTAGCTGCATCCAGGGACAGTAACATTTCCAGAATCAGCCATAAATACAGCGCGTACAAAACAAGATAATCCCAAAGTAAAAGATTACTACATGTAAGTTCAAATTATGAAATTCAACACCGTCAGTGAGGTTGCATCTGAAGGGTAATTTACCAGCTTTCTACAGGGGCGGATCCAGGCTTAGATCAAGGGGGGGGGGGGGGGTGTTAGCTGCCAAGTGGGGTATAGCAGGCATGTGCTGTGTTTTTCTGTATGTTTTTCCTATTTTTTTGCAGTCCAAGAGTGGGGGTTAAGACCCTCATACATCCTCGACTGTTCTATTGATACCTCTAAGTTGAGATCTTTGAAGAATTAATAATCCAATCCCGACTGACCTGACGTGACATCTCTCTGGTCTTCCTTCTGCTGGTCCAGATCCTCCTGAGCAATCTTCATCCTCAGCTTCCATTCCTCACTGTGGGCGTCGGACCGTCGCGCTAACTGCTTCCTAATCGCTGAAAGAAAAACAATGTTCGGAAATGATCACAATCACTAAATTGGCTTCCTTCTGAAAACTGGTCCCCATCGTTACGGGAAGAACCTGTAAGCATGCAAACAGGCGGAAATTCCTTGCTAATCAGATTCGAACCAGCCAACCGATCCTGTTAGCTCGGTGGTCGAGTGGTAAGACGTCTGCACTAGAAAGCAGGAGGTCGTGGGTTCGAGTCCCACCCGAGTGATTTTTTCCAACTTTCACTCGGGAGGTAACACACTGAGTATACAGTGTTTAAAAATGTTGTTGAAGGGCAAAACCTAATTTGAATTCCTTGCTAACCTGTGAAATATGCTATTTTCTGCAATATGTAGTGGGCATTCTTTGCTTACAGAGAGCAAAGCCATGAAATTGGGTTCAAGCCCATGGTTCTGATAACCTCTAAAAGCACTTACATAGCACTTTATACCAAAGGTCTCAAAGCACTTCACAGTTACAACCCCTGTTCATCAGGCCATCAGACCGCTTTTTTGTGGTTTTTTTTTTCAGCAGCCGAGATCAGCGCATTCTGGTCTCTACCTTCACAGGTACCCATTTATACTCCTGGGTTGAGAGAGGCAATTGTAGTAAAGTGTCTTGCCCAAGAACACAAGCACCATGTTTCCCGTCAGGGTTGGAACCCACATACCATTGGACCACAAGGAAAGATTTCCATATACGAAGTTCACTAATTTTCCTCTGTATTGACTAACAAGCCCCCAGATAGCAATTTCATGTCATCAAAGTCAATTTGAGCAGTGAGAAAATACAAGCATTTTCTTAGAAAACACTTAGAATTTTTCAGTCCAATCTCATAGGGTTTGTACACAGGGTGTTGAGTGAACTTCGTATATGGAAATCTTTCCGACCACAACGCTACACTTAGGATCACCATTCCGTTCTTAAACAGTTTTATATAGTGCAGAAATTCGGTGTTCAGCCTATGAGCAAGGAATCTTTTGACGCATGCACACAACACAAGGCAATTTTTTTTGCCAACCTCCGAAATAGCACCAACTGTCTTACAGAATTTTTTGCTGCATTTACCAAAGGCTCTTTCTCACCTAAATGGTCCTTAAGAGCTTCAATTTCATTCATAGTCTTCTTATACTTGTCCTCGATTGTAAGTTCAGCATCTGTTCAAGAGAAATTAAAAAAAAAAAGGCTGTAAGTATAAAGTTAGGAAACACTTGTATTCTTCAACCATCGACACGATTGGGAACTGAAACTCTGATAAATGAGGAAAAAAATGGATATTGGGATAAACATGATAAAAGTAATGTGGTTATAACTTATAAGAAGCCCCAAGAATCATTTAAAATAAAAAAAGCCGTGCATATTTGACCCTGAATTGGTCCCCGTTTCTTTAGCCCTTTTTAAAGCTATTTTACCGGCATGGCACTGAACACATGGGCAGTCAGTGTTTTTGGGGACTTAGAATTTTTACCGTGACGAATTCCGTCTTGTTCCAGCTTTCTTTGTCATTGTGATTTCCTATTAACGAGATGGGAATCAGACTTAATGCCATTTCAGTCTGGTTGGGGTTGCAATTTAATATTCTGTGGTGTAGGCCTACTTGTGTACGTGTGCATGAGGGCGCTCTACTGACAGTTTTATGACTTGAACATGTTGAAGAACAAAAATGCGTGATCGGTTCAAGCTTTTTTAATTTTATAAACAATTCATTAAAAAATATCCCAACTCAAGTAATTGGTGTACAGTGTATGTACCGTGTCTATAGCATCGATAAAAAGTTGTGGCTATACATGTTGAAGTTGATTGGGCTTTGAATTTGATGTAATTAATTTGAGGGCCTGTTGTAAAAAATATATTACATGTAATATGATGTATATATTTTTCCTAATTGTGTAAAAACAATTAATTTGGTAATCCTTACTTTTAGGACCCCTTTCCTATATAAGGTTAAAAGACTCACCAAAACAGCGGACTATGACACTCAAAAGTGACATTCTGATATTTATTGACACATTTGAACATTTGGCAATGACACCTCTTGAATATCAGCAGGTTTAATTTTGTAGAAAGAGGGCAGGGTTTTGATTTATGAGGGTTAAAGACGACGATGACAAACAGAAAATAAATTTAAAAAGCAAGATGGCGAACTGCAAAAAAAGGTAGGAAAGTCACATTTTCTTTGAAAGTGCTTTCAAAATTATAACTAACATGAGTTTGTGTGAAGAAAAAAGACTTCTTTAGCCTGCAAAAGTCACTTTGGTACTGGACAGTCATCTGCAAAAGTCAGTTTTGAACAGAACTCGTACAAAATAGAGGTGTCCTAAAAGTAAGGATTACCATTAATTCCACATATGTGATGTTATTTCTGTTTATACAACACCTGAATAAATTCCCGTCATCTGATTGGTGAATTGTAGATCACGTGACATATTATTATTCGGTATAATGCACGGTCCGACCATGCGGTATACCCATGCGTTATACCGTTTCACTTTGCGCTTGTTCCATGACGCGGTATTTGCGTGCAAAATGCATGCTGGTGTGCGCTTTCAGCGTAGCGCGTATTGTTCCAAAGAGCCAGCGCTACAGCGTTGGGTTCAAACATTTTCGTGAAGGGGTAGTTCAGCATCTTTAAAATCAAAATAAATTATAATTTATAATTTACCAATCAAATGACGAGAATTTATTCAGGTTTTGTATAAAACAAATAACGAATGTTTTACGTTCGTGCGATGGAAAGAATAATTTCATTCGGTGACAGATTGAATGTTCTATTCCACTCGGCTTCGCCTCGTGGAATAGAACATTCAATCTGTCACCTCATGAAATTATTCTTACCATCGCACTCACAAACATTCGTTATTTGTATACTAACATATCGAGACAGTTAACATTACATCATAGTTTGTAAATAACAACACAGCTTGTACTGTGTACAATCATGTTCCTTCCTCCATGGTACAATCATGGAGGTAGAATTAGATGGTACAAACTACAATGTATCGCGAAATGTTGGCCATTTATCATTTTGACCTCCGTAGTGCTGCCAGCCGCGGCGGTGCGGCCTGGTGCACATTTTCCTCCGAAGCCGTCCACTTCACAAATCCATTATTTTTCATAAATGACAACTTACCGTTCTTCTTCTTCTTCTTCCCCTTCTTTCCTTTCCCCTTTCCTTTCTTCTTCGGTGGCATTTCTGAGAACTTTCACAGTTGGAGAATTTCACACACAACTTCTGCCGACCATTCCACCTGCTGCAGCGTCGCGTACGTCTATGGTAACAGGTTGAAGCACAACTGCGCGTGCGCAGTTCAATCAACAAGCCAAAAAGTCGACCGGTCCGAGATGAGTATTTTGTGGCTACGGTTGCTGATCTTGCTGTTCACATTCTACGGGGAAATAGTCGTTAGCCGTATACTTCAGTCCAACACTGGACTGGAAGTCCGCTTAAACGAATAAATGAAAGTGCGCCCTCAATATAATTCATACATTTGCGTGTTGTACTCTTTTTTTTGGGGGGGGGGGGGGTGGATTTTCTTCGCCTTTTTTTTTGTACGCGAGACCGGGGCCGGGGGTGGTACACATTACAGATCCAATCAGCACATTCAATGGCACATCGACTTCCATTTGTTTGTTCTTTTTCCCCCTTTTCTGAAATTGGAATATCACCAACAAGTGGGAATACAAAAAAAAGATAACAGATAAAAGTTAAAACAACAAATAGTTGCGCGGATATTTTTTTGGTATTTAAATGGGTTTTTTTTTTCTCTCAATAGGTTCCTTGCAAGGTTTTGCCATTGTCACATTGATATTGCAACCATTCACATATGATTTAAAGGAAGTATGCACGACATTGCACTATTTACATCCGAAACAACAAAATGAAAATCTGAGTTGGTCCTGGATCCGGGTTGTTGTATGTCAGGATAATAATGGAGTTTTACTTTGTACCTTGACCTGCGGTAGTTCAACGTGACTACCTGCAATGGCCTGCGGTACAAACTCTGCTGTTGATCTTTACTCGACCTCGTATCACGAACACTTATCCGGATTCTTTTGTCTTTTATCAGGATCTTTTTTTCCCGGCGTGATAACAAACAAACCAGCATGTTATGTATATTTCACTGTATGGTTAAACTTATTAACCACAGTACCAGTCGCCAACCGCAGCTAGCAAGTGGGGCAGCGCAACCCGGTGGGAAAATACCATTTTTGTTGAAATCAAAACAGTAAATCAACACCTCAAAGCGCCCTTCATGTTTTGAGGAAATGATTTTGATGTTCCCTGAAAGATCAACAAAACAAATGTATCCAAATATGTATATAAACTCGGAAAGGGCAGTCGTACTTTCAAGGGAAAAAAAAACCGAATTAGTTTTTCTCACATAACAGGTTTTTGAAAGAGTATTTTAAATCTTTCATTAAGGAATATTTGAACATCTATGAAATAAATCTGACAGCTATCCGCGAGTTCCGGCTGGACATTTAACTGCACACAGGCTGTATCATAATCATCGGGGAAATGTAAACTTAAAATGAGGGGAAGGGGCGTCCACTGAGACGCGGGCCGGGGGGGGGGGCAAGCAAACAGCACACAGTACCGGTCTGTATAAAATACTCCATCAACTTATAACGATGATTTTTTTTGGTAAGATTAACATATCCCCCCGAAAAAAATCGAAACTTTTAAACGTTTTCCTAGCTAATTTAAATATAGTCAAAATGTGTGGCACAGATCCCCTGTGGCTCTACTATTATGAACGGGGATTCCGCCCCCACCCCTTTTAGGGTTAAGAGACCCCTGCAAATGAGATCAATTACACCAAGGCCGGATCCATGCTGTCGTACATTTTCTTAATTTTGGTGATTCGTAATCTTGTCAATAAGCCAATAAGCAAACTTTTCTCACAAAATATTTTCAATAATGAGCGATTTGGGGGGTTCACAATTTGAACAGAACACCGTCGCTAAACTGATGTGTCTTCCTGAAATGTTTGAAGAATTAAGTGCACTTTACAGTAAAATTTGCTAAAAACGGATGCCAGTTAAATTAGTTTTCATATATTTTAAGAGGAGAAAAAAAAAGTTGCACTAAACGTGTTCCTGAAGAAAATTCATCCCATGGACCCTTTTGACATTATTTGCCGAATTTGTGTTGTTCATAGTACATTGTACATGTATCATACAACATATGGGTCGTTTAAATTGTCCACACTTTTATAGTGTGATGGTCAGTCTTCTGCGTAATGTCCAGACACTGATGTTTATTTTGAAACAAACTATCGTCATTAAAAAGTAACTCACGAGGGGTCTACCCGATGTTCCCCAATATCTATGTTCCCCAATAGCGATGTTCCACGAAATCCTTAGGGTTAGGGTTAGGGTTAGGGTTAGGGTAAGGATTTCGGGGAACATCGATATTGGAGAACATAGGTATATATTATGAACCCCAACTTATTGTTTATGTTGAAGCAGTAAAGGCAACCGTGAACGGTGGGCGGATCCGTCGGGCCAACGGGCCGGGATTTTAATTAGTGACGTCCCCCCCCCAAAAAAAAATTACAGGCACCGCGTTCTACCCACAAAACTCAACAAAAGCAATATATAGTACCCTCCCCTTTCTTTTTCATAATAAATTTGGGGCGGAAAATGTTTAGACCCACTTTTTCGGGGAACAAAAACTTGTGTGGGCCCCCCAAAATTGTGTTCTGCATGGATCCGGCCTTGGTGTAATTGATCTAATTTGCAGGGGTCTCTTAACCCTAAAAGGGGCGGGGGGGGGCGGAATCCCCCCTCAACTTTTTCCGCGATAGCCTTGATTTTTATTTTTTTTCGCGACCCTAGCTGTTATGACTATTTAGCCGGGAGCCTTGCGCATCTTTTGATACCAAAACATAAAAATTATGTACCATTTGTACATAATTATGAATAATTAATTGGCCATAATTCCAAAACCCTTTGACCTATAGTCATGAAATTTCTTGGGTATATTCATGATGAGTTGCTCTATGCATGTACCGAGTTTCAATTTTTTTCGTCTGTCGATGGCCGAGATCTTAGGAGCGGGGGGGGGGGGGCGAATCCGCCATGGTTTTGCTGGGCCTACGTAATAAAGTCCATTTGTAAACAGCCAGTTGAAATTAAGTCATCTTATACAATTTTTGTTTAAGATCATGGTTATCGCGGACCGATCATTAATTTGTCTGTTGGCGCTACAGTAACTCCACAAATATTATTGGATTTAACATTACACAAGCAACAGACGACCGTATTACATTCGGAAGCAGTCAGTTGCTGAACAAAAACTTGTACATGAACACACAAAAAAAATCTCCGATGGATATTTCAAAACCCGTCCCCCCCCCAAAAAAAAATATGGCCAAAAGACGTAGGCCCGACTCTGTATCACGGAACAGTCGTCGATCGAATGCCCAGCAACATTATCTACCGGTAAAAATTCCCCCTCATATTGTATGCATAAATCGTGCGTCAGCCCTGCTGGCGACCAATCAAATCCACATAGTCTTGTGCATCAGTGCGTGGTGTGGCCGAGTACCAACTATCGATCCAAACCAAATAAAGCTAAGCGTATGGAAATGACCCCGCTCCCTCCGCGCTGGGGAATTACCTAGCAGCGCATTGTTAATGTTTGCTGTGCCTCTCTGCTTGGGCCATTTTGAATATGAGGCTTCACTTCAGTTATTACGGTGTGATTCATGAATTTATGGTTGAAAGAAAGCCTCATTTACATGTACGTAAGACTGATTGTTTAATTTGTACATGTAGGCCACGCTACACTGAGCATCAGGCTGCGTTTTGTCGACTAGCGGTTTAACCAACACAGCCCATCAGTGTGTAGGATTAGGGACATTCCCTTTTGACTACGCGTACAGTACGTGGCATAATGGCGCGCCACTACTAAACCATGATGTATGCGTGCAAGCAGGGGGGAATTCCCGTGTTAGTGACTGTCGTTTCCTCCCCATAAGGGATCGTCACAGATACTTCTCTTCGTGTTAGTTACATGTCCGTGGAAGTCGTGACTTTTTGCCGGGATTTTGGGCGGCAGATCGGAGGTAGGTTTTAGTTTTGTCTTTGGGCTGAGGTTCATTCATAAACGGTGCGTGTGTGACGGCCTGGCGTTGCGAAACGACCGGACATAGGGCTTGGTTATTTTTCATTTGTCGAGGTCGTGGCGATTGTTCTGCACAGTCACCGTTGGGTTATTGAGTAATGTACATGTACATTGTACGTACGTGCATGCCAGCTTTGAACAGGGTTGGTCTCCCATGTTTGCATATGGGCCCACCGCTGATAGGTTATGGCCAGTTTATCGTGTCATAATACTTGATAGGCAGTAGGGGATTATTACTCCAGGGTTTAGACTTATTACATTTAGACTTAACTAAATTAAAAACCCTTTAGCTTGACACCGTAAATAGCCCTTTTGATCCTGCGTTCGAGTAATAACATGGCGTAAATTTGCGTAGGGTGCTCACTGCACATTTAAGTCCGTAAGTATGATCATGGAGGATAGAACGAACATGACGAATGGTTATTGAGGGCCATGCAATGTAATTTCTGCCCTTGAAAATGCACCTTTGTGTGCGTGTCCCATTTAACCTTATTTTCAATTTTCGTTTTGCCGTTTGGAAAAGTATTTTGGTGGCTTTTTTATGCTAATGCGGATTCCATATTCATGAGCAAAAGTGTAATATGTCATCTCGCTCAGACAGAAACCTGAATATTAAGCTGTTTCAGCAAAAAAAAGCTTCCAGATTTTTTTTGCTGTCGTACATTTTCTTAATTTTGGTGATTCGTAATCTTGTCAATAAGCCAATAAGCAAACTTTTCTCACAAAATATTTTCAATAACGAGCGATTTTTGGGGTTCACAATTTGAACATAAAACCGTCGCTAAACTGAAGTGTTTTCCTGAAGTGTTTGAAGAATTAAGTGCACTTTGCAGTAAAATTAGCTAAAAAGGGATGTCAGTTGAATTAGTTTTTATATATTTTAAGAGGAGAAAAAAAAAGTTGCACTAAACGTGTTCCTGAAGAAAATTCATCCAATGGACCCTTTTGATATTATTTGCCGACTTTGTGTTGTACATAGTACATTGTACATGTATTATACAACATAATATGGGTCGTTAAAATTGTCCACACTTTTATAGTGTGTTGGTCAGTCTTCTGCGTAATGTCCAGACACTGATTTTTTATGTTGAAACAAACTATCGTCATATTAAAAAGTAACTCGTGATAAACCTACATTGTAGTGACATTACCAAGTTGAAGTTTCCCTGTCATAATTATGCGGAGGCACCGTGAAATGTTCAGAACAATTCTCGTCATTCCAACAGATGACACCGATTAATGTTGAATAATCGGAAATACGTGATGTATATATGCATGTACCTGTACATATCACATTCGTTCAAATATGTACTTGCACTTGAAAAACTAGATTGCTATCTAAAGATTTAGTTTTCAGGACGAGTGAGTTGTTTTTTTAACATTGTGGTAAATTTCACTTTTATCAAACTCAGATTTAGTAAAGACAGTGTGTAACGTGTCCCTACTCGAATAGTGCTTGTGCGTTGTCAATATTTTGGTGACTTGCTTTATGTTATGTGTGTGATTTGTTGGTTGTGCTATCACGTGACTTCTCTTGCTTGGTTTTTTTGGGGTACTTTTTTTGGTTTTGTTTTGGGGTGTTTCTTGAGCATTTCTTTTAAAGGCATAGATGTTTACGTCTGTGCATGTGTATTTTCTGCAAATGTGCATTATTGCCTTAAGTTTTGGTATTTGAATATTCTATATTGATACAGAATCACAATTACAGAATCAAAATGGGTGGATGCTAGAATATATAAGCATATAAGCAGTGCAAGTAATTAAACGATGCAAATAATACGGTAACATTAGAACTTTTATTGACTTTTAGTCATTTATCCAACATAAACCCATACATATTTTTCCATCGGAGTGGCTTATCAAGTCTGTTCCTTCCTCCATGTCAAGACGTACTTAAATTTCTACTTGGTACTTTAATAGCTCATCGGGAATTCGTTTTTTTTCCCCTGCAGGGTTACCCTAACAACTCACAGGATCATAGGCCCATTTGGATAATTTCCAACATTGTTTTCAGAGTTTAAACGACGGACAGCACTCTTTGGTAGGAATTTCCTGACAATGCATCACCGTATTGCACGGCACTGACAACATTCATCTTGGTGTTCAACCCTAGACTTTCATCCCAGTCCACCGCGTCCCGATGCCTAATCGGTATTCCCCTGTGCCGACCAAAATGACGGAGCAGGACAACAGGGACACTTCAATCTACCACACCATGCAGACTCTACCCCTAAACCTGTCCGCATCTGATGAAAAGCCCGAGTTAGAACAGACTTCCAGCAACGAGGTGGCAGGACCCGAGTTGGATGTGAACCAGGAGCCAGTGGGGTTACCGACACAGCAGGACGATAAACCAGTGAGAACTTCAGTCAACGGGGATGTCGATCACGACCGGAAAGCCGAGAAGAGCAATGTACCGGCCGTTCAGGATAAGTACCACCAAGTACCGGCACCGGCGGCACGACCGCGGTCCGCCCCCAGGAAAAAGGCCGACGCGCCGGCCAAGCCTGGCCGGCGATCGCGCTACGACTTACCCGTGGGCCCGCTGACCAACCCCCTTGCAGCGGTCAAGACTGAATCCCGGAGCCATCAGCAAGTGGACCGGAAGGTACCGAGCCCCGGACTGGCTCAGGTCAGCTCCTCACGCCCCGTGGTTTCTGCGATACCGGCCGGCATCTGGAGACACTCGGACTCGCCTTATACCGGGGGGTTTCCCGCGGAGTCACCGGCAAGATTCGTTCATCAGTTACCGGCAATGGTTACCTACCCTCGATCACAAACACAGGCAGTCGATGGAGGGAGGCGGGTGGTGGCGGAGAGAAAGATACCAGGTAAGATTCAGTCCAAAACAGAGACCTTTATCATGCTGCCACCATTTCAGTCATGTTCCCCGTATCCAGTAACAAAACTGAATGATAATGTTTAATATGCAAAAAGGAACCAGACTATTTTTCCTTCCAGCCTCGCTTTGGTTACGTTAAATCAGCTTGATTTGAATGGGAAAAAAATCAAGATGGCTGCAACATGATAATGGTCTATTGGTTTGATTTATAAAATAAAAATCTCTGATTTTGACTAGCTTGACTGAAGTTTTTGTCACAGTGTATAATTTTAGTATGTTTTTTTCTTTAAAGATGCATACCCGTGCTCTTCAAAAAAGAAGAGTTTTTTTCTCCCAACGAAATTTCAATTTTGTTTTAACGAAACTACTCCCCCCCCCAATTCTGGGCGTCTGCAACCCTCTTAAAAAGGCTTTCAGTTTACGGACAAAATGAACCCGCCCAATGCGAGAGCCGAATAATAATTGTCGGGCTGTAAATAATTCAAACTTTGTACAGAAATAAAAAAGAAACATTCGGAAGATTGTCGTTCGGTGTCTCATTCACAAGACTAGTGAATGCCTTTCTTATTGCTCCGAAAATAGCAATTTGAAAGACAAATCTGGTTTTCTTTTGGAGTGAAACTCGAAAAAGCACGGAAGGGATCTTAAAGGCACAGCTTGTATACGTCGACTCTTACAGGGTGAGTAAAAAATAAATCGGAATTCAAACACCCCAAAAATATATTTCATATTTTATAAAATATGTAGCACCAAAAATAATAATGACTAGAAAGCCAATTTCCGTTTAGATGAAAAAAATACTGAAATTGCTCAATCCGTTCAAAGAATATCACCATTTAAACGCAATGACCCGAAAACTTGTTTCGTCCAAAAAGAAAGAAAGAAAGAAAAGCAATCGATTGTGTGTTCTGATTGTTTGGAACGACTACGAAAATGACACACTCGTTTGAACAACTCTTGACAACTGTAGTGTCAACAACCCTGCTGAGACAAACAATGTGATTAATAAAATCCACTTTTAAAAAAAAAAGATTGGGCCTCCAAAAGGACTGTGTTGGATAGTTTTAACTTTTTTTTAACTGGGGTTTTATCGCTGGTGATGTTTGAAGACAATTGTGACAGTCATTAGTAGATTTAGTGCTAAATATTTGTAAAAAAAATATTTTTGAGGGTTTGGGGAGTCCGCTTTATTTTTTACTCACCCTGTTTGATAACTGGATGCAAAATAGGAATAAATCCTCACCAAGTAAATCTCGAAAGCCTTTTGAAAACTGGCACAACAGACTTTTCGCTCAAATATATTTAAGGAATATGTTGAGTTGAAATGAATGAATGAGACAATATACACAACGTGAAGTGCATTTTTTGGGGTGTTTCGTTTTCCATGTTGACTTTTAATTTATGCGCAAAACGTTCGAGTCACATGTTTTAAACCAATAACAATAACCAATCTTGATTGATACACTTGCAAAAAATTGGACAGAAATTGGATTGAGACCTATACATTTACATTTTGGTTTTCTCAGACATGCCCTTGCCAACAGTATGCAGAAAAAGTTCACTGTTTAGGAGTATAGCATGGTATGCGGTATAGTATACCGGTAGGGGTTGATTTTCACGCTTCTGTGCGTCTTTTTTTGGCATGGCCCTCGCGAAGTGCAAAACTGTATATGGGTGGATTCCAGGTTTTAAAATGACCTTCAAAAAGTATTCACGGTGTATTTTTTTGTCTTCATATAAAATCCAACCCCTATTCAATAAATAGGAAAAGAATTTTTTTTCTATTGATGAAAAGTAGGCCTCTGGTTCATTTATGCATGCGCACAATACCTACGCGTGGTTCCTTTAAATACATGTAGATCAGGCTGCTTCCGAAGGCTACGGCTATTTTTAGTAGTAACACACGTTTCAACGGGAAGTGGCTTCCGCTGCTTCCATAGACGCATGTGTAATTGCAAGCCGTAAGTCAAGTAATTTGGACGCAGCCTTACGGAGTGACTTGGTAGGTATGTGATTCCCAGTTGAGATGCTGCAGGTTCACGTTTGGGATCAGAACGCAAAAAACAGCCCGTTCATCCAACATTTTGAAACTTAAGCCTAATGGGGGTGGGGGGGGGGGGGGGGGGCAAGCAGGGGGATGCAATGCCCCCATGCCCCTCCCCACCCCCCCCACCCCCCCCCCCCCCCCCCCCCCCCCCGTAGCGCCGCCACTGATTTCTAAGTCCCATTGAAGCAAACAATATTTTTGGCAAATGTGGGAATTTTATTGTTCTCATTCTGAGAAGTTCAGCCGTAGTTTTGCTCTTGATAGTTTCGATTTCCATCTGGATGGCCGCCAAAAACGGGAAATAATCTTTCTGCAAACAAACCACTCCTGGAGTTCTGGTCTATATTATACATTACCATTGTCCACCAAACAATTGACTATACCGTGCCAAATTTTAAAGGACCAGCGCGCCAAATTCGTGCCGGAGCAAAACTCGCTGCCTGCGCTTAAAGAGTAGGCCTACGGGTCAGATTGACCCGGAATCCGCGGGTATTTGGCCTGACACTTTTCTGGGTCAAAACTGACACTTTTTTCGGGTCAAAATGACAGTTCTCTGACTCATTTTCGGGGTCGTTTCGAAGAAAATCTTGGCAAAAGTGTCATTTTGACCCAGAAGAGTATCGATGTTGGCCACTGTATTAGTGGCAGGCAGAAGAGAGCCTAGATTCCGGGTCGAAGAGTGTGACAATGTAGTCTGTCAATCGGTCACTTTTAAGCCGGCCCTTGTCACACTCAATATTATTACTCGGGGGAAAATGTCTAAGTTAGATTGTAAACTTACATGCAACTCAGCGCAAAGTTAACTTGCTTTTAGCCCGTGTCTGTGTAATGATCCAAAGCAATGACTATGTTTTAATTATATTTTTTAAACTTTATCCCCCCAGGAATTTGAATCGACCAGAACATACCTAATTTCCGCCCGTTGAGTCGCTCCGAACCAAATTATTCCGAAAAATTGAATTAATACATGAAAAAAGTTCGACTATTGAAACAATTAGGAGCGACTGTAAGTTTGAAGATCGATTGTTGTAGTCGTTTCAAACGTCTGGAAAAAATAATACATGAAGTTATATGAAATTGAAATCTGTTTGGGCTGATTATACTAAAGGGTCGTTTTTTTTTTACTTTTTGGTTCCGCGCAGCTAGCTCTTGAACGACTGAGAAACGGGTGTTAAAGGGTTTTTTGAGGAATGCTGACAGTGAATTACCGAGGTCGCGTTCGCAAACTACCCCATGCTGAATTTTCTCATCATGCAAACTGCGCGTGCGCGTTGAACCTTGTGTGTTTTTTTTTTTTACATCGGGCTCCAGGCGATAAGACAATACGTACACTTTTCGCACGAAGAAAGAAAATCTTGCGTAAGATTTGCTTGGTAAAGTCCGCACTTGTGCAAGTCTGTCCCGCCAATTCACAAAACGGTACTTCCTCATTGGAACAATACACGGAAAAGCCCAGGGTTTGCGCGCACCTTTCTGATCGTAACTCGGACAAAAACCACCTACAACAAAAGCTTGCACTTTGGTAATAGGTACCAGGCGCTACATGCATATATGCGCGTTTCCTATGCTATGACGTCAAGTGGGTGCCCTGTGCTTTGTCCTGCACAACCCACTGTATGGGCTATCAATCAGATTAAAAGCAAATAATACAGTTTGAGAAAAATGGGCAAGTTGAAATGCTTGCTTTCGTTTCAGCGAGGTGTTGTGATGCATGCCATTTTATAGATTTTTATGTCTGCCGTGGACTCTATATATAGGCAGACAGATTTTCAAGCAATGTATGTGCATTTTTTAACCTAGTTATGCACGTGCTTTACTTTGAGACCCTTCTGTAAGATAAAAATAGATGATGACGTCATTTACGATCTATAATTAATTACCTCGCAATATTGTTGCTCACAGGATTCCCACACTGTTTCTCCACTTGTGGATGCGCATGGATGTAACCCTAACTCCCTATAGGGGGTGTGCCAAATTATATTGAAATTGGAGGATTCAGGACTGTTAGGGGTAATGTTGTCGACGAACACATATATGAATGTGGTCTTAGAAAGAGCTCATTCGAGACAATGACGTCATCATGACGTCACAACGTGGTTGGGAAAGTTCCACTGTGGAGGAAAAAGATGTCATGAATAACAGTCACGAGAATTCGTATTATTGTTGCAAAGCGTCGGTAATGATGAAATAGACGTGAAGTTTGCGTGTCATTAATTTTCCGGGGCAGATTCAAGGTCGTTTTCACGAATTTCCTCGTACACAAAATAAAGGCATCTGGAAATTGAAACGAGCAGCATTGTATAGTTGGAATTATCATGTAATGCTTTCCATATACGTGGATATTGACTTAGCCTATGGACTTATGGACATGTATTCTGTTTTGGGGTGTTTTTTTTGGGGGGGGGGGTGATTTATTTGTTGTTTTTTCCCCTTCTAAAGTATTTTGTTGATCTTTGATAACGTTATGTACGCGTTTCTTATAAATCGTCCCTTACAAGTCATGTTATAGGCACATGACAGACCGGAACAAATTAGGAGAAACCTAACCTGGAGACCCTCGGCCGAAGTTTTAAAATGCGTAAGATGACCAAAATTATGCCTTAAGAAGTTACGATATATCCCTAAGGAATATCCCTTTACACTTTCAGCAAGGGTCTATGATGTGCGAGCAGATTCGGCAATTAATTATGCAAAACAAGACTGCGTCTTGACCTCGACATTCTTACCATTCAGCGGGCGCCGTTGTCGTAATTATAAATATACGGTAGCCAAACTAACTATAATCAAAACGACGTCACAATAAACAATTTTTAAAGTTGACCCCGACTGGTTGCCGCGCGGGGTCCGGTCGCATAAAATTTGCGTGCTAGTATGACGTTGGTATACACTTAACCAAAAAAGAAAGTCCCCCCTTAATACTTTTGTCAAAAACTACTTGGCACATCTTGCTCAAATTGTGACTGATCAGTACAGAAATTCCTTAGCAATCCAGCCATACTCTTTGTTTTTCCGAAAACAGTGATAATGTCTACAAAATGATGCAATTTATGACAAGTGGTACCGAAAAAAAGTTGTACCTTTGTACACTTGCAAGGTGAGTTTGAACCGCAACATGCACGTTTACAAAAGTGCAACTGTTTTCGGTATCATAAATTGCATAAATTCATACATATTATTACCGTTTTGGGCCAAATAAAGAGTATGGCTGGATTGCTAAGGAATTTCTGCACTGATTAGTCGTTATTTGAGCGAGAGGTACTCAGTAGTTTTTGAGTTAGACAAAAAAGTATTGGAAAGGGGGACTTTCTTTTTTGGTTGAGTGTATCTCTGCACATGCACGCGAATGTCTGATACTCAGGCTATAGCATAGGCCTACCCCGTGCTTTTCAAAAAGGTGGTTTTTTTTTTGTCCTCACGAATTTTCAGTTTGTATGTTTTGTTTTAACGAAGAAAAAACATAATTTAGTTCAAATTTGGGCGTGTGCAACCCTCTGAAAAAGGAATTTTATTTTGCGCACAAAATGAACCCGCCCTGCGAGAGCCGAATTATTGTCTGGCAGACATTATTAATAATTCGATTTTTGTGAAGGAATAATTCAATAGCTAAATGTCGGTGGATTTTTCCGTTCAATGTCTCAATGACTTTAATATTTCGAGAAAATAGTTATTGAAAAACCAAATTTATTTTTCGAAATTTAATAATAATTATAATAATATCGGAGTCTTATATAGCGCACGTATCTACCAACATTTAGGTACTCAAGGCGCTGGAAAATATGTCTCTATTAAAGAAAGGTAAATAAAGTGAGAAATATGTGACCCATTATGTAGCACCTTATAAGGGTTTACAAGGTGCTGCGGCGTATATTGCAGCCACTGCCAGAAACACCGGGGGAAACCCCTTCTCTTAGCGATAAGTGTTACTGGGTTCTTTAACGTGCATTACACAACACACGGGACCTACGGCTTTACGTCCCATCCGAAGGACGAAGCAATAATGGTAAAGTGCCTTGCTCAAGAGCACAAGCACCATGTTCCCACGGTCAGGATTCGAACCCATGTACCACGGCACACGAGTCGAACACCGTAACCATTGGACCACAGCGCCCCGCATTTTTAACATTTAATTTAACTCGAAAATAGCACGAGGGACGCATCTTTCAATGACGTCATGTAGGTACACATTTCATACACATCGTCCCTTGCAAGTCATGAAAATAGTACACATGACAGGTTAGACTAAATATTCCAAAGTGGAAGGCCTTAACCCTAAATATAGTTGTTTTTAAAATGCATGAGATGACCAAATTATGCTTAAATTTAGGAGGGAAAACCCTTAAATTATAAGCCACAGCTGACATAAACCGAGAAAACAAATACATGAGAAAGTATTTCATGTGTTTTTACAATGCTCTAGTGACACACAGCTGGCACGCACATAATTATATTGCACACAATGTCGTGTTTCATTTGTCAAATAAAACTGGGACTTTCCCGTCTCCTGCCCAGTGTGATTCCCCGTCCGCACAGGGAAACTGTTTCTCATCTTGGGGTCGGGGATGTACCCTGACAAAGCCAATACAGTTCACCGGTATATACTGGGCTTATTTTTTATACACACACGGAAGCTCGAGCGTTCGAGGAAATATCGAACGTCCAAGCTTATTATGAATGCCAACATCTGCCGCTTGGCTGGGGTTTAGTTCGATGTTGTCATTTTATGTGTTGGGTTGAAGACAGACGATATTGAAGTGCGGTTTGATCTAGAGTTAGTTGTGATGTGTGGAATTCTTGTGAACAATTGTGAGTATATTAGTTATTATTGTAAATGTAAAATATAATGAATGGGGCATTTAGCCTTCTATAGATTGTTTGCATAGTTTTCTTGGCATTGCGGGTATTCATGTAAGCTTGGGGCGGCGCTATAAATGCAGAACGACTAGGAGTTTTGAGATCTAAAGAACAGATGATGATATTGGTGAATGTCTAACATAATGTTCGTGTGTTATGTTCGGTGTTGGTTTTTTTTTGTATACCTTGTCAATTACAAGTTATAATATTTTATCCGTTTAACTTTTGATTTAATAACAAATTGTTTGTTGTTTTGGTGTGCCCTGTATGTCATCTGGATTGTGTTTCTTCCATTTCGCCAAGGTTTTAGATGGGGGGGGGGGGGGGGATGGTGTTCAACATGTTGTCCATAGGCCTTCATTTGATATTTTGTATTTGTTTTGTTTTCTTTACTGTGCAATTTCTATTGTTGGTTCTTAGTATCACCTTTTTGTAATGAGTGCATTTTTAAATATTTTACTGCTGTAAAATAGGAAAACAAATTTCATGTGTCTCACATGACGAATAAATAAATTGAATTGAATTGAATTGTTTGGTATCGATTTAAAAAGAGGGTTTTAGATGAATCCAGCTTTGACTCAACGGGGTGGGGTAGCTTCAAGGGGGGGGGGCTGTTAGCTTTAGGAGGGGGGCAGGTAGCAGGCTTTGTGCTACTATTTTCTTCATGATTTTGCTATTTTCTTGCGGCGCAAGTGCGGTACCGTTGAGACCGCCTAACCCCTCGTAGATTTGCCACTGGTTTGTCTCAAACACTAACTTCAAATTCACCCTTGCATGTTTTTTTTTTAATTTAAATCAATTTGGACTAATTGATTGGCCTTATTTTTTAAAGCATGTGGCTGAATATGTTAGAAAGATGTTGTGTTAGAAACATATTTGAGTAAAACACATTGTAAATTATTGTGGTATTTAATACGCGCGGACTCTTTACAAATTCTCCCAAACTGTAATTGCAACAACCTCTGAAACAATACACTGCAGGCATGCACATTTTGAATTCCTTATGTCGTCGTGACAACCTACAACCAGGTGGCAACGTGTGACAGTGTACACTATCCCCTGCATGTATTGACAATAATTCCGTTCCTTGTCATTTCCCTAATCCGTGAAATACCCGTGCGACATTATGCAAGGTGCGTGACAAATGCATGCGTGACATTGCCATGTTTACATCCCACGCGGAAGCTATATGAACTAAACAAGCATGTACATTGATGATATCCTTTGTTCTTCACTGATAATTGATACAATACTTTTGTATTTTGCGGAGTTTGGGTATTTTTTTCGTTTTAAAATGTAAATGTCATTAACATTATCCTGTTTCTCAGGGTTTTTTTTCACCGAACCTTTTTTGCGACATCGATTGTTTTTCCTGCAACGACGGGATATCTTTGCTATGTCGGCATTTCTGGGTGTTTTTTTCCTCGCGATTTTGTGATTTTTGTTTTGCGATTCGTCACATTCCTTTTTGGCGATGTCATTGGAAAAGATGATGTCGTAATGCCGTGAGAGAAAGCCTATAAGGACCGAACATTACATCCAAAGATATCGAGAATACAGATTGTGAGCAAGGGCAGATCCAGAACACAATTTTTTTTGGGGGGGGGGCAAAAAATAAAATTAGGTCCCCCAAAATGTGGACCCCGAATTTGTTTGGGATTCTATTCTGTGAGGCAATTTCTGAGGCAATTTCTGACAACTTTGACCATTTTTTTTAAGGAAAAGATGGTGGTGTACGCAGTACCGGCCTTTATTGCGACGTCACTTAAAAAAATTAGAATTGGGTTAGTTTTTTTTTGGGGGGGGGGAGCATGGTCCCCGTTGCCTCCCCCCCCCCGATCCGTCCTTGATTGCGAGCGGTAAAACCTAAATTGCAACGATTGATTTTATGACATTTGGTGACATGTATACAGGGAACACCCTGCAGCGTGCTCGTGCCCCAGCACCACAGCAGCTTCAGCAACAACAGCAGCAGCAACAGCAACAACAACTGCAGCAGCAGCAACAGCAGTTACAGCAGCAGCAGCAACAGCAACGACAGCAGCAACAGCATCTTGCTGTGGATCCGAGCTACAATCTTTACATGGCGGTCGAATGCCACCGCGCCACGGCCCAGGATGAGGACGGCGACACGTAAGTAGTCTATACTGTATCAAAAAATGCGGTGCAAAATTTAACACTGTGTAATATAGACACTATGCCATGTTAATTTTACACCGATTGTTTTTGGCGGCGAATTTTCTGTTTATGAAACTGTCATTTGTTGCAGTCATGTTACCGATGGTAGAACGGATGGTTATAAAGACTTGTATTCCTATTTTGCTAATTTCCTCCATACTGATAAAAAAGAACAATTAATAATCAAAAAGGGGGAAAACGCCGTTTTTGCTCTATATATACACCACAAAACCAGAAGAAAAAAAGTTTGATTTATGAGGTTTTTCTTTTTTTCCAGTTCACAAGTTCGTGTATAGTGTGTGTGAACATCCACAACATGACATTGTGTCAACGGTAAAATAAAATTTTCATTTGATTTAATTTTTTTTTCCTTTCACGACCGTAGACCACTTCACATTGCTTTGTCCCAGGAGGAGGTGGATATCAGACTCATCTGCCGATTGGTGGAACTCATTCGGCTCGCTGGAAAGTCATTGGATATCCTCAATGACATGCAGCAGGTTGGTGCGATCTCATTGGACTGTAGCAAACGCGCGCGTCATAGAAGCTTATTGGTTACAGCAAGGCATTTCGTATTTTTATGAATGAAACTGTCGTAAAGATTGCAACACGCCATCAAATGGAACGGTTAGACGTTATACCAAGGTCAATCATGACGATCCGCAAACGAACAATGACGAATGGAGATTAATTTTCACTCGAGTTCCTATACAATATGTTGCTTTCTTCAGAAGAAATTACTGAGAAAGATTCTCAGCGTAGGCATGTTTGTACAACCTTTCGTATTTGTCATCGAACACCATGAGTTGATAACGTCGAATTGGTAGTTTACAGCGATTGTTGTCAATTTTTTGCAGGGTTACCAGGGATGGGCGTATTTGGTTGGGAGAGACTCGGAATTCAGTTTTCCTGACAGACTTTAATTTTTGGGGGGTTATTATTGATTTAGACAACGAACAAACTATCTACGATGATTGATGATTCATTTTGTTTCAGACGCCGCTACACATAGCGGCCATAACCGGCAACCCAGGCGCGGCGCGCATCTTGGTAGACCACGGTGCGAATGGTAACGAGACGGATCGTAACGGACAGACGGCCATGCATAATGTCTGCTCCAACCCCTCCAGCGGCTCATGCGGCACGCTAGAGGCTATACTGAGATACTCCAAGGTCAAGCTGCAGTTGGACAAGAGAAACTACAGTGGTAAGTGAAATAAAAACAAAATGTAAAGATTTTCTTTGTTGGCCGCGGCAAAAATCGTATTTCTCCCATCCGAACAGAAAATCAAGTCAAAGAAAAAAACATGAGAACAAAGTGAAAAACTTAAAACCACCACGTGCCGCGATATCCTCCAAACGGCAGGAAATATTCTCCTTGTGTTCTTTTTCATAAATTAATTTTACAAAGGAAGATGCAATGAATATTACAAAAGAAGAATTTACGAGATCATTGCAACGATTTTAGCACTTTAACAATGGCCATTTACAGGATCATTTCAGAAGAAGAGAGAATGTAGTAGTTATTTACTCCCATGCTTTCAATTCGTAATAAATACAAGTTCGTAATAAATACAAATAAATAAAATTTAATTGAATAAATATACAAATATAGTAATAAGGAAAAGAATATATATAAAACAAAATCATAAAAAAACCTTGAAGAGTGAGAGAGCATGGAGGCATTCCAAGAAGTTGGGGGCTTGTAGAGAAACGCCTTACAAATGACAGGGACGGACGAATGAAGAACATAATACTTATCAACACAAACGTGACAGGAAACAAAGACAGGACAAGAGACAGACACGCCCAGTCGTGAATTTCTATACGCCCGAGGACCAGTGGCGTCGCCAAGGGGGGGGGGGGGGGGGGGGGGGGCAGGGGGGGCACGTGCCCCCCCTGGAAAACAATGGTTTGTGTTTTCCTTTTTCCCTGTAATATAACACTCTCCCATAGCCCAATCGAGGACTGTTTTCAACAAAAGACCCAACGCTCGAGGACTGAATAGATCTTTTGTTCTCCCTTTGTGTGTCTGTCCTCTATCGTAAAGCATATGTACACAGGGCAGACTGTACAACTTATTGCGTAAAGAAGAAGAAGTATGCATAAGTGAAATACAAATTAAAGAAAAAACAGAAATAGTACATCAAGAAGCTCTGTTACATAACGGGACATTAAAGGTAATTTCCTTTTCATTGTTTTTGACGATTTCAGGAACAGCATCAGTCATAGGATAAACACAGGATGTAAAACAATGGTATTTTTTGAGTCTCTTCTGGAGAACACTGTGAAATCCTGTGCACAGTGTCTCTGCACATAACCCGATTGATACTGAATTCGGGTCTAGGTTGAGTTTGCTTTCTGACCTTGATAGAATTTCAACAAGATCTACGACTTGACACATCTTTTTCATCCACAAATCGTTTTCCTTTAAATTACAACATGCCACATCATCACATGGAACAATTTTAGAGTGTGCTTATACTAGCTTGAGTCTTAAGGTTCGTCTCCAATTTAGCTCGGTCAAGAAGATCCGACAAACCTTTTAAATCATCATCACCTTAGACCGTTTGCATACGGTAGCCATGTTGGAGGTTCCAATTTTAATTCAGTAACAATACTGAACTGGAGTCGTCCGTATACCTATAATTGTTTATTTAGTTTAAAAACTCCAGCAAAATAATTTCACTGCTGTTTTGTGCCTTTCGGCCTTTCCTCAGAGCAAGGTTTTCCGTAATCATTTGTAACCATCGGGTTTTAGTTACAAATGATCGATATTTGGCATTTGTAACCATCGGGTTTTAGTTACAAATGATCGACATTTGGCGTTATTTTGATAATTAATAAACGGGCAGTTATTATGAATACTGATTCGGAACACTTTCGACAAAAGTCAGTGTGACATAATACAATGTACTTGCTGTACAACTATTTCCAGATTCTTTCCAAAAAAAACATGGAGTCCTTTTTCCCCTTCCATGCGGGACCGGATATAAAGTTCAGGCCGGACTTTTGCACCAAAGAAATAGGGTCTATAGACGAACTGCACAGTGCAGCAGCGTACAATACTGTACTGTCACAAAGTTCGGCACAACAGGCACGTGCGTTTTAGTCGTACGGGGAATCCCCCATTGTTCACCTATACTGCGGTTCAGCATTGAACCCGCACGCTCTATTCAAACATAAATCTCCGGGTACTTCCCGTTCGCTAACAAAGACCATTTTACCGGGAAACAACTCTCGTGATTTTTGTTCTGGCTTGGCAAAAGGTGAATCATTCGTTACAAGGAAAGGGGAAAAACGAACACAGCGAGCGATTTTGTTTGTTAAGTTTAGATGGGCATGATTTTTAGGGACATTCCAACGGATAAAATATCCCTGCGTAATATGGTTTCCAGATTGGAGATTGGAAAGTGAATTGAAATGGTATTACCAGGGACTTTCCATTGCACTATTTGGTTGACGGGAAAAAAACAGAATTGAAGTTTGTTAATGGTTTGCACCTGAAATGAAACGACAGGGGTTTCCTTCCAAAAGGTATTTTTTTAAGAAAGCGAAAGCTACTAGGCCAAGTAAAAAAATAGACCAGTTTCTCGTCCACGATCGATTCCCTTTTTTGCCCGCCACTTTTTTCTTTGGTTTTAATTCATACATTTTGTATATTTTGTAAGATCTAACAAATTTGTAGCTATGTAGAAAGGGTGACGGCTCCTTTGGACACAATTTTGTGTCAGCAAAGGAGTTAAGAAAATCATGAGAAAATGGAAGAATCCATCCGCCATCTTGGAAAATCCAGACCATCTTGGGGAAAAAAGCACTCGCCTCCTGCATTTTTTCTAAAAGCCCAGGGCCCAATTTCACGGCGCTGCTAAGCACTCGTTTTTCTGCTAACAGAGCCTCCGTCTATTTCATGGAGACCGCAAGCATAAGCACAGCAAAAGGCATGCTTACCTCAGAGGAAAAAATTGCTTAACTTAGTGACGTAACAATAGAAATCTCCATGCACGCGCGACCGTTAGCACACACACTCCGTGAAATAGTGTTTAAGGTTAGCAAATTTTTCTGCTATGCTAAACACAACTTTTCTGCTAACTGTTAAGCAGCGCCGTGAAATTGGGCCCAGACGACAAACTATTTTTTTTTTTCATTTTAAGTCGGCCTAATGTTTGATTTGCTTTCTTTGCAGGCGTGTTATTTGCTTATTTAAGCATCGAGTAATTCGTGGGGATTTCCATAACGATTTTTCTTTTTTAGTGATAAGGCGAATGACTATGAAAGGGCTCTTGTGATGTAATTTTTTTCACGCAGTCCTTGTAAAGCACCTTTTTGTCCCGTTAACCTTTTTTTTAATGTTCACAGTTTTTTAAGGGCATATTGGTGCCTTTTTGGTTTTATGCTAATGAAACTTTGCATATTCATTAGCAAAAGTGTGATGTCATTTCAGGCAGAAATCACAATGTCACAAAAATGTCAGCACTCAAATTGTCCAGATTTTTTTTATAGTTTGCTGTCGTTAATTTTCTTTTCTTTGGTCATTAGTATGTTCATCATAAAGGAAAGCCAATGAGCAAAATTTCTCACAAATTAATGTTTTCAATGGGAACAGTTTGCATTTTTGAACAGAAAACCCCTAACTGAGGCAGTGTCTTTCTGAAATGACATCACAGCAACTGCGCCCTCAGTTGTCTGGAAAAGCATGTCAATTTTGTAATTGTTTAAAGAAGGGCAATTTCAATAAAGACTAACCAAAAAGGAATGTCAAATATTTTTAAAATTAATTAAGAGGAGTAGAAAGTTTAACAAAACATGTTCCCAAGTAAAATTTATTCATGTGATCATGGCCCCATTAAAGTGAAAATGTTTATCTCGGATCAGAATTTTGAATTAAGAGGACCGGTCCCATTCACTGTGCACATAAATACATGGTCAGAATTTGTAGTTTGTATTAATTAGAGTTGACCGTATATCTGATGAGTAAATTTTATTCAGAACTTTGTTTCTTTTTCTCTTCTTTTTGATAGGATTTACTCCTATGCACATATCGGTTATGAACCGACAGTATGGATTGACCAAACTTCTCATTGAGCATGGAGCTAATGTCAACTGCCCGGTAAGATTCTTGAATTCTTTTAGCTTTCCATTGTTCCATAATTATTTACAGAAACAAAATTGGTTCAAACAAATAAATGAGAGAAGCAATAATTAAAAGAAGGTAGCTTGCGAGCAAGGGTCCCCTCCCCACCCATTTTCAATCCCCTTTCTCCGGTGTACTCAACGACATTTATTTAAAATTTTTACAAATTGAAACTCTCCTTCCTGGAGTCCCTCGGCTAGTCTGTATATGGCCACATTGTCCTACTCATACAGGGTTAGAGGATTTTCTAACAGATTTTCTAACTCGTTTACACCGCACAAAGTGGGGCAATAAGGTCAGCCGCATATTTAGAATAGGCTTGGGGGATTTCCAAAATGTTGTGTGTCGATTCCAATCCCATACAGGAGTCACGATTACATTTCAATCTATTTCTATCCACCAAAAAAAAAAAAAATTGAGGAAAGACCTTAAATTCTTTCAAGAATAGTACTTAATCACTATATACAGTGCCATTAAACTGAGTTGTATCTTATGAAAATGATAATTTGGCACAAATATGGATATGTTGAATGACACAATATTATTAGTTTTGAAGTGTCTGGAATCTATTCTTTGGAGAAATGAATTGTTACTTCTGGGAATTGATTCCTAAAAACAAGTGGAATCATGATTCCGAACTTTGGGTTTGATTCTATTCGATTCTGACCTGCAGTAGCCCAATCCTTATCCTGGTCCATACCGCACTCTGTGTACCTGGCTATTCCATCATGCGCATGCCAATCCTGATGCCTGCACGTGCCAAAGGATAACTGCTGAAAAGTGTGTGTTTGTGTTCGTTCCAACTCCACCGTCAGTCAAGTTTGCTTAATACAGATCAATTTGTTATCCCACTCGTGCTTGTGGGATAAATAGAATCGTCATGACACAACAGAACAAATTGCATTTCAGATGCTTTGATGCTTTGTGTCTCCAGTTCCACTAAAAGTCAAGTGGTTGGTGTTTTTGAGTCGCATTATCATTTTTCTCTTCTCTTGCCTCTACTCACTAGGATGACAAAAGTGGTTGGACCCCTCTCTTCCACGCCGTGACCAATCAGGACACGGAGCACGTCCAGTTGCTGATGACCGGCAACGCGCAGGTCAACCAGCAGTCCTACTCCGGCAACACTGCCCTCCATGTCGCGACGGGGCGAGGTTTCTCAGAGATTGTCCGTCTTCTCATGCGATACGGTGCGGACATGAGTCTGAGGAACACGCACAAGGATACACCAGGGATGGTTGCCACTGACAACAATGTAAGTGAACCGTTCATTCCCGCCGGTATCTGCAGTGCTGCAGTTGAGGCACTCTAAGTGTTCAACACACGTAAATCACAAGTCAAATTACAAGTCTATACAAGTATCTAAAACATTCATTTGAATAGCTTGGGACAGGATGGCTTGTGATTGACTTGTGATTGACTAGTGATTGGCTTCTGTTTGACTTGTGATTAACTTGTGATTGACTTGTGATTGACTTGTGATTGACTTATGATTGACTTGTGAATGACTTTTAATGGACTAGTGATGGAATTGTGAATGACTAGTTATTGACTTGTGATTTACTTGTGATTGACTTCTGATTGGCTTCGGATTGCCTTGTGATTGACTATAGTGATTGACTTGTGAATGACTAGTTTTTGACTAGTGATCAGTGGTGATTGCCTTGTGATTGACATGTGATTGACTTGTGATTGATTAGTGATTAAGATGTGATTGACTTGTGACTGACAAGTGATCAGTGGTCAAGGGGCTCATTGTGATTGACTTGTGATTGACTGGTGATTGACCTTTGAATTACTAATAATCAGTGGTGTTTAACTTGGGATTGACTTGTGATTGACTAGTTATTGGCTTGTGACTGACTTATTTTTGGTAATACAGACTTTGATGAAGTACATGTATCTTGTTTCTTTTGACAGATGACCAACATTCTGCGAGGCGTTCCCCCAAGCAGCCCCTCTCTAGGGTCCAGTGGAAGCACGCGCTACTCCTCCCCCAGCCCCCAACAACAACCACCCCTGACTAACGGGGTCATGCTGGTCTCTAAGCAGTCCCCCTCACCACTCAGTGTCAATCAGCGTGTCCCCACCCCCACGGCCGCACCCCAGATGAAACCCGGCAACACACCACCCACTAGGAAGCAGACTGAGAGATCCCAGAGGGGTGGGAAGCGGGAGAGAGGATCTCGACGATCCAGCGCCGCAAAGCTTGACAGCGCCTCCGCTGGCCAGGCCACGCCACCACTGGTCCCTGTTAGCGGGACACCGGCCGACGGGTCAAAGGACACTAAGGAGGACTCTGATGACGGGTCATCGACTCGTCGGGTATCTGTCATCGTCGCACCCAAATCTCTCAAAAGGCGCTTGATCGAACGGATTGAACGTGACGAGCAAGGAAAAAAGTTAGCGTCAACATCCACAGAGTCCCTCATCTCCAAGAAGAAACCAAAAGCAGAGCCAGAGCACTCTGTAATGGAAGCCGACAAAGTGAACGGTATCTCAGAATCCAAGCCTTCTCAGCTCTCTCATAATGATCGGGAGTCGCAATCATCGCCCAGCCAGGCAGAACCGATGGACCTCACAAAACGCAAGGCAAATGACACCACCCTGCCAAGAGATCTTCCCCCAAACAGCCCCTCTAGTAGTGCGTCATCATTTTCCATCGGAGAGGACAAAATAGGACATGTAGACACCACAGAGCATTCCTCAGAGGAGGCTGTAAAGACAAGTGAGAAGGATGAGACACTTAAGGAGGCAGGCATTGAGAGCGAGCAAGAAGATGAGGATGCATCTGATGGGGAGACAGAGACAGTTGAAGATGCTTCCAGGAGTAGCTCCTCCAAGAAAGAGAAGAAGAGAAAGAAGAGCGAAAAGCTTCCTCCTAAAAAGAGAAAGTAGGTCGAAGGACTTGAACTTCGAAGATGCACATGATACATGTGTCTTCGTGCGACAAGAATGTCAAAAGAAATCAAAGAATATTCTTTTTGGAAATGCAAAAAGTGAAAATTGTAAAAAAAAAAAGAAGTTTAAGATGTACCAGATTGTTTTGGTCACCATTCTACATAATTTGTACACATAATGTTCTTATTAAAAACTGCCAGAGTATGTTTTTTGTAATAGCGCCATCTTGTGGTGAAGTTATGCCAAAGTGGAATGTAACACTTTTCCAGAACTTCCATGTGATGGCAGAGTCGTAACCCAGGACCCAATTTCATGGTTCTGCTTAGCCGCTTACTGTAGCAGAAAATTATGTGCTAACAGTTAGCATATTTCAGGTTAGCAAGTAATTTTGGCTTATGCACATGCATACATGTACATCCCATAACCATTCTGTGCTCACAGGGTTAGCACAAAACATTTTGACTAGCGCTGGTAGCGCAGAATGGTGATCGCAAACGCGGAATTCTGGGGTTAGCAGAAGCGTGAAATTGGGAGCGGTATGCAACTACAGTCGAGTCTCGTTAATACAAACTCTGTAAATACAAAATTCTGGTTATAACAAGCATAAAGCCATGGTCCCGACTGTGCATGTATGTGCACAATGAATGGGACTAATATTCCTCTTAATACAAAAATCCTGATATAACAAACAATTTGGCTAGGTCCGAACGAGTTTGTATTAACGAGACTCGACTGTACATGTACTTCACTCTCAATTTCTGGACACAAAATGGACACTACAGGCAGTGTCGCATGCAACCCTGCATGTTGTGCATGCGTATGTTGCTGTGTTGCCACTGACAGCCATAATGTGTGTCCACATGGAGGCTAGTTTATCTCAATTCAGTCTAGGTCTCTGGCAGCTGCTTGAAGACTTCTCTTTAGCTATTTGTCAAGTCTCTGTAATATGTCTTTGATATTGGTACCTGTCATCTCTTGTGTAACGAATGGTGCCTAAAATGTAGGAAACATTTCTTATTAAAACCAGTACATCTTTCCACAATGGTTAAATTTTCAAAATATCCTTAGTGTAAAAAAAAGTTTACTGAAGTCTATTTTCCAGTTAAGAATTTCATGTTAATATTAATCACCTTCAATTTTAGCACCGCTACAAATTGTGAGTTTGAAATGCTCTTTTTCAAGAGCCAATGTGGAATTTATAGATGTACGACATGTTGACATTTTTCTGTATAAATCATCCACTCTCAGCTCATTCAGTTTTGCAGTATTGCACAGCGCATCGACAGCACCACTTTTAAGTTCCTCAAATGTTCCAAAGGAGATGCAAAAACCAGTTTTTTCCTCGTCGTCGTCTTGCAAGACAAACCATATGCTGAATCCAACTCTCCCAAAGATATTGGTGGCTAAGATAATACAGGAAGTAAGCTTCCCCCACCCAGTTGTGAATTTCTTTACACCCGAGGACAATGCTTTGTGTTTTCCTTTGTCCCAGCACAAACGTAACCGTACAATTGAGGACAGTTTTCAACAAAAGACCCTACGCTCGGGGACTGAAGGGATCTTTTGTTCTCTTTTTTTTTGTGCCTGTCGTCTATCGTAAAGCCATACATGTACACTCACAACTTCATAAGTTGTGGTCTACTATTTGTTGCTTTGTTATTATTAGCCTGTTTGTTCTTTAACTGAGGTTGAAGTAATTGATTAAAACCCATCGCTGTGGGGGCATGGTTATCCCCACATCCACACAATTAATATTCATTAATATTGAATTGTTTCTCTGCCACTGTGTACAGTTGACTCTCGTTAGTACAAACTCTGTTAATACAAAATTCTGGTTATAACAAACATAAGCCTTAGTCCCGCCTGTGCATTTATGTGCACAATGAATGGGACTGATGTTCCTCTTAATACAAAATTCTGATATAACAAACAATTTGGCTAGGTCCGAACGAGTTTGTATTAACGAGACTCGACTGTATAGCCCACATCCCACCCGCATTCTTGACTTTCAAGAACGTACCATTCCCATAATATTTGAAGGAGTGGGGGTCAAGTTCCTAGGCACTGTATTTTTCTGAAGAAAAAAATTGTAAAATGTGCTGATTACTGCTGGGTGAGTACTTGATTACTGGAGTACTCACGAGTAGTTGATGCCACTTGTTGTCCTATTCATGGTTCTTCATCTACTCGAGTACGCGTCCTGGCGCGAGTAGATGCAGGTACTCGCGAGGACCTATTTAGGGTTTAGGGTTAAATGCTTAATACGTCCCCTGCAAACAGGGAATCACTCCCTCCACCTCTCTCTCCCTAGGATTCCATTCGTCAAAACAAAAAAAATGAAAATTCAAGTAAATGACCCAAAACATTGCACAGAAAGAATATCTCACTGCGGAAAAATGTGGTGTGACTTGCATGCTATTTGCTTGTAATAGCCCGTCATACTAACGTATGTCATTTTTCTAATTTTATGGGAATTCGGTTAACTACTCGCGAGTACTCGACTACCTGCAAGTAATTTCTTTGCGTGTACTCGAGTACAAAAATCCATTACTCGCCCAGGCCTAGTGCTGATCATTTCCTGTGGGCATGTGCAATGAGCATCAACCAATGGAGACTGTCAATCAAATAGAGATATTAATTAGTGTGGATGTGGCAGGTGTTACCTTTTCGAGGCTTAAGGGAATTTTAATTAGCTCCCTCAGCGAAGGGCTTTTAATGTATTGCACTGTCTTTTTATTGTTTGCTGTCTTTTTGTTTGCTAATTTCAAAGGGGAGATATTAAACAAAAGAAATGGTTTGAATGAAATGAATTGTTATTCCTGTAAAATATGTAAATAAGCTTGGCAAAAGCTTCAGGGATTAAATTGGACAGGTTTTTTTTTCAGAGCGACCTTCTAGTTTACATTTCTGTTAAGTGCATCAACAAATGCTTAATAAGTGAATTTACTAGAGCTTTATAATGTTCCAATTTTTGTTTGGTTTATCATTTTCTCAAATTAGTACGAGGTGACGACAAAAATAATGATTTGAAATTTGTAAGTTTTTTTTTTTACGGTGTATACGACAGTGGAATCTGATTTTAAGCCTACATGTATTAAGGTCGGTTCTTACTCTGCGCGAAAGCAAACACGAACGGAAATTCGTGATGTCAGGGCAACTTTCATTCCCTCCGTCGCATATCTTGCTTCAAATGTTGTTTTGGAAAGAATGTTGCAACCTGACGCCACTTCTGTCTTCATAAATCATCTCAATAAAGGTCAATCATTGCAAAAATGTTGAAAAGACATAAATCTAGGACTGAGAAACATTTCCAGTTTTGTAAGGAAATACTTGGAAAATTGTTTCGACTCTCCATAGACTTTGTACACGACCGCTAAAGTGGCGTCTGATCTCTACATTCTTTCCTTGTTTTTAGGATGTTACTCAATGCAACACAACAAAGACACCTCAAATGATTTTCTGGTAAAATAAGCGAATCATGCTGTTTAATCTCAATCTGCAGTCATTTTAGGCAGTTTTTTAATGTCTGCCAATGATAAAAAGAGCTCAAACCCTAACCTTGTTGGCAAAATACCTACAGGATAAGTTAACATAAATCCAATGTACCACTGATGCAATTAATTTAGTTCCCAAACATTCCCCGATAACTGAGAAAAAACTTATTGAGAATACGTGTATCTAGATGAACACAAATTCATAGTCATATACTCAATACTGTATTTTGCAAAATAGAGGCATTTTAACACTGCACAAGTATTTTGCTAGGTGTTTTTTTCCACAATTTTGCAGAGCATTGGTCTTTATTATCACTAAAAAGCACACATTTTGTGTTACTTATACTTTATATTGAAAGTTCATGCATGTATTTTTCAGTGATTGTTTCATTCGGAAATTATTTTGAGAAATTTGTTGGACATCTCTTATGCCTCCTCACAAGGGGCCTATGATTTTCAAAATATGTTTGTTTTGTTTTAATTTAAAAAAAATGTAACCTGCACACCAATTTATTGATTGAATAAAACACTAGTTATTGTGGACCTACCCTGTATAATACTTTATCTTCAAGTAAACTTGAATCCTCGATCCTGATTGGTCGATCCATGGCAACAAGCCGTGCTACATACAACCATGTAGCACAGCCACGGTCCATACTGCACTCCGCTGAACATTCCAAGATACGAGCGACATTCCAGCTGCATACGCTAAACTGCTGAATGTCCGTGTAAAGCGTGCTTGTTCCAACTGTACTGCGCATCAAGTTTGCTTGAAGATAAATTCGTTATCACGCTTGCACTCGTGGAACAGGGAAAATGTAGTGCGTCTGTGTCCCACTTACCACTCGGCCTTCGGCCTCGTGGTATGTGGGACACAGACGCACTACATTATTCTGTGTTCCACTCGCGCTCGCGGGATAACTTATAGTATAACACCCTAATCTTTGCAACAGGTTATCAGAAGTCTTTTCTTGCTCCGAACAGAAGTTGATCTTTGTAATTAATTTCTGAGGTAAAATAGTCTGCAAATCATTGTTATACAGCAACAGCATCACGCCACAGTTCAACAAAAATGTTTTCTTCTTTGGAAAGTTGCGCTCAAAATTTTTCTGCAGTTTCAAACTGAAATCGGATAGCTACAGTTTAGTTTTAAGGAATAATAACACAGCGTATAACTGCCTCTTTTCATCTATATTTGCACTTCAGTTGAAATAAAATGTACAACCATGAAAACGTGAAAGGTGTGTATTTACATTATTTTATTTGTCAGAAGTGCATCTTTATTAATGAATTTTTAACATTTTTTTATTTTTAATTTTTTTTTGACAGTGGTCTTGTATCAGTCTGCTGCAGGGGCATTCTGCCATTTATACAACAGACGTCATGAAGACGGACAGGAAACCTGGTTGCTAGGCGGCCATTTTGGGTCAAAGTTCAAAACATCAATGCAAATGACCTCCAAATCCGTGACTCAAAATGTCCGCGCTCGCAACCAGAAATATTCTGTTACCATCGACCACTGAGAGAAATTTCTTGATTTTTTTTTTCACAAGAGGTTAATACTGTTGAATCATGAAAGCTTCATTATTCGTGGCTGCCGGACTTGGACAAGTCTAGTACACCATGGTCCCAAAATTGTGCACGTCAATGCATAACCAAACAGAAATTGACAAATTGTATGCAGAGAAATGGGGATCCACTGTTTAGTGTAATGGACTTAAGGCGTCGTGATTAATTCTTTAAATCGTGGAATCAAGCCAAAAGGCCAATTCCATGTAGTTGCATGGCACAGAAAATGCTTACTGCACAAAACAAATTGACTGCAAAATGTTAATAGCAATGTTTACACTGATATGGCAATAGGTGACAAATCTGCAAACAAATCCACTAGGCATTATCTTCTGCTTTGCAACTGCATGAAATTTGGCCCTGCATGTCCCTGAGCAAGCCACTTTACCATGAGTTTCTCCCATGAGCCGTTTACCAGCTACTTGTGAGAGTAATCAAGAAATTTCTCATCACATAAATTATGTATGCAGATATCATGTGACCATAACAGCCGTCCTGATTGGTTCAAACTAAAAACTGACAACAATTAACCAAATATTAACAAAAAATAACTTTCTTCGCTTTTCAAGTCCTCAATGATATACAGAGAAAATAATCACAAAAAATTCTGAACAGCCGCAGAAACTGTACTTGTTTTCCATTTATAAACATGCATTCGATCAATGAATCTGAGTTGAGTTTTTAGAAAATCCCAAGCTTTTACAAGGTTGAGGCTTGGTTATTGAACTGCCAATCAGGACTGGCCACATGGTCACATGATCTACTTATCTGCATACGACCTTTAACCTCATCCGCCTCCACTTCTGGAGCTCCTTGCTGGTCTGAAACCTGAGCCTGTGCCTCCCATGAGTGGATTGTAGCCTGTGGAAATACGGAAAAAAAACTTATGAAATAACAGACTAAATAGAAGCTATGCTATGCTTGAAGCAAAGGTAGGACTACAAAGTTAAAGCAGATCATTTGCAGCTATCCAAAAAATAACTGACAAAATTATTGTTGTACAGAAAAATACTTGGACTTGTTTTAAAGATAGTAATGGCACTAAACTCCCTGTGAAATTATTGTTTCTGGCATGCTGCCATTTTGTAGAAAACAATCAAAGGAGGCCATTTCAAAAGATGCGTCAAGTGACACACTTTTGGAAATTTCCGTTAGTAGTTTGTTTTGTAAGTCGTCGAACCTGTGAATGGGGGTGCACAAGCATTGACAAGACACACACATGCGCACGGTTGCTATAATTTGCCAGTTCTGTTCGTGACATCACGTAGCTGCAATCGAGAACGTGTCCCAGACACTGATTTCGGGCACAATTCAAAACATGGCTGGGCAATTTTTGAATTAAAACCGAGATCCTAGAAATTTTGGTTTTTTTTCAGAATGTACAGCATTCACAGAGCTAAGAGTTTTATCAGGTTAGTTTTTAAGGCCAAAAAAAAAAGTCTCCAGTTTCTGATATGGAGCTTGCCCAAAAAGTGGTGTGGCGACACGTTTTTTTTTTTTTTTTTAACTGTTTTTTTTGCTTCAAATGTCGGCTGATGACTGCAAATGGTGCCCGACTAAACTTAGTGCAAATATTATCGGAGACCAGAGAGGCCACATAAAGCTTATTCTCGATCATAACCCAATCTAAAAACACGTTAAAATTGTGCAGCAGCAGGATTCCAGTCAAACCAGTGAGTTTGGCGGTTTTGAGACATCATCTTTCATTGAAAAAAAAACTTTTTCATTTTACCGACGTGCATGGCTACGGCGACGCGCGCGCATGCCAGAAACCGGAGACTTTTTTTTTTTGGCCTAAGCACCCATCTTTAGATTTTGAGCACTTTTGTGACTTGAACAAGTCCAGCCACAAGTTCAGTCACAAGTTCCGTCAAAGGTGACGGTGGCTGAACAATAACAAAGGAATGCCTTTGTCAAAGCTCATTTGAATAGCTTGTGAGTTGAATTGCGACTGGAGGACTTGTGGTGGACTTGCAGGGACTTGTGATGGATTGGACTACATCCCTGCCTTGGATTAGGCGGGGGTAGTATTACGTGTCCAAAAAAAAACGTGTCCTACTTTTGATAACTCTGTTGTTTACAAATGGAATTAAACCAAAACTTCAGATCATGTAAACACTTGAGGCATGATAAATTTTATGGAGCGATTTGTATCAGCTTTGTGCAAGAGGGGTGAGATTTAAATGCCATTCCAAAACAAATTATTCACTTTCAGAATGTGGATACAGCACTGGAGACGGTGGCGGAAGACGCGTGCTGCGGACGAAAGCTTCTGAAGGAATGCAGGATCACCCCTGATGTCATTGCACACCTCCTCGATCGTGTGTTGCGCCAAACGATCGAGGAGGCATGCAATGACATCAGGGGTGATCCTGCATTCCTTTAGAAGCTTTCGGCCGTAGCACGTGCCTTGCGCCACCATCTCCAGCGCTGTATCCACATTGGAGGACGCCAAGGCGAAAGTGGCAGATTCTGAAAGTGATTTTTTTTGGTATGGTGTCTAAATCTCACCCTCTTGCACAAAGCTGACGAAAGTCGCCCCAATAAAATTTGTCATGCCTTTATACAGGATCTAAAATGTTGGTTTAATTCCATTGGTCAACAACAGAGTTATTTAGGATCAAAGTTGGACATGTTGGTTTTTTGATACATAGTATTGTAGTCAAGGTGCTTATAATTACGATGGGCCACAAGTACTTGTCAAAGTATATAGCAAAAAGAAGGATTGTGATGTACTTGCGAACGGTCTCCCCCTAAAGAAGAAATAGCCGTGACAAGGGTGCATTAGTTAATATAGTGTGAATGATTTTAGGATTTTATTGGCGCTCCCCATTGAAAATGTTGCCCCACCCCCAAAAGAGGCAAAATTTTGGATTTTTTTTCTTGTGAAGTAGCACTTGGGTGAACTGTCCAAATGCGAAAAAGAAAAGTAAAAATTTTTTAATTATTTTTTGCGCGCAATGCCCCCCACTTTTTAAAATCATGGCCACGCCCACAAAAGGGTCAGAAAAAAATGGCATCAAGTGGTTTTGTACTTCTTGAGGTATCCTCTAGTGATCCTGAGAGTTTCAAAGAATGTACCCGAAATTGCATATGGGCCACCACAAGCCCACTGGCTATGCTATGGAGAGCAGTGAAGCGTGACCGAATCTGCCTGCTTGCCCTGAGCTTATATTAACAAAAGAATTATGCAGGGATTTGAAGCATCATCCATACTCCACTGAAGATTACCTTAAAAGAAATTTGAAGCGAGGGTACTAACTCTAAGGGTAAAAGTGTTTCTGGAAAGCTTGAAGGGTTTTGAAGTGCAGAAGACTAGAGGGTCAAGAGACTGACCTTGTCTGAGGGGTGGTTTCTTGGGTTTCTCCTTGCTCCCTGAGGCAGTTCCAGATGCTTGCTGTTGGCCATCTTCCTTGTTGAGTTTCTTGGAGCGATACCCTTGGCCTCGCTTGTGTCGTTCCCAGTCTTCTACCTGTTCCTTTCTCTTCTCTTCCTCCCTCTGGCACATATGAAACAAACATTTGTTAGTTAAACATTCTCTCAAAGAAATTGGGGGGGGGGGGGGATGGGGTGGGGGTGGGGTGGGGGATAGGGAAAAAGTGTTGTGAAGAAGGGGAAAGAAGAGGTAAATTCCATGCATAAAGACCCAGGGGTGAGATATGAGGAACATGAAAAATCTACGAAACATTCGGATGGCAGTTTTGGGGCCGCACTGGCTACAGCACACCTAACGTTACTTGCTTAAAGTTAAAGACACAGCTAACAGGAGCGTAGGGAACAAAGTCATGGATAGCCCAGGTTTCATTTTTGGGGGGCAAAAATATAATAAGAGCCTTTCATTTATACGGCTTGGGCCCCAGAAAAGCGTTGAAATCTTTCCCTAGTGTAAGTGTAGGGGGGGGGGGGCGTGGCTTCCACCCACCTCTTTTTGTTTCTCTGCATGCTCGGCAGCAATCGCATCATATTCTTGCTGCATGCGCTGCCTGGCTTTCTCCATGGCCTCTTGCCTAGCTAGTACATCCCCCGCATCTGGATAAGAAAGAACAGGGATGGAAGTGAACATGTGAACCCTAGCCCTGGTACTTGTGACCAGCACCTGATTTCATCAAACTCTTCGTAACTTACGATGCATTGAGCGCTGCGACGTGTCGTATCCCTCTGATGCGTCGCAGCTGCGACACGTCCGGCGATCCATTTCACGAAACACGTCGTAAGTGCGACGCGTCGTATGTGTGTTTATAGCACATCTCGGTGACTGTTTTATGTATTGAGTCAGCGTACAGTAAATAGTCGTCTGATATTCAACAAAGAGTAGTCGGATCTCAGCTCGAAATTTGTTAAAACGTAAAACAAAATGGCGGTCGTGCGATGCAATTTTGAAGGAAAGCAAGCTCTCAGTGGACTGTATAGCTACTTTGAAATTTCAACTGCAATATTCCGGTCTAATTCATAATTATTCAATGAATTTTCTATTTACAACTTTACACACATTGCCTCGGTATTATAATCTCGTTCATGTAATGTTATGGCATTAAACTGGCTAAGAAAGGGACTCTTCTTATTTTGCTATGACCACTAGACACGTTGTAACTTGTGACGTGTTTTAAGCCGTTGTCAAGGAACTTACGACGCGTTCAACACATCGCAACTTTCGTGAAATGGATGATACGACGCGTCGCGAGTTGCGCATGTTACACGTCGTAACTAGAGTTACGACGCATCGCAGCGCTTCGTGAAATCGGGTGCTGACCTTACAAATTTGCTATGAGAAATTAAGTTCAATTTAGGCAAACGGTAGTCTATTGGTAAACACTTGTATGGCAAGGGTCTATGATATGTGTGCAGATTTGACGATTGTAAATGCAAAACAAAGCGTCTCGGCCTCCAGATTCTGACCATTCAGCGGGTGCTTTCTATGCTGTCTTTGGCATGACATATGGTTAATGATAAGGTCAGCTGACAGCAGTTGACCAATCAACACCTTTGACAATTTTTACGCTCTAAAGATGTCGCAATCGACCTATCGTGTAAGAATCGCGTTAGAATCGCGTCAATGCAACTTGTGAAATATTGTCCAATTGCAAGATGCAGAATGCACAACATCTGAGACAAACAACTTAGCGTACAAAAAAATCCATAGGGCCTATAGCGTTGCCCAATGGGCGTGGCCAATTCGCAAACGATGACATTTCGAAAGTTGTCTGTGATTGGCTGGATCGCGGAGTCACAAACAATTCACATGGACGGTAATATCTCATGTTTGTATTTTGGCTGTGCATACAAACTTCTGATCCTCAGACTAGGGAAGGGGGGGGGGGGGGGCTGGGCTGGGCAAATCCTAAATGTTGCAAACTTTGTTTGCGTCCCCCAGACTCACCATACTGAGACAGGTTGGTGTTTTCCTCCCTTTTCTGCTTCCATTGTTCCAGCCGGGAGCCAAAGCGACCATACAGGTACAGGAAGCCAAGAATGCCGAGGATAATGTACCACCCGTAGCTGGACAGGAACTCAGAAGCTGCACAGTTAATGAAAAAAACACAACTTGTTAAAGCTATAGTCCATCATTTGCAGCCATCCGAAAAGTAACTGGCGTAATTAGTGTTGAAAAACATACTTGGTTGAAAGGTAGTAAGGGAACTAAACTCCCTGTGAAATTATTCTTTCTGGCAAGCTGTCATTTTGAAGTAATCAACGAAAGAAGGCCTTTCCAACGGTGATTCTTAAGAAGCACCGTAGGAAAATTTAAATTAGTAGTTCATTTTGTTATTCAGCGCAGCGCGCACAAGTATTGGAACGACGCACACGCGCGCGCAGTTGTTGTAATTCGTCGGATCAGTGCGCGACGTCACGTATAGCTGCAATTCAAAACAATTCAAAACATGATTCAGTAACTTTTGATTTGAAATTGAGATCTTAGAATGATGTTTTTCTCGGAATGTACAGCTGAAGCTTAGCTGAAACTTCATCAGGTTAGTTACTCAGTATCCTTCATTAGATTTTGAACTCTTTTGTTGCTTCAAACGAACAAAATGCACAAATTACAAATGATGGACTGTAGCTTTAAGCAAATTTCTTGCTTGAAATCCTGCTTGAAATTGAGAGTCGAGTTGAAGTCTACATGTATGGCTTGTGACCCATCAAATCTGGCATGCAGATGGTTGCACAACAGAAATAATAGCACAGAATAGAAGTAGATGACGTACATATATGTGACCTGCTCTACAAAAGGGTATTATGTCGCCAAAAAAAAAAAGTGAAATTGAGTTGTATACATGGTTGGAAAGCCCACAATGTAAGCTTTTATTTGGCACATGTAAAAGAGCTCCATAGCCCCTCCCACTCTGGAGACATGACGTGTTTGCATATTAATTACTTCCTTGCAGTTCAAATTACACAACTGAGAAAACAGGCTTTGAAATAGCTGGCTCTGTTCTAGAACAACAGAACAATGCACACAAAATGGTTGTTTTCTCCACTTTGTTCATCAAAATCAACATTTTTGAGAACGAAACCTAAAACTGCAGGTATTAAAGATGTCGTTCATGACAAAAATTTAAAATCACATTTTGACAAAATGTTCACCCTCTCAATGTTGAGCGGGCCATTACACAATAATGCTCAGCGCGACCTAATACCTTTTTTTGTGGAGCAGGTCACATATATACATGTATATATAAGGCCAAATAAAAAATAAAAAACATGTTTGCGTCCCGCCCGCTTCCTTTTTGGGGGCCCTCTCCTTTCCTTTTTAATTTTTTTTTTAAATCACCAAAAAATGATAGGCTATAAGAAATTAATAACTTAATATCTTAGGGTGAATTTACAGCTGTCACGGCTGTGGATTTTCTAGCACTACTGCGTGGAGCGTTGAACTGCGATACCCTTCGTACTAACACTCCACCGATTTGGCATACTTTGGTGACATGTACACGGTATGCATTTTGAGCATACCCTCGCGAGGACAAAAGGCCCCCCAAAAAAACTGGTAAAGAGAATACAAATGAGACAGACAGTAAATTTTGTATATGCTTTTGAACATTAAAAGTAGCTTGATATGGTAGAAAAAGCAATAAAGAACAGCTTCTGCATATCAATTATGTTAAACTTATTTAAAAACTTGTTTTTTTGAACGCGAAATGTACGGCGAATTTGTCAATTTTCGTCTGGTGCGTTGTCGTGGAAAGCATTCTCGTTGTCTTGCTTTCCGCGACAACGCACAAGACGAAAACTGAACCCACTTGCGGCACCTGAAAGCTGTGTGGTACCCACATACATCGCACGCGCAGATTTTTTTTCGATGTCATCACATGATGCATGTATTTGAATAATTAACAAAACAAAATGGACAACAGCCGTTGGAACTGGCGTTTTTTTTACGGACAAGCCACCGAAATCGTCAAGATTTTTCACATTTTTTTTTTTTGGTCTGTTTCAAGTCGATCATTAGCTTCGTGAATGACTGCTGAATGAATGAGGTGTGTAAATGAAATCTGGGGTGGGATATTAGAGGTGAAAATGCACAATTTTTGAGAGGCCATTTTTTTTAGGGTCTCTTAATTGCTGCCATTCTAATGAACAGGTTATGTCTCCAGCGTAATGCATGTGAATGAATATGAGCATGTCAGCTGGAGTTCCTCTAGCCCCATAAATGTGGCCTATTTACTGGACTGCCTCCGTAAACATAGGCCACACATCCACCTGTACAAAAAACGTGTCGACTTTGCCAAATTTTGATTTTCGCATTTAGGCTTAGGCAAAATAAAAAAAAAAACATGTTTAGCGTCCTGCCTCTTTGACGAAAAGGAAGGAGGAGGCCCTTTTTTTTTTTCTTTTTTTCTTTTCAAAATGGCCGCCCGACACATTTTTCAAGACAACACGGCCGGGCTATTTTTCAAGATGGTTACCAGCTTTTTTCAAAATGGCCGCCACTTGGACTCATTGACTATTTCCACAGCTTTATACACGGTATAAAAGTCTAAAAATATGATTTCTTTCGTCAGAGATCGTTAAAAGTTATCAATTTTTGTCTTTAAAAAAAAAAAAAAAAAAAAAAAAAAAAAGGAGGCGGCCTCTAAAAAGGAAGCGGGCGGGGACGCTAAACATGTTTTTTTTTTTACTTCGCCTTAGTTTGTAGTTTTTTTTTGCTTTAGAAGCATACTCACCCTCTTTATAGGCTAATCAGAAAGTGCTGCCTTTTTCAGATGTATATTTTTCGTGAAATTTACAGATTCATTTTTACACGTTTGCGTATCAAAATTTCATTTTCAACATGAAATTTCACAAAAATTAGACATCTGAAAAAGGCAGCACTTTCTGACTAGCCTATAAAGAGGGTGAGTATGCTTCTAAAGCAAAATAATCCTACGAACTAAGCCTAAATGTGAAAATCAAAATTTGGCAAAGTCGACACATTTTTGTACATGTGGACATGGTGGATGTGTGGCCTATGTTTACGGAGGCAGTCCAGTAAATAGGCCACATTTATGGGGCTAGAGTTCCTCAAGCTAGATACAAACCATATCCAACGCCTTGTGTCACCGATTCTGGCGTCTGGTTGCCATCCTCGGGTAGTTTTCTGTCTTCAAAAAGCCCTTCAGACATTCTGACTTTTTCAGTAACTAGCAACTAGCATCAACTAAATTCCGGGATTTTTTGTCCCGCTAGCACACTGCAGTCGATCTACAATTGTGAGTGGTCTGGTTCCTGACATTTTCTGGTTGCTGCACTCGTTTGAGAAGTCTAGAACCTAGACGTAGGCTGACGTGTTGATAAAGGGCGCCCTCTATTGATTTCGTTTTATTACACAGCTTCTATTTTCTAACATACATGTATTAATTATTTTGCTTCCTAATTCATTACATTTAATGAATAATTACATTTATTTAAATTCATTGAAATGGGAATCTGGTTGCATAATAATAAAACTAAAATCCTGTAGAGACATCTCAGCTCAATTCTCAGGGAAAACTCACAAAGTGATTTACAATTTTGGTAAACAAAAAATATAACATTTTCCCATTTATCACAAACTGCAGTGGTTTTCAAAAAGAGAGTGTGCCGGGTCTCAACCGGTGGCGGCCTTTAACAAAGCTTTGTCAACCACAGTGAAACATTAATTTTGTTTAAAGACATCGAATCCCTGCATCAAATGACACCTATAACAATATTTTTTTTTATCTAGAGTAGAGTTTACAGACGAACAAGGAGTACACAGTTACAGCTGACACTTTGGGTTCAAAATAATTTAATTCCAATTTTCATTCTTTGGTTCACCATGTACTGAATTAAAAAGTACCAATTCTTACAGTATTTTCTTTGGCTTGGAAAACAAAATTACAACATGTATCATACAAGTCAATACACAACGTTAAAGTTCTTACAAAAAAGTGGCATTTTGAAAACAAAAAGTCACTGGCTTCAGAGTGTATGATGCTACCTGATCAAATGTGACGTTGCAAATACCGTGCATTTCAAATAATCATAAAGTTGACATGAGTTCAGTACAATGTATTAGTAATAATTACTCTTTGCCTGATTACCTACAGTTAGTAAAAAAGTATACTAAATGAAATGAACAAAAACTGCTCTTTATACACAATTTTTACGAAGTCAAACTTTTTTTTTTATAAAATACAAAATTTGGTCACAACTTTATTGCCTTTTAAAACAATAACTTCATATAAATTGTCAATTTTAAATATCAAGTACATACTAAGGGCTTGGTCATTTCAGCTAACAAAAGGAGCTATTCATAAAATTCCCTCTATCAATTTGATTAATTAGTGTTTGTTGCAGAGTTTTGAAGGATTGATGCAATTATGGTCACCCCTCCAATGAACAAATTCAACTTTTAATGGATTTTATTTTAGGATTAAAGCTGAATCCAATTTTTACATGGTGGCAATTGGAGGATTTTGCAGGATTGAGGATGGTTCCTATCCAAAAGGGCCTAGGTTACAATGAAGGGTTACAATGTACCTTTATAATGGAAATAAACTTGCTGCTGACCATTGTATCTTTTCTTGAAAAAAAACACCATAGTTTTCGTCAAAACCTTTCTTATTCAACTCCATTTTGTATATTGGCTCCACACACAATACTGTACAAAATGTACTTCCTTTAGGCCAAAAAAAAAAAGTCTCCAGTTTCTGGTATGGAGCTTGCCCAAAAAGTGGTGCGGCGACGCGGCTTTTCTTTTTTTTTAACTGATTTTTTTGCTTCAAATGTCGGCTGATGACTGCAAATGGTGCCCGACTAAACTTAGTGCAATTACTGCAAATAATATGGGAGTCCAGAGAGGCCACATAAAGCTTATTCTCGACCATAACCCAATCTAAAAACACGTTAAAATTGTGCAGCAGTCAAACCAGTAAGTTTGGCGGTTTTGAGACATCATCTTTCATTGAAAAAAAAACTTTTTCATTTTGCCGACGCGCATGGCTACGGCGACGCGCGCGCATACCAGAAACCGGAGACTTTTTTTTTGGCCTAAAGGGACTGTACAACATTTGCTTTTGCTGCAATTTTCAGAAATAAATCGGGATTTGGAGGATTAGTATGTTATAGCAAATATTGTTACACTGACTTGCTTAAGATGAAACGGAGCAATTAATACAATTTGGGTAATGAAAGGTCAGAGAATCAGTCTAGCAGGCTTGTATCCATTCACAGGTGTGTAATCCATTGCACAGAAAAGGCAGAATAACTAAATATGAAAAATCAGGAAAAGCTTTTTTGAAAAAAAAAAAGTTTTCTCCAATGGTGGTCAGCCGACCAGGTGTGGAAAAATACAGTATTTCTTGAGAATGACAGCACACCAGGAGCCATGATTTTACAGGATGCTTGAGACTGTTAGTCCCTATAATTCAGTAAGGTATTTCGTGATAATTTGATCATTTCGTTTATGTTTGCATATGTTGTAGTTTCCCTTTAATGTTGACCAAAAAGGTTTTATAGACACATGAACGCTACTCCAATGAATATAAAAACAAACAACCTAGACCTTAGCTGTGTTTCTAACCACAAAATGCTGCGTCCAGTAACCACCATGTTGTAAACGTAAACACTCATTGTGATCGTAAACAACCCACATCATCATGTGACCGTCCCCTTGCGCGTTTAATGCGCCACAAATTTTGTTCAAATTTATAGTCTGAAAATTCAGGCGCTTGTCAGGTCTAGGTTTTTGTTTTTAAACGTCTATGGTTCACAAATACAAAGCTTTCTCCAAATACGGCCATCTGCAAGTACATGAACTGTTCATTAACAGAGTCAACAAGGAAATGAATACATCATGTGTACTTATTTCTAAAACTTTTTTGCAGGTTTATGCTCAATTAAATAACAAAATAAAGTAACTCTTTATCACACACAAAGCCAGGTTACTGAGGCTACAAAAATATACAAACACTGGAGAAGCTAAATATACAGTCTCACATCCTGAAAGCACCAGATGAACTTATAAATATTTAAAAAATGCATATCGACATACCAAAAATATAAACAAGTTCTTGTCAAAGTTATGTTGCATAATTATTAAATACATGTAGCACAGAGCTTTAAAATTTGTCATTAGTACCAAACAGGTACAGGTTACTCATGCGACAGCCTACTACACCAAGGACGATATTAGCTCCCCGCGGTATTGGAAGTTGACAAACTAGTTCCTCAGATTTGCCTTGGGAACTAGTTTGTCAACTTCCAATACCTTGGGGAGCAAATATCAAATGCCCACTCTCAAACCATGTTATATTTGTATACTGTTCTGCGCTCGGTTCTATATGATCTTTGCCTACTACAATGACGACACTGACTTTCCAGGGAGGGCCCTCTGGCTTCTACCTATCAGATAAGTCTATTGATGCCTGATATCTCACCAATGCTAGCACAAAGCCTAGCCCGCTCCAGCAGCAGGCTTGACAACTTGAACATTCCCCGGCCGTTTCATTTTCATCTTAGCCTTCAAGATTTGTAGGTAATCAATGGCAGGGTAGGTGATCCGTTTACACTGCATGTCGTTCTTGGCCTTTGGCCGCAGCACGTATCTCTCGATGACCGTCCTGCCGCTCATTTCGCTGACTTTCTTCTTCCCTTGCACGCAGTGAGCCTTCAGCTCCTGGTTGCGCCGCTCGAGCTCTGCGACATCCGCAGCCATCCGCTCCACCCCGTACTCCTCAATCTTGGTCCAGAGCACAGTGTTGAAGTGTTGGTAGAGTTTGAAGTCACCGCTGAGCCACCCCAGGAGGTTTTTCTCCGTCTCGGTAGTGATGGTTTCAACCAGCATGCCGCTGCGAGCATTGCTGGTGAAATAGGTGATGTCATCAAACGTCCAACACATCGTGTCCTTCAGCAGAATCAAGGACTCCTTCAGATGCTCGGCAATCAAGACCAAATCAAAGGACTCTCCCAGGTACTTGATCCATTTGTCTATCGCCACGCCATTATCCATTGCCTTCAGCTCCATTCCCAGGTCATACAGCATGGGATTCCGTGCGCTGTGCTTCGGGCTCTTCGGACCGTACTTTCCGTAGATGGCCTTGGGGGACGAAGCAAACTCTTCAAGGGAGGCTTTGAACTTGTCCTTCATTCTGTAGAAGCTGTACATGCTCTCAAATTGTCTGGGCGGGTAACGAAGGATCGTGATGAATTTGGCTCCTGGGACCATAGCTTTCTTCATATCTGAAATTCAAATAAATGATATGAGTTCTCAATGACTAATGACACATTAATGTAACTTACACTGCTGCTTTTGTGAGGTCTCAACTTCAGAGATGCCGACTTTACAGACTACAAAATAGTAATGATTCTTCCTGCAAAGAGTAATGCTAATGTAAATACATCTACATGTAGGACAACAGTCAAGTTTAAGAGTAACCACAGTATTTTTCAGAGTAACCACAATGTTGGCGTATAGGACAGCTGGAATTTTCAAGAGTAGTAACATGCCTCAAAATCCTAATAATTACTCCAATAGAGAAATGGTTGGCATCTCTCCAACTTTGAAACCCTGTTTTGTAGCCAAGCTTTACATTACAGTAAAAAGTAAAGTCTGTCCCGAGCCAATGTGGCTCATCAGGCCTGTGTTTATCTCCGGTTTCCTTGGCATGAAACGACTCAGAATATTTCTACTCCCCCTGAATGGGATGCCAGTCCATCGCAGGATTACTCCCCAGCTAATTCCGGTACCCATTTATACTCCTGGGTAGAGAGGGACAAGTGGGGGTGAAGTGCCTTGCCCAAGGACACAATATATGGCCAGCGGCTGGATTCGAACCCCGGACCCTCTAATCATGAGTCACGAATCCTAACCACTAGGCCACACACTCCCCCACAGTACAGTACAAAAGTTCAAAACCTTTAAATTTGGTCTTGACTTTATTCCTGGCTCTGGCTTTTTAAATATAGATTCGAGATTTCTTTCAAACGAAAATCACATTGGCTTTTGACCCTTTAGTGACTGCAGAATCAACCACAGCTGCGCTGGATGTACCCAATATTTGATCATCAAACTAATGTCTGAAAGAATTTTTAATCCAAATATTCGCAAAATGTGAGCGATGATGATGAAAGGTTTATTGTTTGGCAAATTCCACAATTTAAAGTGCATGATATGACGGCTTCCGTAAAAAGAATACTAGCTCAAATTTTCTTTTTCAAAATAGGTCAAATATTGGCTGCAATAATTATTGCAAATCCTGAATGGCAGTTGAATCCAGATTAAGCTGGTGCATTTTTAATTGATGGGCACATTTTGAATTATCGAATATTTGATCATGTCCAAGCTTAGAATAAATTATTAGCAAACGCACAGCCCTACAACTTTTTATTAGAAATTTGTAAGTTTAACTTTTGCATAATTTGAAATGAACACACACACGAAAAATGGGCTGTTGCCCCTTTAGCATGTTTAGCGACTGTAGCAGCCGAAAGCAGCCAAAAATCAAACGCACATTCTAGCCGCACATGGCTTGCATATTCAACCATTTGTTATGAATTCATTGGTTTTGAAGAACCTGTGAGGATTAGGTTTACAAAAAATGTAAGTTAAATAATACACACAAAACGGTTTAATCACTTACTCTCCTTATGGAAGCGGGCATGGTTGGCCAGGATGTCGTAAGTCCCCGTGGCCAGCCGCATTGCAAACGACGGCCTAAACTTGGTCGGAGCTCCCATGTACACGTCCACGATGGGTAGGGCGAATGTCAGATCCCTCACGTCGCCGAAGCGATACAAGACGTTCTGGATCGTAGAGCTGCCCGTCTTGTGCGTCTTGAGCAGCAGGATGCCTCTCTTCTCCTTACAAGTTGAACTTTGACCTTTGCCCTCAGGAGATTTGACTCCGAGACTGGAGTTGCCTCTGGCGATGATTGGGTCCTCTTTGCGTTGCGTGATGTTGGTTTCTCCTGCGCGAAGATCCTTATGAACTTTTTTACTGCCAAGGCTGCTCTCTGATTGGTTTGTCTTTGTCGCTCCGCGATTAAGTGAGAGTGCCCTCATCCCCTCCTCATCTCCTTGTTTCTGTCGGTCTTGAGCGATTCTGACACCGGGATGCAGGAGGGGTTGCAATGACTGACTTGCGTGTACATGTATGCTTGGGTTGCTGTTGAGAAATGACAAATTCTGGATATTTATCAAGCACGTTGGCCAACTCTAACACTATTTCATGCCACATTACACCGCTCATTGGTTTAAATTAACCCTTACTCTCTGAGGGTAGTTTACTGCATGTCAGTTGGTTATGCCAATGCCCTCCAGCTGCAGTGCATTGGCAGATAGTTTGTCTTAACAGTGAAGGCTCCAATTGGCAGGAATTGGAGGCCCTGGAGGGTGCCTGATACTGACCAGCTGGGGGCACTCACTTTGTTATCAGAGGACTCTCATTGTTCTCTGTGGCATGTATTGGAGTGCCTGTCCAGTTACCCTTGAAATGACATGGCAGATATTGGAGGGCCGTGCAAAAAACATATGCCATTTTCTTAAGGCACATAATGGCATGCGTTGGAGGGTCCAGTTGGGTAAGGGTTAATGGCAAGAAAACTCAATAAGCCTCTGTTCTGATGAATTCACACTTTGTTGGGCTACAAAATTGTCATCCCTTCCAGGCTCCCATAAGCAAGCACCCATGTAAACAAAGTGTGACGTCATCAGTACAGAGTTATTCTGTAGGCTACCACAAATTGTGGCAACGACACACAGTATTATAATGTACATGAGTTTGTTTCTGCATAATGGGACGTTGAACAATAGAGGACAATAGGGTCCCCAATTTCCCGAAGGCCCCACTTTACAAGCGTGTACAAAACATATGGTAGGTCTTCCTAAAAAGTTGAAGTACAAACAAAAGAGGGACAATAGGGGGTCCCCGATTGCAGGCAAATACACACTTGGGCGTTCATGTATACATGTATGTGTAAATATGTCGTGTGCCCGGCAGAAGGGCATATAAGTGCATATGCCCTTATGCAATAGCGCATAATGACCAAAATGTTCCCAGCAAAAGGGCATATGCAGAAAACTGCCTCCATTTTAATGAAATCTAAACATTTTCGTCAGAAACTAATAGATGTTCTTAAACTTATGATTCCTACGTGTGACAAATTTCAAATTCGTACGATTTATATTACGTGTGGGAGAACATTGGATACATAATGCGCGCGAGGGAACAATGGAACCTTTCAATGCAATATTCTCGAAAATGATTTTTGCGTCAGAACTCTCATACATGTACCTATGCCTTTCTGCCAAGCACCCGACGAATTATCCTTTCATAAACATGTAAGTGGGATGACAGACATCATCAAGCAAACTTGAACAGTAAAAATTGAATACATTATGCTGTACATGTAGTCATGTGAAACATTTCACATGCATGCAGCGGAAAAATGGTAGTGCCAAAATTTGATACATGTAAACACAATGATACTGTTATTTTTGCCGCCTCTGACCGTGACCAATTTTGCCTTTTATGGACCCATCTCCTTCCCCACCCCATTCCCAACCCCCTGTCAAACCCGAAGTAAGCACAAACCTTTTGGGGAATATCCTATTGGTCCTTGACACAGCACCCCTGGTGTTCTGATTGAGGTAAATCAGCGAGATGACCACAAACACTGTTGCAAGAAGGAGGGTCGCAACAAATGCCTTCATGATACTCATGGTGACAGACTCCGCCCCTGGGCTGGCAAGATCCCACCCCCTCAAGCTGGCTAGACTCCTTTTGAATGGAAAGACTCTGACCCTAGGAATGACTAGAATCCGTCCCTTGGCTGGCTGGAGTCTGCCCCTTGGCTGGCTAGGCTCCGCCCCTTGGCTGGCTAGGCTCCACCCCTTGAGATGGCTGGACTCCGCCCCTTGGACTGACCTGAATGGCTAGACTCTGACACTAGGAATGACTAGACCCTGCCATTTGGTCAGCTAGACTCCACCCCTTAGTTGGCTAGACTCCACTCCTTGGCTGGCTAGACTCCACCCCTTTGGTAGCTAGACTCCACCCCTTGGTTGGCTAGACTCCACTCCTTGGCTGGCTAGACTCCGCCCCTTGGGTAGCCAAACTCCGCCTCTTGGGTAGCTACACTCAACTCCTTGGCTAGCTAGACTCCGCCCCTTGGGTAGCTAGACTCCGCCTCTTGGGTAGCTAGACTCCGCCCCTTGGGTAGCTAGACTCCGCCCCTTTGGTAGCTAGACTCCGCCTCTTGGGTAGCTACACTCAACTCCTTGGCTGGCTAGACTCCGCCCCTTGGGTAGCTAGACTCCGCCTCTTGGGTAGCTAGACTCCACTCCTTGACTGGCTAGAATCCGCCCCTTGGCCGGCTAGACTCCGCCCCTTGGTTGGCTAGACTCCACTCCTTGGCTGGCTAGAATCCACCCCTTGGGCTAGCTGGACCCCACCCCTTTGTCTGGCTACACTCCGCCCCCTGGGCTAGCTGGGCTCCCCGTCTTGACAATGCTTGGGCCAGTTAGATCTCATTCCTATAAGACAAACAAAATCCACTTTTGTGTTATAGGCTTAAAAGTTATTAAGCAGTGGGAATATCAAATGAAGAGGGCAGGATTTTGAAATAAGAGGGAAATTATGGTATAAAATGACAACAATCAGGATGACAAAAACAACATGAATCTGAAGATGGTGATAGGGCCATAACACCGGCGTGGTGCCCTTCACGTGTGTACGTTAAAGGAATGGGATTCTAGTTTTGGTTGGGAAACCAGACTAAATTACTCCATGCAGCTAAGTTAGCATCAAGTGTGTGCTCAACATTCGCGATGTCTGATAACTGACGGTGGTCAGTAAAAGCTCAGATTTTTCCAAAGAAATTTTGACCGATGGTCCCAACGCCAATCTTTCTGGAATTTTCGAGAGTTATGGATCAACCGGGACAACTTTTTGAATGGACTTGTGTTTCAGAAATGGGAATTCCAGACAAAGGGTATTTCGTCTATCAAACTAAATTTCTCATTTAGCAGATTAGTGCACTGACCCTTAGCTAATTGTAGTCTAAAATAGACCCTTGCTCTGGCGAGCCGACCATGGTCTACTATTCGTAAACAGATTTGGCAATTAATTATGCAACAAGACTGCTCATGACCTACATGTAGAGAAACTAACCATCAACAGGCGCCTTCTATATGCGCGTAATTTGCGCTCCCCGCGTGCATAAATATCACGCCTACGATGAGTAGCATTTGTTTACAGGCTGTTGTTCATTACAAAAAGGCGGAATCGAAATTGGCCAATCACAATCTTATTTCGGAATTTAATCATAATGTGATTTTGGAATGCAATGACATCACGCATGCTTAGATATCAGACATTATATACAGGAGACTTGGCTTGGTGTATAAGGCCAAAAAAAAAGTCTCCGGTTTCTGGTATGCGCGTGCGTCGCTGTAGCCATGCGCGTCGGCAAAATGAAAAAGTTTTTTTTTCAATGAAAGATGATGTCTCAAACCGCCAAACTCACTGGTTTGACTGGAATCCTGCTGCTGCACATTTTTACCGTGTTTTTAGATGGAGTTATGGTCGAGAATAAGCTTTATGTGGCCTCTATGGACTCTCAATCCCATATAGGCCTATTTGTACTAAGTTTAGTCGGGCACCATTTGCAGTCATCAGCCGACATTTGAAGCAAAAAAGTCGGGTAAAAAAAAAAAAAAGACGCGTGGCCGCACCACTTTTTGGGCAAGCTCCATACCAGAAACCGGAGACTTTTTTGTGGCCTAACGGGTGATACTCAGACTTAGAAGCTAAATGCTGATTGGCTGATAGTGATAAAAAAAAATATTTTGTTTATTTTTTTAGCAGCCAGTCAGCATTTGGGCTTTCATTATGTCAGACTGTCAGGCTTTCTGTTTCACTCATGTTGAGTGAGAACTACAATGTGCACTTCTCACGTCTGACTGCAAAAAAAAGGTAGAAAAGTCAAATTTTCTTTGAAAGTGCTTTCCAAATTACAACTAACATGAGTTTATATAAGGAAAAAAAACTGCATTATTCATTTAGCCTGCAAAAGTCACCTTGGTACTGGGCAGTCATCTGCAAAAGTCAGTTTTTAACAGAACTCCTAAAATACAGGTGTACTAAACTTTAGGACAAAAAATTGAATTCAAAAATGTGCCATTACAATTACAAATGATGGACTATACCTTTCAAGACAATACAAACCCCGCCTTTCAACTTCACCAGCTCTGTTTTGGAAACACTGATGGGAAAACAATTAAATTGATTTTTTTTGTCGTAATTTGTAGATCGAACTGTGCTTCTGGCACTAGCCTAAAGATAAGGATTACCGATAAAATGGCACATTTTCGAATTCAATGGGACATTTTTGAATTCAATTTTTTAAACATGCTAGTCCATGCTGACTGCTTCCTCCAGCCCTTATTACTAATATTTAATACAATAACCCAATGATAATATAGGGCGGAGGTAGACCCATGAACGTGGCGTTGTATTCAACCACGTTCACAAGCCACGTTCACGGGTCTAGGGCGGAGGTAACTCCAGCTACTGGGGACACACAATTTTTCCTCACATGTATCATCTCAATGATAAATTGAAGGTCATTCATTGCCAAAATGATTTTAACTTAGACTAGCCCCATAAATGTGGCCTATTTACTGGACTGCCTCCGTAAACATAGGCCACACATCCACATGTACAAAAACATGTCGCACTTTGCCAAATTTTGATTTTCCCATTTAGGCTTAGTTTGTAGGTTTTTTTGGCTTTAGAAGCATACTCACCCTCTTTATAGGCTAATCAGAAAGTGCTGCCTTTTTCAGATGTATATTTTTTGTGAAATTTCCAGATTCATTTTTACACGTTTTCGTATCAAAATTTCAACATGAAATTTCACCAAAAATATACATCTGAAAAAGGCAGCACTTTCTGATTAGCCTATAAAGAGGGTGAGTATGATTCTAAAGCCAAAAAAACCTTCAAACTAAGCCCAAATGTGAAAATCAAAATTTGGCAAAGTGTGACACATTTTTGTACATGTGGATGTGTGGCCTATGTTTACGGAGGTAGTCCAGTAAATAGGCCACATTTATGGGGCTAAACTTAGACATGAAGAATCTGAAACTGAGAAACATTTCCAATTTTGCTAGGAAATACTTAGAAAATTGTCTTGACTCTCCATAGTCTTTTGTACACAATCGTAGAAGTGGCGTCAGGCTGCAACATTTTTTTCTCCAAAAACAAGTAAAAAAGCTAAACAAACTCACCTGTTCAACACAACAAAATTACGCCACATCATCATCATGCGGTCATACTAAACAGCGTCAACACAGCGTCAACACACTCCAAAGCGTCAACACAGCGTCAACACAGCGTCAACACAGCGTCAACACATCCAAAATGCATTAAAATTGACAAAAACAGTATGTAACCCATACAGTATGGACAGAAACAAGATTTGTGCTTAAAATCAATAGGTTAAACGTCTGAAAATCGCGATTTTTAGTTCAAGAAAATTGGCTCTCCGTGCCGCTCCGAAATCGGCTACCGAACACCCGCCATGTTGCCTCAATGGCAGCGCGGACCATACCATTATTCTAAAGGGTGATAGCGTTGTACAATAAACCAACAGAGAGGGACGCGGCCGGGGTCGCCAGTGTTAAAAATATCTGCAAAGACTAACAATTTAATGCTGTGTTTACGCTGCAATTGCCTTTGTTGTTTAATTTTCTTTACTTGTTCGTTGGTATTTACATTATTGTATAATATTGCAAGGCGCCCTCTGTTGTTTATGACAAGATAATGTCATTACCTACACACCCCTACTTGAAATGGTGTAGTCCAAGCTTTGTGCGAAGTCAAGATGGCGGACAACGGCCGTGCAAGTTAAGGTCATTTTTTTCGCGTGAAAATACGATATTTTTAACAACGAAATGGAAACTCAATCCAATGGAAATTCTCCTTTATTGTATGTTTCACAATTATATGCCCTTTTTGTCAATTCAGAATGTGTTTTGGATGTGTTGACGGTGTGTTGACGCTTCTGTCATGTGTTGACGCTGTGTTGACGCTGTGTTGACGCTGTTTAGTGCGACCCTCATCATGACCATGAATGATGTAGTACTAGTGTACGCGATCGAACGCGTGTGTATATGCCTCTTGGTTTTGCATGCATGTCTTGCTGTGCTGTCCACACTGTGTGTGTTGCGCACTTTAATGATACAGGGTACGAGACAACCATCTTGAGTCACTGTTACACCAGTCTATTATGCTATTTTATGAAACTTCGGCTACATTTCCAGTGCGGCTTCATCTTCGGCATTATGGGATGATTATAGTCGTGTTCCCTAACGTGGCGCACTTCGAAGCTTACCCAACTTTCCTCGTGTAGTGTTGCCAAACCTCTTTGTTGACAAACCTCAAATTCATGCAGTGAAAAACTGGTACTTTTACCTTATTAATGCTTGCTATTTAACCTCTGTGAACAATTTCGGTTTCATAAAATTTAAGCCGAAATTAAAAAACGGTGGCGTCCGGAAATTGGGCACAAATTGGCGGAGTGTTCCCTAACGTGGCGCACTTAAATAAATCTCGGAAAATTCCAAATTCACATTTAAGAATTTCTGAAAACTTGATAAATTTTGATAAGTCATTATTATCTCTACTTACATACCCAGCCAGATGTTTGTCAGAAAATTATTTTCTTATTTTTGGGGGCATTTTCAAAGGGTTCACTTTGCACTTGAAAATAAAATCGGAAAATCACGCCAAAAGAAATTTTTCTTTTAACTTTGTAGCGGGTAAATAAACTCGCGATTTATAAACGGGAGTGTTTAGAACTTGATGAAATTTCACTTTCTGTGAAATTTCAGTTAAAACTTTTGCTGTAGCTAGGCGCTACAGGCGAAAAATCAAAGTGCGCCACGTTAGGGGCCGCGCCACGTTAGGGTACATCAACAACACGCACGTTTCGTGCCTCACTTTTGTTTATTCGAAGACAGTGAAATTAAGTCAAAATAAAAGTGTGGCCCTCAAATTAAGAAATACATTTTCATCGTTAAAAAATGACAAAATTTAGCCAATAACTGTACATCCTATACCATCCTAGTACATGTATAGGTGAGTAGAAGACTCAAGACGTAAAGTTGCACATGGAGCGGGGCCGGGCTGTGGAGCGCGGGCCGGATGGGACTGAAGAGTATATAGGTTTTCTCGGTCAATTTCGGCAAATGAGCAGCCAATTTAACCACTACGCTATTCTATTTCGCGCGAAATCAAATGCTACTGAAAAGGGTCATTCGATTTCATTTTATGACCAGTCAAATGTACTGTTGCGTCATTCGATTTAACAAAATAATCATGCAATTTAACAATTCAACAAAGCAGCATTCAAATTCGCAGGAGCTTTTTGAGGCGTGTGTTTAGTCATTCAAATTCATTTTTGGGCAGTCATTTCTGGAATTTGTGCAATCTAAAAAACGCTTTGTTAAATTTTTGTTTCCTTAAGAATGTTGAAGGCATAAATACGGTTCACTTTTTGGCACTTGAGTCACTTTGCCGATGTACTTCGAAGACGAGCTTTCGCTACAGTTTACACGCATATTTCTAGAAATGGCAGCTCGTGGTCGCTACGCTAGAGTGGCCCAGGTAGATCGAGAAAGGTTGATTGAGGCCTTCGAGGGAAACGAGCAAGACTACCTTCAGCTTGCGGTCAATTTGAACATCAACAAGTCCACAGCCAGATCAATTGTTGCAACATATTTGAGGACTGGAAGGCGAGAGACGCTGGCAAGAGGAGGAGCAACCCACAGCAAGATGGATGATGACATGCGAAACCATCTGCAAGGCATCCTTGACGCTAATCCCGTCTTGACACTTCAACAAATGAAGGCTAGTTTGAGTGAGCATCTGCCAGAGAAGCCCCAGGTTTCTACTGCCACCATAGCCAGGGCCTTGGATGGGATGATGATTACTCTGAAACGGGTGGAGGACGTCCCTGATGCAAGAAATTCCCCTGAAGTTCTTGATCAACGCGTCCAGTATGGTGAGTGGTTCCTGCAGCATGGTGTTCTGGCGCATCTAGTCTTCATTGACGAGACAGGTTATAACGTCTGGACTCGACGCTCCCAGGGTAGAGCTCCACGAGAGATCACTGCAAGACGAGTCGTCGACAGACAACGAGGGAGAAATTGCAATGTCACCTTCGCTGTTTCTATAGTGAAGTAGGCTTGGTGCACCACCGAATCGCATTCGAAACTGTGACGCGAGAGAGATTCGAGGAGTTTCTTGCGGACACAATTCAAGAGTGTGATGCAGTTTTCCCAGACGACGAACCCATTTACCTCATATACGACAATGCGAGGCCTTACGTGCGAGCCCAACTCCCTGAAGGTGCCAACCCAATGATCCAGCTGAAGCGCCTCCCTCCCTACTCCCCATTCCTGAACAGCACGGAGATGGCACACTCTGCATTCAAGGCTGCAGTTAAACGCATCCTTGGGTTACCTGAGTGGCAACAACGTGTCGGAGACAGACAGGCTGCCCAGCAAGCAGGAATGAACATGCAGCAGTGGAGGTGCGATCTCCTTCAACAAGCAGCCATCCAGAGCGTTGATGTCATCACCCAAGTGAAGTGCATGCAGTGGTACAACCATACCCAAACATATATGCCAAGATGTCTGGCACGCCAACAGATTGATGGTTGAGGAAGAAACAACATAAACAATAAAAAACCAGGAAAAACATAAAGAAACACCCCCATTCAAACACAATACAAAATTAGGTCTTGGTCAGTTAACCAATAAAGATCCCCCCCCCCCAAAAAAAAAAGAATGAAGAAGAAAACAAAGAAGAAGAAAAAACCTCATTGGCCACATGTAAAGTCTACTGGAAGCATAAATAAAGAAAACAAGGTTTGCCTGAATTAAAGTGAAGATACAAAACAGTTGCCTAGTACAGTTTATCTGTTTATTCGTATTTCTTTAGTCGTACTTATTTGAATTCTCTTTAAGTGAAATTGATTGCCTCTTTACGAAATTGAAAAAAATTAAATCAGTAAAATCTCCAGTCGAACCAGCTTTGCTAAATTGAATGATGATTGTGTGTCACGAAAAAGAATGACGATTTTCTAAATTGAACACAGTGCTAAAGGAATTTGAATGTCTCAAAACGAAATTGAATGGCCGAATTCTGAATTTGAAACGCAGGAACAACTGGAGAGGCAAAATAGCTTCAATTCGAACGCACGAAAATTGGCTGCTCATTTGCCGAAATTGACCGAGAAAATCTATATTATTAGCCTTCAACAAATCATGACATGTAGTTGTTTCACAGCTTTGTTTACTTGACGTCTACTATAGACTGGGGGCTCTGAATTCCCTCCCCGCAAACCCCAACGTCGGACACGACCTTCATCATTTTCATGGTTTATATCATTTTGATGGATCAACAACTGCTCATGAACGTCCATCGGTAGGATAGGGGGGGGGGGGCTATCATATCCTCCCCCCACTTTTTTTCGTCCCCGAAAAAAAATATCAGCCTCACAGAGCTGTATGCCCTATGTTCAGCCTACATTAGAATAGTTGCTGCACCCGCACCCGATTTCTCGAAGCGCTGCGACGCGTCGCAACTCGAGTTACGACGTGTAATATAACACGTCGCAACTCGCGACGCGCCATCGTATCCATTTCACTCCACGAAAGTTGCGATGGGTTGAACGCGTCGTGCGGGTGATCTTATTATCTTTTTCGTCTGAGGACTTGAGACAATGGGCTTCATATGATAACAATAACTCTGAAGACCTGAAGTGATCGGGAGGTTTCGTGTACAAACCTTATGGAACATCATGCGGAGAAACAAAAAGTTAAAGTCCAAACAATCGGAACAAAAAAGGGAACAATAAAGGCTCCACATAAGCATGTACATGTATAATTTTTGGGTCATTCTTCAATAAATGTCTATAGTTTCGTGTTCCAACACTCTAAGGCACTACAAATCGAAAAAATATACTATGAAAATCTGATTTTTATGCGGTACAATTAACTTTAACATGATCGATTCTGAATTTGAATGCACGTCATGAATCCCATTTCAATTCAACGAAAGTTCAATCGTCTTCATTGTCCGTGCATTCGGTTTGAGAAACAGACGGCCAATTACATTATCTGTGCATTTGTTTACGCAAGCATACCTTTTCTAAACTGATTTCAGGTACAGCTTATTTGATTGACGGTTAATGAAAAAAAACCTTATTGTATCTGGTGCCGATGGCATTCAACTAAAGTGAAATATGATGGTGAATGTTTGAAATTGCCCTGTAAAATCGAAAATGAAGTCTTGTAAACGAATCTGAATGGACATAAACTAAAGGTGCTGCTCAATCACTAAATTGATTGAACTGAAATGGAATCGAATGCTCTGGTAGCGAAAATGAAACGCATGTTCAGAGCGATTCTCAAATTCAGTCAAAAACGAGTGACCGATTTTCAGAAGTGAATGAACAGTACAGTACAGTATAGTATATAGAATAATAAATGTCGAAAAGGGTGCAAAAATTCCCCCAAAACGGGGTTTCGAATACGCCTTTTCAATCAATTTGAGCCATTTCATTTACACATGAAATAGAACAGCTTTGACATTTTGCTAACTATCTTTTACCCACGTTACCGACCTATTCACACACTAGCTCGTCCTCCGTCCATTCGGGGGGGGGGGGGGGGGGGGGGGGTACCCGTCCTCCGATGCCGGGGCGCTCTTCAGAACTGACCATTATTATGCATACTTGAAAATATATGCCAATTTTCACGGCGCATTGTAATGGTTTTCGAGCTGTTTTCTTTTTTTTCCATGCCAGAACTATCTAACCGTTTATGAAAAACTTCCCGACAAAAATTCCCCCATTTGGATACGCCACTGCCCCCCTCGCCAAAGCTCGACCCCCCCCCCCCCCGACATCGTCGACTTGTTTGTATACTGATCTTAAGAACAACGGGATCACAAAGGAACTGTTATGGTTGCACGTAACTTTATTTCACTTTATTAACACTTGCTTGTCTATCTACTTGAAGGCTCTAAAGTATTTAAACAGACTGAACATTAAATCATTCACAATTATTTAAAGATATATAGGGAAGTTATATAAGAATTAGAGTCATTATAGTTGGGCACTTACTAGTTTGCTCATCGGCAAATCAGGCAATTTGTATCACAATAAAGCAACTAACACTCTCAGTCTCCCACTAAAGATAACACAATTGATATGCTCATGAATATGGAAATTTAAGCATTAGACACCCACAAGCAGGCCCTTCCATATTCTTTGAAAAGTGGCAGAGCGAAGACGGAACAAAGGAGTAAAATGTTGGGGTCACAAAAATACTTTTCAAGATTACCATTTTACAAATATAGTTGTACTCTCTTATGTCCAAACAGTGACAGTTCAGTCTCACCGACTGACACTTATGTAGACACAACGTTTTAGATTGAAATTTGTTCAATCCAATGCACCTTTGCATGCTGCCACCATTTCAGTCATGTTCCCTGTATCCAATTACAGTACTGAATTATATAATTATGTGTGCAAAAAGGAACCAGACTAACGTTTCCTTCCAGCCTCGATTTTGTTACGTTGATTTGAATGCGAAAAAACCAAGATGGCCGCAACATGATAATGGTCTAAAGATCAAATTTTCGCTAGAACTTCGACTAAACTGATTTTTTTGTCTGAGTATTTCAATCTATCGACTGGCCCCTACTGTTACCTTTTGGAAGTTAGAGAGTATACTCGGCCCTCTAAGATTTTTCACTTACAATTGCCCCCAAGATTAGAAATGGCTATTATTTAAACGATTCTTAAAATTGTTGTTATTAAATTGATTAATTGTTTCATTCAATGTTCTTCTTACACTAAACTAGAAGCAAGTGTTAAGCGTTGGTTTTGAAGACGTCTTGAAAACCACAGCGAAGCCGGTGAACTTGCTCCTCCTCACTGCAGCCAATCGTCTAGGCTTTTGATTCGGAGAGAGAAAATGAAACAGTTACCTTGTTGAACACCCCCTCACTTTATTTCTTTAGAATCTTACATGCTGTACTCAATTCGAGCAAGTTCCGGGCCGTTAGCGGGATTTGGTGTGTATCTAAAGGATGGTACTGTTCGAAAGCTACCAACATGACGTCAACGCTCGTCATGAATATTCAAGTCTAGCCTATATATTTGGCTTGTTCTCAATAATTACTTTCTGTTTTAAGGGAGGCACCGTTCGAGATTGCCATCAGATATTTAGCAATTATTATACATGTATTATTAATCATTATACATGAGCAGCTGCTATAGGCGTTACCTGTATTAAGTGCCTATCAGTTACATGCTTCGACAGTCACAGAGAGCCTATAGGTGGCAGCGTACACCGGTCCTTTCAATAAGCAAGTTCGGTATTCCAACTGCGCATGGGCATATCAAGATTTGACGATTTTTTTTCGGGATAAACGTTTCATCGTCAGCGTGCAAAGCATAGCGGAGTACCAGCGATAATGATGAGATCGTCGTGTTCTGTAGTAACATTTTGCAAAAAGTTTGAATAGCGAGGCTTTTTAGGTGTCTTCTGTGTCCAAACTAGTGTGCGAACGAAATTTCCATCTCTTTGCGATTGCACGCATGAAAATTCGGTTACCACGTCCCCCATAGCCTCTTGTGCATTTATCTGCCGCGTCTATCCTCAATAAAATCGTCGAGTCTTGTTGTGCACCAGATTATTTTGGTATACCGACCTTGTGAGAATTTTGAGACGCTTGGTGGCAGCAAACACATTGGTCCATTTCGTCAGTTTGAACATGCGCACAATAGCTTCACCATGACGCAAACAGTTGAAAAGGGCCGATGTATTTGCTGCAACCAAGCTTCTCAAAAGTCTCCCATTGGTTGCCTAGGTGTAAATCAACCTCGCTCCCCTTGGGGACGTGCACTGATGCATGTATTTTGTGTGCAAATGAAAGCACTCAGTGTTACACTACCCGACCTATTTAATTGCGAACATGTCTGAATTCAGTCACCGCAGAACGTCATACGTTTAATGCCAATCGGTGAAAAGGATACTGCTATTAAAGTGGTTTTGCTTATTGGATATTTTGCAGACATGGTTGGTGCAATTACGTGACTGTCAATGCATTTTGAATTGAATTTTGTACATCGCACAACATTTTGTTTGTCGCCCACAACCATTGTTCCGATGTATGTACTAAAAGGTATACTTACACTCTTCGCAATTCCTTCCACCGTAGTAAGCCGGGCACGAGCAGTAGTAGTCTTGTTGATCAACTGCGTAACAGGTTCCACCATTGAGGCACGGGTTATCAAGACAGGGAGCTGAGGTACAAGACCACCAAAAATATGAAGTGTGAAAGGGTGTAGGTATACGTGTACGCATGTTGACCTTGGATAACAACATACAATGATGGTCCTTGACTGGGCGCAGGTCAAAGCGTAAACCTATTCAGGCCGTTTTAAATCTGTTTATCAGTTGGATATTGCGGCCATAGGCCGTGATGCCAACTTTCACCGAATGGTTCTCCTCTACACTGCATTTCTTGAAATGTAATTGTTCGACGTCCCGCTGGTCCGACGTCCCGCTGGTCCGACGTCCCGCTGGTCCGACGTCCCGCTGGTCCGACGTCCCGCTGGTCCGACGTCCCGCTGGTCCGACGTCCCGCTGGTCCGACGTCCCGCTGGTCCGACGTCCCGCTGGTCCGACGTCCCGCTGGTCCGACGTCCCGCTGGTCCGACGTCCCGCTGGTCCGACGTCCCGCTGGTCCGACGTCCCGCTGGTCCGACGTCCCGCTGGTCCGACGCCCCGCTGGTCCGACGCCCCGCTGGTCCGACGCCCCACTGGTCCGACGCCCCACTGGTCCGACGCCCCACTGGTCCGACGCCCCACTGGTCCGACGCCCCATAGGATTAGGGTTAGGGTTATTAGGTTAGGGTTAGGGTTAGGGTCAGTCAACCTAACCAGTGGAACTACACAGTATCATGTTTCATCGGACCAATGGGACGCCGGACTATTGAGATATAACCAAAAGTGCCCTGGTGCCCAAATGAGCTATATCTTCGTAAAATCTGGCAGGGTTTTTAGATCCACTTCTTGCTGTATTCATTGACATTACTTACCATACTGACACTGATCTCCTCCGACGTTTGGCGGGCATTGACAGATATAATCAGTCATTCCAGTAGCTGAACACGTGCCACCATTCTTACAAGTGCCATCGCACTGGTGCTGAACTAAAAGGACATCAAGAGAGTGTCACATTCAGTCAAATAATAACGATAGCGCACATGATGAACCAAACATGTTACTAAGGTGTGGTACATATTACTATTACTGCTAATCGGGCCGATGGATATAAGCCAACAAAAAAAGCCATCTCAGCTCCTTAAAGTATACAGCTCGATGCTGCCATAAGTTAAACCGAAATGTACATTCAATCTTTAAGCGAATAATACCATAATTGGGAGGAGTCAAACCTCATACAACGCACCCCTTTTCAGTGACGTGTACAAGCATAACAATTAACATTCACTGTGTGGACTTCCAAACAAAAGATGTCCACATAAACCAGGGCGCGTTTTCGCGACCGTGACCAGAAAAATGTTTCGGCCTTGGTCATTGGTTGAGCGTTTTCGTGTCTTTGGTTGACTGGAGTGACGTCACTGTTCCGACCAAAACCGAACCAATGCCAATACCAAAACAGTGTTGTGGACAGTAAGCTTATAATGGCTTATTTTTAATACGTACGTTGTAAGTTTGTACATTTTAAGTGGCATGTTATACAATGTTTATACAACTTACAAGCCCACAAGGTATTATCCCAAATTTCGCCGGGACTGGCCCCAAACACCTAAAATTTATCGGTGTCCGCCATTTTTGTTTACAACTTTTTGACACTGTTTTCAGTTCAGTGTTTTTGTGCGCATGTGTAAACATATTTCTGGTTATCAATTTTGACGTCACAAACATGTTTCTGGTCGCGGTCACGAAAACACACCCCCTTGTTTCAGATACGCTGTGTGGACTTTCCCGCGTCCTGACAAGGTTAATTTTCCCCCACTCCGGAACACAGGTTAAGAGGCATTTTGGGATTAGGTTTATCCGTGGCAAAATGAAGACAAACACACAAGGGAATTATGAAAAAAATGGGTTAAAGAGTTTTCGCAGTTTGAGTACTAAAAATGAGGTTTTTTCCCCCAGGTTTTTTTTAACTACTTGAAAACAAAGGAATGTCCACACTAGGCACGTAACGTAAACATGCGTGCGAGCCACGTGTGATGGGCGTTCCAGTTTGCGTTCAAGCACAAACATTCACGCAGCATTATTCGCATAATCGCCAGGCAAGGGTTCCTCTCAACAAAAAAGAAACATCACTGATCGCCTTTGGTTTCAGTGCATTTGAAATTCATTAATTGAGGCCACGCAGGTTGAAGGTTTGTGGTTACCGATCAGTGATGTAGTGCCTTGATGCTGGGCCTTGGCCTTAAGGCTGCCTTAAGGCTAGACTTAAGGGCCTTGGCCTTGGCCTCGAGGCTTGAGGGCAAAAGCCTTGGCCTTGGCCTTGGCCTTGAGAGATCAGTGCCTTGCAATTTTGAGTCAAGGCTCTTCAAGGCCCATAGATTTTTGCATTTTCCAGATAAATCTGTTTGAAATTTTGCTGTTACCATTTTAATCGTGTTACCATGGAGGAGGGAAAGTCGGAAACACCCTATAGATCTGTGTGTTGGGCACACTTTCACTTTTATAGCATCACATATTGTTACCATTGTAGTAGATTTGCTGCAACAATATTCTGTACACTTGTGGGGCTAATGAGATGATCACTTAAATTATATACAATTATGGAATAGATCTGATTGGTTGTATATGTCTCCCTGATAAGTGCTAAAGATTTGCATGTATCTGTTTTAGATAATGCTAATATTTCTGACCATGTTGGCCCAGCAAATACAAATTTCCCAAATCAGTTTCTTGGATCCCCCTTTTGTTACACTCGGGAGAATTGTGCGTCAATATATCGTTATTTTGTTTTAGTTAAACCATATTCATGAAGACCTGAACTTATACTTTAATAGATACAATGCAGTCATAAAACAGTGTATGCGAGCATGTTCTTCTTCTTAATGAGTGATTCGTGATGATGTGTCATGTGACTATAATTAGTTCTATATCAGTGGTCATTTTATAAAACAGGGCCTTGGCCTTGGCCTTAGCCTTGAGGGTTAAGCCTTGGCCTTGGCCTCGAGGCTTGAGGGTCAAAGCCTTGGCCTTGGCCTTGGCCTTGAGGGTCAAAGCCTTTGCTCCAACACTGTTACCGATATACATTGTAGACAGTACATGTAACAACGGAATGTCAACCTTGATCTCACATTCGATTCTCCAACTTACCGTTTTCACAATTATTTCCGTAAACATACTCTGGGCAATAACACAAGTAGTTCGATCCCATATCCACGCACTCACCGCCATTCATGCAGGGACGGCTGTCGCACAGACCATTTCCTGAAATTAAACCATTGCTGTGACGTCACACTATTGATAAAAGTGTGGATTCAGAACTACGAATCTGTTACACTAGTCAAAAAGAGTGGATTCGGAATGTCTTATCTTCGGTAAAGTGTGGATTCAGAATTCGGACGATTCACAATGCAGTGCGCCACCAAGAGTTTGCCAGATCCATTTTTCAACTTTACGGTCGAAACGTGGCCCATTTGAATGAGTGTCAGTAGACAACTTGAGCTATTTTGATATAGTTTTGGGCATGGCGTTCTGCCGCCTTACAAATAAACACCATATTGATAAAAAGTCAACAACAAAAAAGGGCAAACATAATACTCAAATCATTCGCTTACAAAAATACTGACCGAAAAAAACGAACAATTTCAAATTTCCCGCGCTGTGAATTTGTCGACCATCTCCCACAATGCACTGGGAACAATTAATTCTCCATGGCAAACACTTGATGGCGCACTGTTTTGTAAATCGCCCGAATTATGAACTTTAAACAATTATAAAAATGTGTGAACCTCATCAAACTAATTATCACATGCTAAGTAGGCCCTATGTCCTTTTTTAAGAGCATTCTCAACACATTTTAAACATTTTCAAGTTTTTCACTTGATTAAAATCCACGTCGACGAGAAGGAGTCGCCATACAAAATGACGTGGTTGTACGGGTGTGGCGATACACATTATTAACAGAAACACACCACAATGCAAATGTCCTTTTACACAAAGCTATTAACAGCTCGAAAAACTCCCTTGAATGTAAATTCCGCCTAATTAAATGGCCATGATACGAGATATGCAAGTCTTTTCATCTCCACTCGCTGGACCATTAATGACAATACTTCTTTCGACGCAATGATTTAAGTCTCAGAATATCATCTCGCAAGTGTGGATTCTTAATTTTTTGCGCCTCGTGAATTCTTAAATTACAAATCCACACTTGCGAGTGTATTCTCCTGAACCGAAATTTAGAAACTATCGATGTTAATACTACTACTTTTGAAACGATACAAGCAAGACTTTTTCATATATTGACGTGCATTAATAGAACATACAAGCATTGTAAGGAGCATTGTACAAATCACTAGGGATGTGTGTGAATTGTTTTCGTTTGCTGAAAGAACGCGCACCTTTTTTTGTGATCCGTGGACAGAACTTTAAAACGGAGTTTGTGTTTAAAATTCTGTAACTTGAAAAGTAAATTTCAATGATTTTTGTACTAAAAGACAGCTTATAAATTGGGCTTTCATACCCTAGATTTTGTAAGTGCTACATGCGGAACTTAACTAAAACAATAGTGTCGACATTTGGGTTTCGTTTTTATTACTCACCCTGTGCAGTTCACAGGTGTTACGAACATGCGGAGTGAAAGATGTTGGACTATTTGCAGGAATCAAGGTTAAATGTTAAGGTTTAAAGCTCAGTTTAAAGCCATAAAGCGGGGTTCAAATATCAACATTACTGTATTGACACTCAGTTAGTTACTTCTATAAATGTGTCCGACAAAACACTTACGGGTTTCCTTGAGTCCGTTGGTCAGCCCAACTGGAGTGCATTGATGAAAAAAAACAAGAAGGAACATACAAATCATATAGTTTCATCCAAGATACAAGTGATTTAATGATAGTTTCCTCCTCTTGCTGAGTGCATTATGTGGCAAGAAGCTTTTTTTTCTCAAACTGTTAGCAAGACATAATATAGCAGTATAATGATAATAATACCGGAGTCTTAAATAGCGCACGTATCTACCAACAATTAGGTACTCAAGGCGCTGGAAATTATGTCTATTAATCAAGACACACTGAAAAATTGCCTGGGTTAATTTTACCAAAGAAAGGGTGAAAACTGGAACTACCCAAACTTGGGTTGTTCTATAACCAATTGTTTTGGTTAGAATTTATGTTAAATTCAACCAAAAAGTTGTAGTCATACAAGAGTGAATTAAATCTTGGTCTTGAATGACGACAAGTTTTGATTGAATTTAGCAGAAATTCTAACCCAAACAATTGGTTATATAGCAACCCAAGTTCGGGTAGTTCCAGTTTTCACCCTTTCTTTGGTAAAATTAACCCAGGCAATTTTTCAGTGCAGGTAAATGAAGTTTATGAGAAGTATGAGGCCCATCATGTGTAGCACCTTATAAGGGTTTACAAGGTATCAAACAAAAATTCTCAATGACTTTTGTTCACATCAATTGTCCGTATTTATTACGGAGGGCGTTGTAGCTCTTGCCTTTGGTGTCAAACCTACAGACTGACATTTGGCTGTCATACTGTATGATGATAATTTGATTGGGTACATGAAAAGTTGATATTTTCTTTTTCAGATTTGTTTGGACACAATGTGGTTATTCCTTTCAAGTCTTTCCATGCATGTGATCTACACACTGTGGCAGATAAACCGACTTATTTGTGTTACAGGTTATCATGTAAGATAGCACTGCCCGGCTCACAAGTAGCAGCCAGTCGGTCATTCAGTCAGTCAGTGAGATAGGTACTTACCAAGGCTGACTAGAAGCATGCAGAAAGCGAAGCGAGTTGTCTCCATGGCTGCTGATGTCTCACACAATGACTGGTGCAGACAGAACCAAATCCAGTCATTCTTATATACATTTCATTGTTTAATCAGAGTGCAATTAGTCAGACACTGATGACTTTTACTGATGGCTTTATCGGTTGACCCGTTGGAAACTAGGATTCCGACACCAATTAGCAGAAATGAGGACTCTCCTCAATAATTTGCAAGGATGTTAATCTTTCATACAGACCAATCTGTTTTTTTTACGCCATGAATATTTAAATTCCAGACGGTGCCGGCGCAATGAGGCTCCATTTTTTCTGTATGAGGTTAGCATTTTTCTAGGACGCGTAGGTAATAGATTTGATACTGTGGGAAATATTCAGAAAATTGCTTGTATATGGTGGGATTTTGGGGGACTGTTTCCAATTCCTTTAAAAAAAGAGGTTGACCATTGGGGGATACACTTGATTTTTGGCTGTTTTTTTTTTTAAAGAGGTTGTGGAATGCTCGAAGACATTTCCGTCATTTTTCGGGTATTATGTAGCCTAAGGTGTGATGAAATAACAACGACTATTGTGTCTGTCATGAAATGAGTACAAAAGGTACTTTTGAGAGCTGTTTTTCAGGTCCTGTTTCGACCCGAACGTGCAATTTGAAACGTCGGACTTATGAGGCGTCGGACTTATATGAGGCATACACATTATTAATTTCGCTTCGAAGGTCCGACGCTAGCCTTTAAAGCCCCTGTCACACTTTCGCGTATCCTAATTCCTATCCAGCGTACTGGGCCGTACCATGCGTATACCTGCGTACATAAAACTTACACAAAACGATAGAGATGCATATGAGGTGCGTATTGTGCGTACGACTGCGTATGAAAAAAATGTCAATGCGCAACTCATAAGGAATTAGGATACGCAGAAGTGTGACAGGGCCCTAAGTCCAAAACAGCGTTTGTCCATTGTCGATGTCGGACTCATCGTGGCCCCGCGTTCGGAGTCATCACGTGTTCATCACCCGAGTCCTGAATTCCATCAACCTTTCACTTTCTTGACAGGTGATTTATTGTTCGATAGGTAAACCGAAACATATTCCACTCGGGGTCGCGTATTCCAGGACTTGACTTAATTGCTACAATTAGCAGCTGACGCTTTGGTAGATTGTGTCGGTCACGCGCGCGTAGGTCGCGATGACATCAGACATCAAGTTGGCTGGCTGAGTTGTTTTCAACATTACGATTGGCTACACTCTACAAACAACTTAGTCAACATATTGACTAGTTTTCCTAGTTATTGAAAATTGACAAGGAATTTAGTTAAACGTGCAAAGTTTCATACTATAACTAGAAAAAAAGTAGTTGGGTTCGACTGAAATTTCAGTTATTTGCATAACTATTTTTCCTTTAGTCAATTATACTGACTGGAAAAATCTAGTCAGATTGACTGATTTTCAGTTGTACCCAGTTGGCCCTGAATTGCTAGTCATTAATTTTAACTGGTTTCTAGTCAAATCTGACTATAATGCTCTTTTTTTTGTTTTAGAGTGTAGGCCTATTTTATACATGAACTCATAGACTTGATTTCAAGACTTTTTTTGGTCAGGGTTTCGTACGTTTACCATGGTATATGTGCGTCACGCCAATAATTATGCACCGTATAGGCTTATTTCAAATCGGGGTTGGTGTGCAACGTCCATGTCAAGACACTCTCGCTGTACGGATGGTCTTTCTCGATAGCACTGCGCGACCGTCTAGCTCTTTAGCACAGATATGGCGGGCCATGCCGACGAACGAAAATCCGCCGTTTTGAATGCAAGTCTAAATCAACAGTAACCTAGTAGGACAATGTATACACCGCTTGTTCTAGTGAGTTATGCACTACCCCAATTACATTGCCAATTACAGGATCAAGACCAATACAAAAAAAAAACACCAGCCAAACATCCATTGTATCTCCAAATGAAATACCACTTTTTCTTTAAAAAAATGGAAATATTCCTACCAAAATTCCGCCATATTCAAGCAATTATTCTATGAACAATTTCCACAGTATCATAACTAATACGGTACACAGGAGAAATTGGAGCGGCATTGCGCCCTCAACGTCTGGAAATTAATATGCATGACGAAGACTACAGATAGGTCTGTGTGAAAGATTGTCATCTTTGCAAACTATTGAGGAGAGTCCTCATTTCTGCTAATTGGTGTCAGAATCCTAGTTTCCAGGGGGTCAATTGATAGAGCCATCAGTAAAAGTCAGCAGTCATCCTTTGGCCTATTTGTCAGGGTTTCGTACGTTTTGGTACGATCGTATAATACTGAGGTATAGGCCTGTGCTGCAAATCGGGCTTCATGCGCAACGTCTACGTCAATGCACTCTCGTGGTACGGTTGCTCTTTCTCGATCCCACTGAGCGACCGTCGACCTCTCAGCACACAGATATACGGATGGCCGTGCCGACGAACGAAACACGACACATTTCCGTCTTGACTCAAGTCTACATCTCCACAACAGAAGTAAATCAGTAGGACCAATATGCTGTCCTGCTGGCGTAATTTTTTTTCCTAGGAGGGTTAGGGGCAATGTCATGAATAATTCAGTTTTTCCTTTCAATCATTGCAAGACTTAGGTTCTCGTTTTATTTTCCCCTTAATTTAAAATTATCTCAGTGATAAATTTGGAGAAGAAAAATAGCTGATGAAAATGAGCAGCGACGACGTGGATTCGAACCAGGGATCTTTGTATCCATAGCTCATCTCGCTATCCACTAGGCTACTGTGTGGTAGCTCGACGACAACCGTTCTTTAAAATGCTTTAATGTATTGTAACTAGTTGAGTAACTAACAACAATGCTGTTGATGTCATTGTCTGTTCTCATGGATAAACATGAATTATTCATGACATTGCCCCTAACCCTCCTAGGAATAAAAATTACGCGTCCTGCTGTATTCCGTGATATTATGCACGACCCCAGTGGCGTAGCCAGGAATTTTTCAGTGAAGGGGGGGGGGGGGGGGGGGGGGGGGGGCTGGAACATTTCATGGGGGGGCGTCATGTATATCAATGATAATTTTTGTAGAAACTCAAAATCTCAGTGGGGGGGGGGGGGGCGACTGGGGGAGGGGCGACAAGGTTGGGGCGACAAGCCCCCCCCCCCCCCCCCCCGTGGCTACGCCACTGACGACCCCCCAATTGGTTTTTCAAATTTTAGGGATCGGCATCCCATCCTGAAACAATGTTAAGCCCCTTCCCCTCCCATCTTCCATCCCCTCCCATCCCCCACCCCAATGAACAAGTAGTGTGTAAAAGATTTGGGGAAAACTGAAAGCCAATGTACGCTAAGTTCAAACAATTTAACTGAATTTTTCCCACAGTCAAGACCCCTCGGCCTCCTTTGCGTCCTAGAAAAATATGAACCTCCAAACAAAATTATTGCAACGTTAATGAACCTGCACAATCTGGAATTACAATATTTATTGCGCACAAATCGGATTGGTCTGTATAAAAGAGTTTCGCTTTTGAACATTGTTAAGGAGAGTCCTCATTTCTACTAATTGGTGTCAGAATCCTAGTTTCCAGCAGTTCAATTGATTAAGCCATCAGCAAAAGTCGTCAGTATCTGACTAATTACACTAATTGATTAAACAATGAAATGTTTATAAGAATGACTGTATTTGGTTCTGCCTTCACCAGTCATTGTGTGAGACATCAACAACCATGGAGACAACTCGCTTCGCTTTCTGCATCCTTCTAGTCAGCCTTGGTAAGTACCTATCTCACTGACTCACTCAATGACGCACTGACTGTGTCACTTGTAACGCAACTGGCTGTAGACTGATCGAAGTTGCCGGAAAGTGCTATCGTATAGTAACCGTAACAAAAGGGTGGGCTAAATCTGGCACAATGTGCAGACCAGATGCATGAAAGGACTTGCAGTGAATAGCCACTCTGAATCAAATGAATCTAATTGTCCACGCTCTGTGACACGCTTGACTAGGTTTGCCTTTGCTTGATTGATCCAGAGAGGGCATGAGTTCACCCAGACGATTGAAACATCGCGGGAAAAGGACTGCTGTTAAAATCGGTACCTGCTTCACGCGAATGCAAACTGCGTTAGCAACTGAGTCAATTGTATACGTGACTCCAAAAACAAACACACACACACGTTTTCTCTATTTTCTCATTTTTGGGTGTGAGTGTCCAGAAAGCTAAAGCTACCACAATTTGGATGTAATGCACCCTTTGTTATTGAGCAATTGTGTTACTTCAAACGAAAACAATGCACAAAAGAGGAAATGATCCTATGCACGTGGCGTGAATGCGTGTTGGCGTGTTCGAGCATTCAAACCGTGGACGATAAATGACGGAGAACAAAAGAGAACAATATCGTCCTCGATCCCAGCATACGTCGGCGATTGGAATCGTCATATGGGAGTATTCCTAACAATTTGGAGTACAAACAAAAGAGGGACAATAGAATGCCCACAGTGGGAGGTCGATACACGACGACACGCGATGCTTGAGTATGTAAACACCGGGACGCGTGGACCTAAGACACAAGGGTTAGGGCACAAACAAAACGTCTGCGATTGAGTGATAGTCCACGATTGAAATTCGTCTACAAAACCAATGACAGCTGTTGCTAACAAGTTAGAGTACAAACAAAGGCATGAGGATTAGGGACAATAAGGGCCCACGATCGCCGGTGTTTATAAAGATGTTTGTGTGGTGGGGGGGGGGGCCTATTTTACCTACCTTTCTCCCCAATTGATAATTTGAACTTTATTTTCCTTGATTTTAATTTCATCAATGCACCATATGCAGTCGGACTGACCAGCGGACTTCCTGGAACGGGTAAGTGTAATAGGCACCTACGTCAGACACAATAATTATAGAAGTTATTATCATCATGGCACTCGTGTACTAGATACTGAATTGTCCACAATGACAGAAGTCAGGGGGGGGGGGGTGGACTCGAGAACGGCAAGTGACCAAGGCGATGCTGCATTTGTAAAGCTGTTGCTTGACAGGCAAAGAATGCTGCCAAAACTAACAGTCAGTTGGTTATAGTACAGTCACGATTTAGGTAATATTCAACTCAGTAAACAGAAGCTATGCCGCGTACCGCATAAAACCTCATAGAACCATACTAATGGCAGATGTATAACACTTTTGCTTTTTGGTGTGTGTTTTTTTCTCAGGAGCAGTGAGACATTAGAGTTTTCATTCAATAAGACCTTTGAAATAGAATACACAGTAATACAAAAACATCCGAACGATATGTCTCTTGAACCTGTCATTGTTCGAGTGAATTGAGAACTCTTTCTATTATTCGAACATATCCAACTATTTTATGCCAAACATGTATTTTCTTTATTTATTTCATCCAATAACAATGACTGTACGTTCAGATTTTTGAATGTACTTCAACAATGGAAATGCCTGAAATGTTTTGTTTTGAAAAGTATATACGCATTAAGTCGAAAGTTTCTGAAATTGTTTGCAGGTACGGCATGCGACAGCCACCCGTGTATGAATGGCGGTACGTGCAGTCCTAATGGACCTGACCCCAGTTATGGGTACGAGTGCTACTGCCCAGAGCATGTAATTGGACTTAATTGTCAAGATGGTGAGTCGGCAAAATGAATTTCTGAAGAAAAAAAAAATCAGGGCTAACATTCATTATTATTACAATTTTTAGATGACGCCTGAAGAAATCATGTGTCGTGTAATTGGCAGGACGTTGATCACATGTCATAAAATTATTCGTCCCAACCCACGGGCCGACCGCACCCCCAAAATAGAAGTTCTATTCAAAGGTAAATAGAACTTCTGGTCACACTGTTGTTGACTCTGACCAATGAGATGACGAGGATTTATTCACTGACGTGACAGGTGTTGTATGAAACAAATGATGAATATTTCACACTCGTCCAATGGTAAGAATCATTTCGTTTGATGACAGATAGAATGTTCCATTCCTTTCGACTTCGCCTCGCGAGCTCGTGGAATGCAACATACATCTGACACCACGTGAAATTGTTCTTACCATTGCACTCAAACATTCACTATTGGTATAATTTCTTCAACGTTGAACTCTGTGCAAGTACTGTTGATATCCTGCGTGGCCTCAATTGACGAATTTTAAATTGTCATTGAAACCGAAGGCCTCTCTGCTGTCTTCTGTTGAGATGATTAAAACAAAGAAAAAGTCCAGGGCAGATTGCAACGACCAGTCTTTAAGTTGTCTGTGCGCATTAGACAGTCTTAAAGTTCTGGCTATCAGTCTGTCCATTTCTGGGACACTTCCTTACCTGAACGCCGTAATAACGCGTATGTTGTGCATTGCATGCTCTCAACACGTTTCTAAATGGGAGTGTAGTGTCAAGTACCAAGGCAAGACATTTCAATCAAGCCTTGGAGCGTCCGAGTAATGGATGAAAACCAACTCTAAATCTGCATAGGGAGTGTGCAAAACATATCAAAATTGGAAGATTCAGGACTGTTACAAATAGTGGAGTACTCGGATTGGTTTATACGATTTTTTTTTGGGGGGGGGGGTTAAACGATTCTTAATCGTGGCAGCATCGAGCGGTATGCTTCTAAGGGAGATGAGATGGTTTTGGGCTTGTTTCCATTGGCCCGATGAGCAGGGTTAGCAATAATGTACCACGCCTTGATAACATGCATGTTCACCGTGTGCGCTATGTAAATCCATACCATTGTTTTAATGATGTCAACCTTTTGTAATATCCTTTCAGTTCAGCACCAGTGCGATGGTAATCCTTGTATGAATGGTGGCACGTGTGATGCGACTGGCGTGACTGAGCCTTATGTATGTAGATGCCCGCCAAACATCGAAGGAGACCGTTGTCAGTATGGTAAGTAGGGCCAATGAATAGAGCGTGTAAAGTGACCTTCTAAAATCTGCGAGATTTTACCAGAATACAGCACAGGTATATCAGTGATACACCCAAGATTTGGCTGGGGGAGGGATTGAGCTCTGGGGGCTTGGTTCTGTTTAGTGATGTTTAAATGATTAACCTTTGCTAAAAGGAAATTGGTTACAATGGTCAGAAAGTGTCTCGGATCGCGAAAAAGAGCGACTCTACAATCATTCTTTTCGGGGCCCTTATATAAACATGCGGAGCAGGGCCTACGGAACACTGGTGCCTATAGGGCCTACGAAACACTTAATCCGGGCCTGCTATTTTAACCATAATTCATAAATACCTCAGACAGTTTAGCTATACCTATGGTCGAGAGCCCGTCACGTGGCCGGTCTTAAACGGATGATAAAGACATGGCTATAGCTGGTCTTAAACACTTTTCCAGTGTCACAATAAAATGTGGACCCCTAAAAATCCAGTGCCTCTGACCGTTTTATTGGTTGAACGTTCACAATCCTCACGTAGGCATGCGCAACACTACCAGCGAGTCAGAATTTTATAGTTCTAAATTCAAAACGCAACGCCCCAGGTGCGTTCTGCACGATATCAAGCAGAACATGCTACGCGCGCGTCAATCTCCATAAAAGGGTTGTTTACATCTTACTCGCCAGCTGAACACTCCATTATTTTGCTAGAGGGATGTTTAAAAAAGCATGAAGTGAACTTGTTGAACAAAATCGGGATTTTTTGAACGAATTATTTGATTTTGTTTTACCGAAAAGGTATTTATGAATGGGAATAAATATGTACTCGGTCGGTATATTTATCACTCTGTTTAAAACCGCTTAGAGTCTGATTGCTGATAATTACCCTCGCCTCCGGCTCGGGTAATTATCAGCACCCAGACTCTAAGCGGTCTTAAACAGAGTGATAAAAACCTCCGGAGCACACATTTATTCCCTTATTAATTTCCTTGGCTGAAATTCGGACTTAATATCCCTTTTCTAAAACTCTCCCATTTGCAACAAATCACCATACCTTGGAAATTCCTAGTTCTTGAGTAAAATCCATTTATTTATTTCGTGATAACTTGTGGAGACGTATTCACCTATAGAAATTGCCCTGTAGAGACATATATACAATCTTTTGTTCCCTATTGTGTGCATGTCTCCAGAGGGCACGGTGTATCAGATCCATGATTGCCTTCTATATTGTTCAAGGTCCACACATGAATGTGGCGAATAAACACCATCTCTAGTGCAGTTTTGGAATTCCCTTGAATTCATAATATAATGTTTGCTTGTCTGGTACCACAGCTTTCTGTCTGGACGATCCGTGTCTGAACGGCGGAACGTGTTATAATAGTGCCCAGGGTTTCTGGTGTATGTGCCCTTTCCTGTACCAAGGAGAACACTGCGAACAGCGTGAGTATAGGCTTGCCTAGCACGATCGGTGGGCCATAATCATGATATATGACTCCCGGGTCAGATTTGACTCGAAATCAAGAGGGGATTTGACATGACACCTATCGAGGTCAAAATGGAACTTTTCCAGGTTATTTTTGACACATGCATGTTCATGCTCAAATTGATCCAGTGCCTGGTAAAAGGACCCAGTGTCTGGTAAATGACCCCTTCGACTGGGGTAATTATCAGCACCCAGACTCTAAGCGGTCTTAAACAGAGTGATTAAAACCTCCGAAGATAATGATATGCAGTACTCACGTGTAGGCCTCATCTTTGCTTTGATTTTATAAGATTGTGACCCCATCACTGGAGAATGTACAGCTTGATCTGGCATGGGTAAGCTTCAAGATACACTTTTTCATTGTTGACTAAGATTTGGTTCTTTATTGAGGACCTGTTGTGAGATAGAAGTGGCCTAAGAGCGCCTCACTCAAAAGAAAGTACATGCAATTAATGTTATGCTAGACTTGAATAAGCATGACGCATGTTGACGCTATACCGGTAGCCTTCGAACAGTGCCATTCTTTTGATGCACACCAACTCAAGCTCACGGTACGGAACGTGCGATATTAGTTTTAATAATTAAGCGATTTTTTTTACCTCAAATTAATTTACAACTTTTACAAATTATTTAAAGACGTATAAGTAGCTGAAAAAAGTTTATATTGCGTATGTTTATCAATCGGATCCCTCAGGCACTGTTAACGCTTGCTGAGAAATGAGGGTTAGTGAAGTTCATCGACACAGCTCATGCATATTCAAATGTGATTATTAATGATGTTGGCAATTCTCGACCAGTGGCCTCCTCAAAAGAACGTAATTACTGAGAATAAGTTAAATGTTATGCTAGACTTAAATATTCATGATATTTGGTGACGTCGTGTTGGTAGCCTTGGGACAGTGCAATACTTAACGCACTCACCAAGTCCAGCTCACGGTCCGGAACATGCTTGGAAAGAGTACAAAGGAGTATTTAACCAAAAAGGAGTTTTAACAAATTGATTGTTTTGTTTCTCTCTCCTAATCGGACGCCTAGACGATTGACTGCAGTGAAGAGGAGCAAGATCACCGTCTTCAAGGCCGTGGTTTTCAAGACATCTTCACAACCAACGCTTGCTTCTAATTTAGTGTAAGAAGATTATTGATTAAAAAAAAATATTTTTGAATTAATTACAACAATTTTAACAATCATTTCCATAAAATCCATTTCAAATCTTGGCGTCAATTGGAATTAGAAGGCCAACATTTCGGCATCCTGCTATTTATAAAGTTGTGTTCTTGGAATGTATCTTTGTGACTCATATATAGACCTGCAGTACTCTGTTTTCAATCTCCGTTCTGCCAATTTCAAAGGATGGTGAAGACCCAGCTGTTTCATGTTTCTGCGAATTTTAAGTGTTTCAGTTGCTTTTTTTATATACAATTTACCAGAAAACAAAACAAAACAGTGGAACAAACAAGTTTCAAATCACCATGCAAATATCGCATTTTCAACCTAAATCACATCCGTATTCCGTCGTATATCTTACAATAATAAGAATACTCCGACAAATTGAATTAACTGCAAACAATTATATACTACTTTATCTTTTGATTATTATGATTCCTTTAATTTTCAAGTCTGCTTACGGACTTTAGAGACTTCTAATACATGTAGGTAGACAAGCGAGTGTTTGGAAATAAAGTTAATGCAGCCATAACTGTGTCTTTGTGATCTTGTTGTTCTTAAGGTCAGTTTATAAAAAAATCGTAAATGTCGGGGCGCATTTAGCTTTGGCTCAGGGGAGGAGGGGGTGGAGGGGTAGTTCCTCTTCCCATTATTTGGTAGAGCCCACCCTTTTCCGTTCAAATGCCCTTTTTTTCACCAGCGCTTACCCCCAATATTTTGTAAAGAGTGCCCTTTTTTAAAGAAGAGCCCTTTAACCAAAATAAGTGCCCTTTTTTCCCAAACGAGTGCCCTTTTAAAAAAAAAAGAAGTGGTGCCCTTTTTTGTGCCATCGGCCGTACCGGGTGTCCCTTTTTTTTTTAAATTTCGCGCATGCATCGTCCTAAAAGCACCATATATTGTCCGTTACTGTGCATAATCGTCGGTTTTGAACAACGCCCCCATCGACAGATGGTACCAGCCCCCCTCCCCCTCCCCTTCCCCCCCACCGCTTTTTCATAAGGAGGCCAAGTGTCCGGAGAAAAAAACAACATGTCTACATTTCACCACGGATGTGCAAGTGCCTTTTTCAAACAAAATTTACCCCCTAATAAAAATGACCGTGCTACGCCACTGTAACTGCGCTAGCAGAAAAATTGTACCCTATCCAAGTAAGCACAGAATCCTCAATTATGGGATGTACGCATGCGCCGAAGCCAAAATTCCTCGCTTGCCCGTGAAATATGCTTGCTGTAAGCTGGGAATTTTCTGCTATAATAAGGAGAGCTAAGCAGAGCAAGGAAATTAGGCCCAGGGCACGCGAGACCCCCTTCAATGGAGAAACCATTGTGCGCGCTATTGTACGACGCTATTGCCCGATTATCTGAGCAATAACTATATAGGCCTAAGCCTCCCCGTCTTTGTTTTAACGACAACTTTTCAACAAATAGAATGGTGGTAACGTAATATGTTAGGTTGTTAAAACACGTTTTAGAAGGTTCAACTTCAAGTATTTATTTTAAAAAAATATGGTTTAGTTAAAAATCAGTACTGTTTTGCTCCTGTTCTGGAGCTATTAAGCTCTACGATTTTCAGCAAATTTCATATATTCATTGTAGTTGATATTTTGTAAAGTCCGAGTCCCAACTTGAACACTTTAACGAAGAATGTGCCTATAGTGCTTCGTCATTGCAGGGAGTCTTCGTGATAGAAATTCGTGACCAGGGCTCAATTTCTTGGCTCTGCTAACCACAGAAATCCGCGCTTACGACCACAAATGTTGTGCTAACCGCGCTAGCAGAACAATTCCGTGCTGATCTGTAAGGGTGCACGCCTGTAAATAGGCCAATAATCAGTCCGCTGAGCTCATGAATAAACTTTATATCCTCAAAATATTCTATATTAGAGAGTTTTGAGAGCCATAACATGGGGGGAATTGAAGAGCTATGGTAATGAACCTCTGGCCCGGACTTGGGGCTTCCAATTCTGAGCAATTTGGATGCTATTTGGCTCGAAAGTGTCGCTATTTTGCCATGTTGTGGAGGGATTGTTTTTCAAGGTGGCTACTTTTCCGCTTTCCGCTCCGGGGAAAATAGGGGATCGAGAGTATCTCGAAAAGTCAATGGTCAACCCACCAAAAAAATGAAAAGAAAATGAAAGATGACACATTGATCATCATTTTTCTATTCTTGAATACCTGTGAGAGTTCTGAGTATTTTTAAAAGAATTTTGAAGTATGCGCATTTAGCACCAGTGTCTATGGGAATTTTATTGAAGGGTTTGCACTCGTAAGCGCAGAATCCTTAGTTATGGGATATACGCATGCGCAGAAGCAAAAACTCCTTGCTTACGCTTGAAATACGCTTACCGTAAGCACGGAATTGTCTGCTATAGTAAGCAGGAATTTTTCAGTAACGATAAGCAGAGCCAAGAAATTGGGCCCGGATTGGTCTATAGACTCTCTACATTTCGACGAGAAGGCCTATCTATATTTGGACGCCATTTTGGTCCAGCTAAGTTCGCGTTTACGTCCTCGGGAATTCACGTTGAGTTGCTAATTTCTCTAAGTTTCTGTCACTGTCATTCAAATCGCCACCTCTCATGTCACACCTCTCTCCATATATGGCTCTTTGGCTGTCGGTTCCAGCGAGTCTCTCCTGTCAAAAATTAAAGCTACCAAAAACAAATTAAGAATTAGAGAACAAGTCTATTTTGTCTTTAGGCTGAAACTGAAAATAGCACGGGAAGAGCTACTCTTTATGTCGACATTGTACACAGTAACTCATGCCAATCGTTTTTAACAACAGAGATCTTGAATCTTTAGGCCCTAAGTCACTTGAAACAGAGGCTCCCATGGCGATACCAAATTTCAGTGCAGCAAAAATAGTTTAGCAAGGCCGAAATGCACATCGCGGTAGTCGCTTCAAAAATGTCTTTTGCAGCCTCAATCAGTCTTTCTTCTTTGGATTACTTCATTACCCAAAAAACATTTTGGACACTCGAAAAATAATATTTATAAGTGTCTTTTCGTTCTTTTTCGTACAACGACTGGGGTCCTAAACCACACGACTGGCGGGAATTGGGTCATGTAGGAAGGAATGTGGCCAAAAAGTTTGGACTTATTATTTAAGAAAAATGAAAGGTTGATGGAAACCAAGACTCGACTTATTGAAACATCAATACATTTACGATTTAAATAAAAATAAAACAAGATACTGCCCTCCCCCCGGCTGGATGCGCCACTCACTAGGGCATAGTATTCGCCCGTACCCCCGCCCTGCAAACAGGACGATGGGAAGGGCTGATGAATTCACGTTTTGATTGGATATAATTTGCGTGACCTGTGACCTGCAAGTCATCACGACCACGACCTTCCAGTTCCGGTTCAAATTCATGAAGGGTCAATCTCATTTGGTATTAATGAATTTTCAAATTTCGTTGGTACCCTGTTAAAGCGCCCGGGCCATGTAAAACGTAAACAATGACACAATTGTACCCGAGGATTTAAAACCTACTGTGGCTGACTTCGGTTTATCGGCCTTTATATTATTGTTAACGATTGACATTTAAGCCCCCCCCCCCCCCCCGCCTTCAAAGGCGGATCCAGAACATAATTTTGTAGGCCCCCCCCAAAAAAATTGGGCAATAATTGAGGCTTGGGAGCATCTTTGGTTTGTAGATGCTCTGCGAACAACGAGATATAAACAATATAAACAACAAGATGTGATGACCGTCGCCAAGGCACTGTTATGGCTGTATGTAACTTTATTTCCAAACACTAGCTTGTATAGGCCTATCTACTTGAAATCTCTCAAGTCTTTAAGCAGACTAAAAATTCAATTAATCATAATAACCAAAGGGTAAGGCAATTATGTAATTGCTTGCACTCAAATAAAATGTGGCATAGTAACGAGTAATCTTATTACAGTAAAATCTCGAACAGTCAAAATCTGTTAACTCAAAAACTCGTAACTCAAAGTGAAACCTTATTCCGTCAATTGTTGTTGAATAGAAAATCCATTGGATTACTCAAAACTCTGCTTAACTCAACAATAAGTAAGCCAATTCCCCTGAGGTGTGACTTATTGAGATTCCACTGTATTGCAAGATGTACGACGGACACGGGAATACATTAGGTAGAATCTGCGAAGACTAATCTTAATACTTGAAGGAGCAAGCGGTATCTTGGAGTTTTCAGGGTCACATTTTGAGAGGGCTCACAGTAATGAACTTCACACAAGACAGCCCCTTCAGGGCAAATATTCAGTGGGCCGTGTGAAAACGATGTGACACCATTCTTTATACTTATTGGCAATGTTTACGAAGTCAATGCTATTGCCTATACAATGGGGAGGGGGGGGGGGCTGTTAAAGTGATGTCACGTTTTGGTATAGAGTCATTATAGTGAAAAAACTATATTTCTGTGCTCCTCCAACACAACATGGCGCCCGTACACTTGGGCACTCACTAGGTTTGGTCATCGGCAAATCAGGCAATTTGTATTATAATAAAGCAACTGAATCGCTCAGCCTCCCACCAAAGATGACACGATTTATATGCTAATGAATATTGAACTTGAAGCATAAACCCCCCCCCTCAAAAAAAAACCCCCAAAACAAACAAAACAAAGATAGCAGCAAACTTCGGCTTTCTATGGTTATTTACTTGCAATTGACAACAAACTTGGAAATGGCTACCAAGTGTAATTAGATTAACTGTTTCATTGAATGTTGTTATTACGCTAAACTAGAAGCAAGTGTTAAGCAGTGGTTGTGAAGACGTCTTGAAAACCACAGCGAAGCCGGTGAACTTGCTTCTCTTCACTGCGGCCAATCGTCTAGGCGTCTGATTAGAAGAGAGACAATGAAACATTACATTTGTTGAATACCCTCCCTTCTCTTTGTCTTTAGAATTGTACCTTTTGTAGCCTACTCAATTCGAGCATATGTTCTTGACTGTTGGCTGGAGTTGGTGTGTATCAAAAGGATGGCACTGTTCAAGTCTAGCGTAACAATTAACTTGTTCTCAGCAACTACGGTACTTTCTTTTGAGGAAGGTACTGTTCGAGAATTGCCAACATCATTAATAATCACATTTGAATGTGCATGAGCTGTGTCGATGAACTTCGCTCGTCCTCTCTTCTCACTCATGCAGCAAGTGTTGATACGCAATTCCAATTTTGTTTCAGCTTTCGTACGTCTTTACATTATTTGTCCAAGTTGTAAATTACTTTGCCGGGTAAAGGATTGAAAACTTATACCTTGCAATTATATTAGCCACTTTCATCTCGCAACAGGTCCGCAATAATGAACCAAAGCTTACCCATGCCGGACTAAGCTGTAGCAAGTTTCCCTCCTTCCCCGTTGGGATCCTTGCCTATAGTACAAGCAAAGTAAAGATGATGAGTCATGCGTGAATACTGCATATCATTACCAGATTAGGTACAGTACAACCTCGTGCCCCGTGGGTACGATCTTGCAGCGCCATGTTGTTTCCCATCATGCCTTGCGCGATCGTTAGTGTAAGGAACGAGCACGCGCCCCTGGAGTCGAGGCG